CGGCGGCAGCAGCTTGGGACGATGAGGCTGCGGAGCCGCTTCGGGACCGACTTCGCGGGCGGAAGACGTCCAGGCTGCGCCGGGCGAGGCTGGGCTCCTTGGCCGCCGCGAGGTGGTCATGGTCGCGGGGGTGGTGAGGGGGCTGGATGTACTCCTGGGTGGTGGTGTCGGAGCGGATGAAGACGAAGTCTGGCGTGTCTAGGTTGTTGGTGTTTCCTTTCTGCCGGTGCGGCTCCTCGTCGTCGTCATCCTTCCTCCTGAGCATGTCTCGGAGCCCCATTGTGGTGGTGAGACACGAACGGCTGAGCTGATCGGCTCAACACTAGCTGGTCAATCACTCGGGCGGGTAGTTTCCACTGTGCTCCAGGAAAGTCCTGGTAACCCGGATAGAATAACTCTTCTTGTATACCCAGATTCCTATGTCTTTGGGAAGTCGTTGATGATGTTCAAACGGGCTGTATCAGATGGCTGCGTGTAAGAGTAAGCGCGAGGGGCTGTGCCGCCACGGGAATGCTTCTCAGCTGGCGGCGTCTAAGGTGGCACTATATAGGGACCGGCAGGCCTAAATTGCTATGGATAGCAATGCCTGGCGGGGCTGTTGGTGAGATTGATTGCGAGCTGGGCGTGAATGCGAGCGAATCAGCTCCGAGCTCAATTGACTGAGTGAGTTGGAACAAGTGAATGCGTACAGCAGGTGAAATGAGACGAGCGAGCAAGGTCTTCGAGCTCACGGCCACAGCACTGACAGACGACCAAGCGTGTGCGTAGTCCAAGGCCTGCGTTGACTATTCTCTCATTGGGCAGAGGAACGGATTCACTTGCTATTTATTTCCGGCTCCGTTTCAGCGCCCAAATTTAAATTTAGTAGAGCCACAGGGAGCCCCCGCAACGAATCATCGCCCCCAAGGACCCTTCATCTTTGCCTGCATTGCGACAAAGGCCAGCCCTGCCGCCTTTGTAAGCTAGTGTTTATACATTATGTATGGGGTAGATCCGTGATACTAGCTGCCCGTTTTGGTGCCTGAAGTATCCATGATGCTTGATGGGATGGATAGCTGGGTATATAGAGATTCATCATTAAAGGAACGTGATAGTATGAATTGCCGGCACACGAGATAGCCAAGTGTCACTACATTGATGGGCCGCTGTATTTAAAATAGAGTTTTTATTTCTACCCTCGTCTGTCTCTCTTCTTCTTTTTCATCTTTCTTTTCTTCTGCTCATCCTTTTCTCTCGCTCTTCGCGAGCGTCTCTGTTGCTAATCTATAGAATAGAATATCATAAGGGCACCTATCATATGCTTCTTCTATTACACGCTTTCGTATCCTCCTTTTTTTCTTCTTCTTTTTTTCTCTTTCCCCGCAGGCTGGCAACAAGACCATCATCGCACGCATTGTACTGCGGCGGATATTAATGGGAGGAAAGCAAGAGAAAAAACAAGGGTCTGCCATGCTATGTACTGAAAATCACTGATAAGGGTATTCCAAAAATTGGGTGCTAACACAACCAAATTTGACATATACCAAGCAGAAATATTCATGGGCAGGCTAGACAAAGGGAATGGTGTGCTGAGCCATCTCACCCTACCAACAAGCGGTCCTTGGGATACAGTCACGATCATATGGAACTGGGCTTGATCGCGGGTCTGTTAGTTAGAGGGCTATGAAATCCTTTCGGTCCTCGAAATCAGACAAGTCCGAGTCCGCGTCAAGAAATTCAGCCACTTCGTCTGAGTCGACATCGTCAGAGTCCGCAGCCTCCTCGTCGCTAGATACGTCTTCTTCCATGGCATTAAACTGGCCTGCTTGCCCACGGAGGACGCTTGCCCTCTCACGGTGGAGAAGCTTGCATCCCTTCGTGTTACAGCGGCCAGTGTTGCTGAAGTCGGGACACTCAAAGACATGGCGCTCTGAGCAGTTTGCTCCTTTATCGCAGTAGCCGAGGAATCCAAAGGATTTGCAAACTGGGGCACCTGGAGGTGCGCTAGAGTGAGTAAACGGACAATCAGATTTGGCACAGTGGCCCTTGGCAAAGTGTAAACAATCAGGCACACGCTCGGGAGTAAGCTCGTGAGAAAGATCGCAGGAGTTGCCTTGGCTACAATTCCCTTCTTTGAGGAAGTCTCTGCAAACCGCCACCTTGTTGGGGTCATGAATGTATCGACATCGGGGCCCCTTCGGACAAGAACCTAAGCACAATGTGTCAGTAACGGAGTGATACGTACCCAAAGACCACATTTCCAGGGTTATCTTATGGTCGCACGAAGGAGAATTCAAAATTACCGGACGTAGAGAAGATCTTGCATGGCTCGTTGACCTTTTTCACGGTTCCAGACCGTCTGCTACAAGTCAGTAAGAGAGCTCGCCCAGAGGAAACAACATACCGGTGGTCTTTAACAATCCTATTTGCGACGAGGTTGCCTGTCTTGGTTCGGTGAAACTTTACTCCTGCCACTATCGTGTTTTTAGGCGTTTTTGCAAGGTCATTTGATCCATCTGAAAGCAGTCAGCGAGTAAAGTGATGAAGGGGGGCCGCCTGTACAGACCGATGATTTTAGCCAGTTTCTTCCCGCCATCAAGGACTCGGAATCTAATATCCGCAATCGTGATTTCGTTGTTGGCTGCGCGCGTAGCATTAGAGTTACCACCAGTATTGGCATGCGCATTCTGTTGGGTCAAAAAGTCATGGAAGCGAGCCTTTTCCCCACGACGATGCTCATCTTGTTTGCGCTGTCTCGTTTGTTCTATGGCCTTGGCTCGGTTCTGGCTCTCCTTCTCGTACACATTCGCGTTGATGATTTGGCGGTGACGGTCGTTCTTTGTCACCCAGCGCGCGCTGTCCGAACCCCCACTATCAGTATCATTATTACTGGAAGTCCCTAGAGCGTTAAGATGAAGGGTTCGATGTTGATGGGGGCGAGGCCGCTGAACACGGTTCCCTCTCGTGGGGTAAGGCGCGCCAGCATTTCGATGGTATTGGTGTCCTGAAGTCATTCTCGTTAACATACTTCGCGCCGTAGCTTTTTTCACTGCTGGCCAAACGTACTGTTATGGTAGCTAGAGGTCGCGACAGACTGTACGCCAGCCTGCTGGTTTTTGTGGCGATTAATCTGGCCTGATTAGAGAAATTAGTGAGAATCGAAGAAGAACAAGGTCGTCGCAAGACGACGTCATGGTAGGTGTGGGTTGAGTCAAACCGGCAAGTCGCCCGATGCGGGCCAAGAGTTCCTTTTCTTCGTCGGTCATATCGAGGCTATTTAAAAACGTGCTTTGAATCGCTATTGCTTGTCGGATCGGTCAAAAATGAAGTTGGAAGAAGTCAAGTTATGATCCCGTGCAGGTGTGATGAATAAGAGAAGTCGTGGGGCACTCGCCGAAGCGTCTGGTGCTTTAATTATAGGCTAGCCTGTTTTAGGGCAGGTTCTTTGTTCTAGGGTAGGCGAGTGGGGCACTGCAGGTGCTTTACTGAAAACGCCAACGCCAAGTAGCCTTGCCTATTGTTTCAAGAGACAATGAAAGATATCTGAATTTCTAAATTGCGCCGCAGTTTATCGAAATCTTGTTCATTTTACAACCTACCTTAACTCCCACGATTGTTCTAAATTCTTTCTAACCAATTTACCTCCAAGCGTCGAACTACCTTTCTTTCTCGACGCCCGCCAGCAGCACGCCATGGCCGACTGGGGCCTCCTCGACGAGAAAGCTGAAGCTGAGCTTCACAAAGCTCGCCTTCTTAATATCGAAGAAAAGCCATTCAAGCGCTGCGTCCGCCGCCTAGCTACCATCACAGACGTCGTCTCCTCCAACATCCCCCTAAAGAACACCGAGCCAGCCGCCGACGCCAACGGCAAACCCAGCACGAAACCAGATCTTCAGCTACTGAAGGAAGGCATCACCATTGACTTTGCCTCCTTCGACAGCTCCCTCCTCCGCTTCCAATTCCTCCACGATGCCAACGCGCGCGAGCGCGAGCGCTACAAGGCCGACCAGGAGCGGATCCTGCTCGAGTGCCAGGCGGTAAGGGAGAAGAACACGGAGCTGCGGGTGGAGCTGGAGGGGGCGCGCGCGACGCTGGCGCAGCGCAAGGAATTCGACGCGATGGCGGATAAGATCACATCCAACCGGCTTCTGCGGCCGCGTGAGGATCAGCTGGCCAACCTGGCCAAGCTAGAAGAGGAGTGCAGGGAGCTGGAGCGCGAGAGCGAGACGTACAGCGCCACGTGGACGGAGCGGAGAGCACAGTTCAACAGGATCATCGAGGAAGGCATGTTGCTGCGGCGGCAGATTAGAGATGAGAAGGAGGAGGTGGACAGACGCGAGGGTATGAACGAAGGGGGCGATGACGAGGTGTCTGGGCAGACGCCCCGACCAGATCGAAGTCGCAGCCCGTCACCCACGGGCGAGGGCGCGGAACAGGCGAAGAGCAATGCAGAAGGGGAGACACCACAACCTCCGGGCTCCAACGTCGGCACACCACTTCGTGACAGCCCAGCACCCTCTCACTTACATCCTGGAGCTGGCTCACGGCGCAGTCAGTCTCAGGCTGGAAGTCGGGATGTCACGCCACTGCCTCTGGAGGAAGGAGAAGACGAAGAAATGGAGGATCAGGATCAGAAGGATTCCAGAGAGGTTACGGAAGTTGAGACGCCCCGTATTCATATCGAGGCCGCTGGGGATAAGATGGACGTGGACAATTAGTCCAGTAGTTGAAAGAAAAATTGTATAGGAGGATACCCATGATATTTTAGAGCAATAATACTTAACACCAGAGGCATGAAGCCTAACAACGCCAAAACCAAGTACAAAAAGACGCGTGCATAGGTCCTGCGGTATCCTCCTCTCTCGTATGACTTAAGGTCTCACATTATTGTCACCAATGCCCCTCCTGATAAACAACTCTATTTATGTATCACTCCGACTTTTTCCTCGATAAGTAGAATCAAGCCTCTTTCTGCACTTCCTTGGCCTTGGCCAGCGCATCATTGGCGTTCTGAAGCTCGATTTCCGAAGCTGCACCATCCGCAGCGAGTGCTACCTGATCCTCCAGCTTCGCAACTGCGTCGGCGAGTCTCTTGCGGAGAGGGTCGAACACGGCCTTGGTTTCGTCGACGGCAAGTTTCTAAAAGAGAGTTCGCACTACAGTTAGCCCCAAGACCTGAAAAGCCTACACGCCGTGATAGCGGGTGTTTCGATTTGGAGGGGGAGGGGTAGCTCACCTGCTGCTTCAACATGTACTCGTCGTTGCCATCCTCGCTTCCCTGGCCGCTGGCGATCTTGTCCTCCAGAGTCTTGACCTTCTTCTCCTGGTCGACGAGCTCTTTGTGGTACGAGTTCTCCTCCTTTACTAGGCGGAGGACGGCGCCCGTCGCGATAACGAGGGGTGAAGGTGCGGGCATATTGAACGTGGAGCTCGGGGTATCGGCAGAGACTGTCGTATCGGTCCGTCGATGGAACTATTTGAAGATCAATCGCGTGAGGAGAACGTTGAGAGGAACCTGGCCTCGGGTCTGTTGGATGCCTGGTGTATTAAAGTTACAAACGTTATTTTGCTGCCTACAACGTGTTTGCGCAGGCAGTAACAAATGAGATCATCGCTCAGCGTGGGGTGAAGCCCCTCCACCAAAGTCACGCCAAAACAAAACTGCCTGCATAGCTTGAGCTAGCATCAAAACCTCACCATGCACAACCGACAAAGGTCCCAGGCAGTCACTGTCATTTGTGGATATTCATATATCAAACTATATATTTAGTTGTGTAAGCTATGTACATATGTAAGGGCAACAGTGCCAAACAGTCGTCATCCATCCATCTGAGTCCAAGCCTCCGACTCCCAGCAAGCAGAGTAGCAGAGCGAGCAACTAATCCATTTTCCCAGTTCCTATACTTTCCAACCAGAAAACCCCAGTGGTATCTTCAAAACTCCTCCAACGCCCAAGAGACGCCCAAACGATGAAAGCACCAGCCGGAAATGCGCAAAATCGGCGGAGCGTAGTCTACAGTAGCCAACATGATTTCTGAACAATCCGTTTGTCCAATATAAAACAGCCCGTCCGCCCCAAAATGAGAGAAAAAAAAGGTCTACGAATTGCATACATCATCATGCTTCCACGGCTACCACAGGGGCACCGGTTGGTGCCACATGCTGTTGTTGCTCCTCCTCTTCTTCTTGGTGTGCGATTTCGCCGCCAGCTTCACGCTCGGCCCAGGCTCCCCATAGACCACGCTTTCCACGAACCCGAATTGGAGCGCCAAGATCGGGTCCTTGCTCGACTTTGATGGCATCTTTCGTCGCGAGCACGAGACACTCGAAAAACATCTTGGTAGCCTCCGCTTTGGTTGCCCGCTTTTCGGGGATCAAGTCCTGGAAAACAACAGAAGACTGTTTTCGCTTCTCGTCATCGGTAGCAGCCTCGGAGCCGAAGAGGTCGCGGAGGATGTGGACGGCATGCTTAGTGCCTAGGGAAACGGGGCCGCTGTCTGCAGGATGCACCAATGGTGCTGTCGTCTCATCAAAGCCAGGCAGAGCTGATTCATCATCTCCTCCAAGCATATGGCCATCATCACCAGGAATCTCAAGAATCGTGCCATCGGCAGCCACACTCTGATTACCAAATTCCCTGCCACCAAGAGCCGTCTCATCATCATCTCCAAGCTCCAGGCGGGGAGACTTAGGGTTTCCATGATCACTGTCGACATCAGCGATGCCGCTGTCGCGCTTGCGCTTAAGCTCGACAGCTCCACGAGCAGCATCGAGCGATAGCATACCGCGAAGTTCAGGAGCCCAGCCGGTTCCACGTCCCTCCAACATGACTGATGATACAAAGCCGCCATGCTTCTGCATATCCATAAGAGCCAACAAGAATGGGTCGCTGGGCAAAAACGTGGCGTCTCGCAGGATGTTGGTCCGATCATTTTGCTGCTGCTTGATATGGGAGCTTGACAAGGTGATTTCCTCGTCAGGCATCAAGACCTTTTGCTTCTTGACGCGTTGAGCAGGTCGTCGGACGAGAGTGTGCTCAGCATCCTCGTCAGGTTCGTAAAGATCAGTTTGATGATGGCTGGTGTATTCATCTTCAATCTCCTTGGCAAAAGCTTCATCAATATCTGAGAGTGGTGACTCAGAAATGCGCTGTCGGTTGATATCTGGAGCGGTGTGCAATTCTGGCATGGCAGACTGATCGTCTGGGTTGAAGTGGAAGTCGTCGCCCATAGCGATATCACCATCAGTGTCAGCAATTCGCACACCATCATCAATGGTGTGGTCTCCCTCAGCGCCATCCTTCAGTCTCATACCGCCATCCAACTCGCTGAAAATGTCATCATCGACAGGACGAGCCGCAGGGGCATCTCGGCCAATTTCAATGCTCTGCGAGAGGTCGTCGTTGTCGAGGCCAAAATCCAGGTCAAGGTCCAGGCCGTCAATGTCGAGTGCATCCTCCTCGGGCGCAGAGGCTCCCTGCAAGAATTGGCTGTTGTCGAAATCTTCCTGCAGATTAATTTCTCGGTTGCTGACACGACCCTTGCGACCAACAACATGGGTGGCAACATCGTCAGTCTGTGAGAGGAGCCAGGATGCGTCCGGGGGAGGTGGGAGGTCCAGATTGTCGTAGGGCGTAATACGATCAGGAAGAAGCAGGGCTTCACGGTTGGGAACCTGAAGAGCTGCTGCTAAGTCATTGTTTCCAGTTGATCGGAAGGCCTGACGCGGTTAGCAAATGACACTATCAATCAACGCGTTCCAAACGCGATAGTGAAGACGTGATTCTTACCATTTTGATCTTCATCATAGCTTCATTACAGTCGTCCAACAGATAGCGCGTCTTGCGCTGGTATATTCTGACAACACCAATCAGAAGCTGTGAGCTAAGACGAAGCGCCATTGGGGCTTGGTGAGGCTGCATGATAGCATCTACACTGTCGGCGACATTAGATTGTAAAATATGATTCTTGGACAGCTTGCGCTCCATATTCGCGGAGAGCCAGACGCGGGCCAGAGGCCCGCTCTTCTGGAGGAGCGTCTCTGAGTAGAACATGGTGCCGGAGCGTGGCGCCGGCGCACCGGAATCTCGAGGCGAGGCAGCCGGTAATCGAACAGCTCACAAATGAGCGAGGAGAGGAAAGCCAGATGTAGCGATGTGAAGCTCAGGCGCGCGTGGTGGTTGCGGGATCGAACACGGAGCTGTAGTCCGCACAGTGGTAGATAAACAAGGCCTAGGGAAGAGCGCGTTCGAAAGTGGGTCAAGCACCCGACAATAAGTAAACAGCTTGCTGGCAGCAAAGCGACTGCACGGCTAGCAAACTCGATACAAATGGCGATGGAGCCAAGAAATACAATCGCCGGTGCGAGATGCGCGCGATCGTGAGCGAGAGAACGGTGGTCGACCGCCGGTGTGAATGCAAGGTGCAAGCGCTAGAAGGTGCGAAGGTAGCTGGGTGCGTGGGAATGGGAAATTTCGACTGGAGCAAATGGAGGGGACGGCTGCCTTGACCTTGTTTGACGAGGTGCGACTGCTAAATGGCGTGGCTGGGGAATCCGTGGCTCAGGCATGGGTTGTGGGCCCTTCAGGTTGTCCAGGTGTTGGCGAGGTAGCAGGAGTGGATCCAGCCCCTGTAGGTGTGCCGGAAAAGCCTCCTGCCGGCTCCGGTCATGGTGAACGAAAACGGACGTGCCCCTTACCTAATCAAATAGGAGGTCAGCGCTTTGTCTGAGTGGTGGGGGATTGTCGACCAATTTGAGACACGGTTACCCTAGCAAGGGCCTAGCGGGTGTGAGTGGCCTGTCTAGAGACGTTCATGACTCTATTGACTACAGGTATTGTCCCCAGCCGTGAGAGCCATGAGGGATCGGATACCAATATGCCGAGCCTCGACCGCTTACCGAGAGGGCTCAATCCTGTCGCATTGCGAGTCGCGTGCAAGCGCACATGGCCTAGCAAGAAGTAGGACATGGGATTCTTCATTATTGCTCCATTTCCCGCCCGTTCACTCGACGATACCTCACGATCGGAATAATTACCGTTGCGCTCCTCCAGCAAGGCTTAGCTATCCCATCGAATCAAAATCAGACGGGACGCTATTAACAGTGGATACCCGCTGAGTGATCAGATCCAGGATCAGTTTGATTGAACGCGCTGTAACTGAAAGTTCGCACTGGCCTGTAATGCAGGCCACCTTGTACCTCCAAGCCACAACACCCCTGGAACTGGCTTAAAACAACTTAGCGCATTGGTTATGGAGTCGCCTCTATTCTCTATTCCAGGTAGAATGACACGCTTGCTCTTTTTCCATCATTGAGCAACCTCATAATTAGGTATTGCTATCAAATCGCGGCAGGCGTATTTTTCTTTTCTCAGCCAAAGGTCGCGCTTTACACCTTCTATTCTATTTTCACTCATTCCTTTCGTTCATAACGTTACCCTGAACTTATTGTAATAATACTTCTGTTCCGCCTTCCTCCCACGACCTGACGTAACGACTTGCACCCTTTGTCAAATCTGTCGCCTCGAGTCCTAACCGCTTTATTGTCCATGCCTCGCCCATAAATTCGTCCTAGAACATCGCATTCGAGAATACGATGCAGCTCCCATGGCCAGGGCGTGGAAGCGCTCCCACGGATGGTGTTCTCCCAACGAAGAACATCCCGACCATATCAGGGCCATCCTTTGACTTTCAAGACGGCGAGAAACCCACGACAAGGCCTCGTCATGTTCGGACAACATCTTCAGCCGCCCGTGTAAGTTATGTGTTGGATCTCCCCATATATTCCCTATCCCTTCTATGGCCTATCGTCTGACTGGCAGATATAGAATATGGCCGATGAGTACTCCTACATGACACCAAGCGAAGCAGCCGCCCAATTGCGAACCTCCCTTACCCAGGGCCTCCATCCGAACGAAGCCGTGAAGCGACTCAACGAATATGGCCCTAACGAAATACCGCACGAGGAGCCGGAGCCAATATGGCTACGATTTTTGAAACAATTCCAGGAGCCCCTTATTGTTCTGCTTCTAGTATCTGCCGGCACCTCTCTCCTCCTAGGAAATATGGACGATGCAGTTAGTATCGCGGTCGCTGTAACTATCGTCGTTTCAGTTGGGTTTGTCCAAGAGTATCGATCAGAGAAGTCTATCGAGGCCCTAAACCACCTTGTCCCCAACCATGCGCATCTCGTTCGAGGACCGGCCAGCCGCTCCCTCAACACCGCAAGGACGTCGTCCTGGCCACCAGCGGATCAGAGTGTCCAAGATATCTCGATAACGCCCGGTTCTCAAACGCCTGTCGAAGAAGTGCTCGAGGCAGCATCATCGAAAGTCATGGCGTCTCAACTGGTTCCTGGCGACTTGGTTCTGTTCACAACCGGAGATCGAATTCCAGCCGACATTCGAGTCACCAAGGCAGCAGACTTGACAATCGATGCGTCCAACCTCACGGGAGAGAACGAGCCTGTGAGAGTAATCGCAGATGCAAGGTCACGTAAAATCAGCTCCTATGGACTGCTTCCTCATTTGCAACCTCCTTCCAACGGAACCCATGGAGATGAACCACACGGCCATGAATCTGCACAAAATATCGTTGCAATGGGCACACTTGTGAAGTCCGGCCATGGTCAGGGTATTGTTTTTGCGACCGGAGGATCGACGCATTTCGGCACCATCGCAACCAGTGTGTCGGGAACGGAGAGTCCGCGATCTCCTCTGCAGCTTTCCATGGATGATCTTGGCTCACAGTTGAGTAAGGCCTCTTTTGTAGTCATTGGTTTAATCTCGATCGTCGGGTGGTTACAGGGAAAGAAATTGCTCGAAATCTTCACAATCTCCATCTCCCTGGCTGTCGCCGCCATCCCAGAGGGTCTACCAATTATTGTTACGGTGACCTTGGCTCTCGGTGTCCACCGTATGGCTAAGCACAACGCGATCGTGCGAAGGATGCCCAAGGTTGAGACTCTCGGTTCGGTCAACGTCGTTTGTACCGACAAAACAGGTGGGTAGTTTTATTTTCTTTCAACAGGCCTATTCTTAACCACTTGCTGATACGAACCGCAGGAACCCTCACAACGAACCATATGACTGTCGCAAAATTATGGTACTTTGGTTCTGAGGGCATCTTAAATGTTGGCTCAAATGAGGAATACGAGGAACACCAACCTAATCCAGCTTCTCTTCGAATCATGCGCATTGGAAATATTGCCAACAACGCTCGTTTGGCACAGAAATTCACCGAAAACGGGGCCGCAACCTCTGCTATCCTCACATCCACAATGGGAGGCGGGGAGGCTACAACTCATACTCGATGGGTTGGACAACCAACGGATGTCGCCATGTTGGATCTGCTAGACAAGTTCAAGGAGCACGACGTGCGAGAGTCTCTCGGGCCACGCAAGAACGAGACACCTTTCAGTTCTGAACGCAAATGGATGGGGGTTACGATTGACGCAGACACGGCTAGGAGCGACAAAGAGTTTGCGTATATGAAAGGATCCATTGAGAAGGTCATTGCAGCATGCGATACGTATGTGGACGGGGATGGACGGGAGATTATTCTTGATGCATCGCGTCGCGAGGAAGCATTACGGGCAGCTGAGACCATGGCAGCCCAGGGTCTTCGTGTGCTAGCATTTGCCAGCGGTGCGGTATCCCCTCGGTCGTCACGAGTTCGGGGGGGGCGTGGTACCTCCCCCAGTACTGACAATGTCCATGAAGATTCATACAAGGGACTTGCTTTCGCTGGTCTTGTCGGTATGAGTGATCCACCTCGACCAGGTGTCGCTAAGTCGATCAGGACATTGATGCATGGAGGTGTGAAAGTTATCATGATTACTGGTGACGCTGAGACAACCGCGCTGGCAATTGGAAAGCAGCTAGGAATGGCCATCGCTACCCCAAGCCCACACTCTGCTGGTCAGAGGATGGTTAAATCTGTGCTGAGGGGCGACGAAGTGGACAGAATGTCCGATATGGAGCTTGCACAAGCCATGGAGCATACGACCATCTTTGCACGAACCAACCCCGATCACAAGATGAAGATTATTCGAGCTCTGCAGTCTCGGGGCGACATTGTCGCCATGACTGGTGACGGTGTCAACGATGCCCCGGCATTGAAGAAGGCTGATATTGGAATCTCAATGGGTCGGCATGGGACAGATGTGGCCAAAGAGGCTGCAGATATGATTCTCACAGATGACGACTTTTCGACCATTCTTCACGCTATAGAGGAGGGCAAGGGTATATTCAACAACATTCAGAACTTTTTAACATTTCAACTGAGCACCAGTGCCGCCAGTTTGGCACTTGTCTTCATCTGCACTTGCTTTGGGTTCAAGAACCCCCTGAATGCAATGCAGATTCTATGGATCAGTGAGTCTATCCCATTCGTCTATTGTGCTCGAAGAAAAAATGAATCCCTTCTAACTTTTCCAGATATTATTATGGACGGTCCACCCGCTCAGTCTCTTGGAGTTGAAAAGGTTGATCCTGATGTGATGAACCGACCTCCACGGAAGCGAAATGATCCTGTGCTCACTAAAGCACTTATTCGACGAGTTCTCTCTTCTGCAACAATCATCACGCTTGGAACTATGCTCATCTACAGCCGCGAAATGCTAGCGGATGGTCAGGTGACTCGACGTGATACAACCATGACCTTCACCTGCTTTGTGTTCTTCGACATGTTCAACGCATTGAGCTGCCGATCTGAATCGAAATCTGTTTTCCAAGGTGAAATCGGGCTTTTTGCCAACAATCTATTCAACTGGGCTGTTTCAGGGAGCATCATCTGCCAACTCCTAGTTATCTACTTCCCTTGGCTGCAGTCAACCTTCCAGACTGAAGCCATCGGATTCTTCGATCTTGTTCGGCTGCTGTTTCTCTGCAGCACCGTGTTTTGGGCGGATGAATTAAGAAAATACCTAAAATATGGGAAACGGCGTTTCACCAGTGGATATAGCCAGGCAGTGTAAACTGGCACTTGCATTACATATACGCATTCTGGCGTGCTATTTATGGGTAATGGGCACATATATAAGAATATCTATCAATGTAGATGTATACAATACACCACCATTCACATGGGGTAGAACTTACTGTTTATACTTGTATACCTTCCAGGTTACTTGCACAGATGCGAGCTGTCTTTGACTTTACATTGTCGTGACGTGGGAATACTATTTCAACATCAACTATGGATTGAAGCGTAACGCACCTGTTGTGGTCATCTTATATGTTAACTAGACAACGGCAATCATCTGGATAAGCCAATCTACACAGTTATCCAGCAATTATTATATTGTGTTATAAATTGTGTAGATCAGATGCAGGTAAGCCCAGTTAATAGCTGTCCACTAACATGGTTGTGTGTATAGGGTAGCCCATATATCGGCAGGTACTCAGCCACGTTCGCAAAGCAACGGACTTCCATGACCTTGCTATTACAATTGAAATTCCTAGGCGGCACGGAAATCGTTTGTTGTGCCCGATTTCGACGAGGAGAGCGACAGTAAACAGGCAGCTATGCACCTCCTCGTCCAAGCAGCCTAAATGTCAGCCATTCCAAACGGCGTCCACGTTCCTGCCGCCGCAGTCCCCGCGCCAACATCCGTGTCCACATCGAGCATCCAGAATGCCGCCAACGAAGCGGAAATCCGCGCCGCGCTCGAGGCCCTCCATGCCCAGGAGACTGCGATAAGCAAGAAGCTCGACTCCCTCATCGCCACGCAGGCCGATGTGACCCGCGATCTGGGCCGGCTGGATCTCCTCCGGGCCGGGCTGGGAGCCCAGGTCATAGCGACGAGGACGATCAGCAATGACATGCTCTCGACGGCAGCCGACACGGCCGGGCGGCTCAGCGACAAGGTGAAGGAGCTGGATCTGGAGAAGAGCCGGGTCGAGGATACACTGAGGGTCGTGGAGCAGGTAGCGGAGCTCAAGGCGTGCGTGCACGGGGTCGTGGGGTCTATGGGTGCGCCCCAGGACTGGGAGGCGGCGGCGACGTATCTCGACCGCGCCAGCAAGATTCCCGAGGAGATCACCAAGGGTGCCTTCGCGGCTAGCATAGTGCCCAGCGTGGAGGTCCCTGATGCCCCGTGGGTGACCCTAGAGGATTCCAGGGAGAGCCTGTGCGGGCTGTTCCTGCGGGAGTTCGAGAAGGCTGCGGGGCAGAGCGATGGGACGAAGGTGACCCGGTTCTTCAAGCTGTTTCCTCTTATTGGGAGGGCTGAGGTGGGATTGGACGTTTACGGGCGATATGTGTGTCAGGGCGTTGCGGGTACGGCGCGGACGACACTCAAGGAAGGCTTTGGCGGGCAGACGCGGAAGGACGGGTTCTTCTACGCCAATTCCCTGACAAAATTATTCGAGCACATTGCGCAGATTGTCGAGGGACACGGAGCGCTTGTTGAGCGACACTACGGCAGTGGGAAGATGGTACGGGTCATCGAGCGGTTGCAGAGTGAGGCTGATGTCCAGGGCGGGATCATTATTGATTCGTGGAGCGACGATCGCAACATTGACAGGAAGTTGACGGATGTGAAGAGCTACCCCTTCTCCTTTTTGGTCCAGAGTTTCCTTCCACAGCCCCCTAGAGTGGGCACGCCGAGGATGAACTCGCCAGCTGTCGGCGTTGGGAACAACCCACGGGCCAGCGAGGATGAAGGCGTGAATATGAAAGAGGTGGACGGTCTGTTGAGTGAGATTGCTGTCATGTTGGCCCGGTGGTCCCTATTTTCCCGGTTCCTCGCTGGAAAGTGCAAGGTAAGGATAATTGCCTGCCATTCCATCATAGCAACCGCATTTACTAACCTTTCTTACAGGATCCTGATCTCCCCGTGGAATCTCTTCTGAGCATCCCCGAGGTCCTTATTAAATCAAACCTATATCGAAAGGTGTCAGGCAAATTAATCAGCCCCTATAATGTCATGACGACTTTCTTCTTCCGTCGCTCAGTAGAAAAGGCCTTCCAGCTGGATGAATACCCTACCGGCCTGAGCCTGAACATGAACAGGCAGATTGAGAGCAACACGCCCTATATTATCATGGCCGTGGACGATGTCATGTACATTGTTAATGCCGTCGTGGAAAAGTCGATAGCAACTTCACAAAGAGACATCATTGCATCCGTCGTCCCTACTATCGGGCGGGTGCTTAGCTCAGACTTTGTCGGCATGATTCAGCGCAAGATGCGCGACGAGTCGTACCCCAAGCCTGTTGTTCAGGGCGGCTTCCCGCCGGAGGACAAGATTATCCAGTTCATCGTACTGATCAATAGCCTGGACACGGCCAACGAGTATCTGACAAGAATCATCAGCGGCCGTATTGGCGCGGGAGGGGGCGCAGATGGTGGCGGCCCTCTGAAGAACGCATTCCCGTTCGAAAAAGATGTGGCTTTCGTAGCCAACGCTCTCAACACCCTCCAATCATCCTTTGTCGCGAAGACAACAGAGCTCCTGAATGAAGGAATCCAGGTGCTGTTCAACCAGGTAATCAAGCCACGGCTACGACCAGTGCTGGCAGATACGTTCCGAGATGCAGACTATACTCTTACCGAGGATGACATTGCTGCATTGACGCGAGGGGGGGAAGAGGACGAGAACGAAATACTCGAGCAGGTGCCACGGCGATTCGAATATGGATGGGACCAGCTGATGAAGCCCATTGGGCGTCTGATGACGCCAGGGACCTTCAGCAGCCTGTCCGACCTTACAGCGCGCTATCTTTCCAAGGTGCTCGAGAAGCGAATCTTGAGCTATGGGGGCAGGACAAATGCCTACGGCGCTATACGAATAGAAAGAGACTTTACGGGTATAGTGGACATCGTCTCGCGAGGCAACTACCTCGTCAGAGAGACGTTTGCCAAGGTTACTCAGCTGCTCATGGTGGCGAATATGGAGGATGACGAGTGGGACGAGCTGGTTGCGCTTGACGGTGAGGATGGCATGGATTGGGTCTTGACTGATGAGGAGAAGAGAAAAGCCAGGAGTTTAGTTCGGGACTGAGTTTGGGAATAGAGCCTTGAATTATCAACCTGCGAGGCCGCTATGTTCTCTACGTGTCTAAAAGCATATATATGAATATAGAAATATACCAAGAGGGAAATTTGCAGTATTTTAGGGGAGGATGAGCATGTTTATATGGCCGGTATCATTCTATCTGATCGGTATTGATGGCGGTTAGAGCCGTTTAACTGCTCCCCGGTTAAAGTGCCAAGGGCCAGCGAGGTATGCTTGCGAGTGATAGTAGGGTTTTGGGCAGGCGTTGGGAATAAACGAGAACGTGAACCAGCGAGTGATGCCAATCTTTATTATCGAATGAAAGAGAATTATCTAGGGATCTTCCATGCTACAGCATTATCAAGTGGTGTGAATTACGGTCACAAACTTCCCGCTCATATACACAAGATTCCTAATCAATGCCCCAAGCAATATTTTTCTGTCCCAAGAAGCTCTTGGGTCTGATACAGAAAGCATGGAGTACAAGCCCCTCCAGTTACATGGAAGATATTCCGATTGGCATCCAAGCCATGATTAGACCAAGAGCCAACGTTGCTTTAGTCCCAGTCAGAATAATCATCCGAGGTCGCAAGAATTTAATTACATACCTAGTATGATTGCGGCTCTGAAGTCAACATATGCTGTCAGGTTTCCTCGCTTGAAATCCAAAATGTGTTTCCCCCCTGATCTTGCATCTTTTGGTTCAATTGCTGGCTCCTGCTCTTGAGATACCGCGAGCAATGACTTATTCCGAGCTGGAGCATTATGTGAATGCACATCGCCGGAGTGATGGTTATCTGATTCTGGGCTCGCATTTATCAGCATAAGGAGCTTTTCCATATTGTCCGGAGCAAAGTGTGTGATCCATTCTCGAAGGGTTATTGTTTGGAGTTTGAGCAGGTTCAGATTCCGGGGTGCCCACTGAGAAATGGTATCGGGTGAGAATAAGAATGGCACGGAGAGACGCCCGTTGCAATAAGATATCCAAATTTCCGTGTCATCGTCGGGGGTTTCGTGAGGACAGATTTTTGCTTCGAAATTTGTAGAAGCGCCGTGGCTTAGGAACCACTCAAAGGTCATGAAATCGGGAGAAACGTTTTCTTCGCTCAGACATTTGATGAGTTCACAGGTTAGAAACCACTGCCAGGTGCTGATGTTGTATCCTGAAAAGTGATGGGCTTTACGGGCTTTACGCTGAGGTGCACACGGTAAATCCCCCACGATGAAGCAACAGTTTGAACCTTCTTTCAAGAGTTCACCATCCAGAAGACCGTTCCAGGCAGATAAGTTCGATCTGAAATGATAGAGTAGTAGTCCGACTACTTGCGCTCTTATCCATCGTTGATTTAGACAATCAGGGTTCTTTTCGAGTAGGAATTTAGCGAATTTGATATTTCCCCCAATCGCAGCAAAAAAGAGAGCATTGAAACACCAGAATGATGAATAGCCATGGTATTGCATTGGATATGCGTATCCTAAGTGACGAGACCTTTCTTCTGGAGGCACAATTAACGTCATACGAAACCTGTCATTATGCCATGCTTGTATATACGCCAGGAAATCATAGATGCTCTCGTCAAGGGCCTTAAGGCACATAGTCATAACTGAAGCCAGAAAACAGCCAGCCTGTCTGTGGTCGTACCACCCGGCCCGAACCTGGGCTAATATTAGGTGTGATAGTGTCGTTGCGGCTTCGGCCGTATCGACGTATCCCAGGAGGCGCCTGAATCCCTCCTTGTCAAGGACTTCGGGAATGGACCTGTGGATGAACACGATCACCTCCCCCTGCCCGGCTATTTTGAGAAACCCACCGCTGCAATACCGGAGTTGCTTTTCGGCACGCAGACGTCTCTCATCCAGGTGTGTTTTATTCTCGTTGAAAGTATCTCTGGTTGCGAACTTGTGGTCTGAATTATACTCATCGAGAAATGAAAAAGCAAGTTGTGTTAGGCAGAGGGTACCACATTCCCGCTCGTGTTCGAAATAGCGCTGCAAGCGAAGCATTGCTACGACCTGGGACAATTTCCTGCGTTTCTCCGAGCTTAGTCTATGTAGTGTATGGCCAATGAGATTTTCTAATCCTTCAGGTATAGATAGGCTTGCTTCGATTTCTTGAGGGTTAGTTTCACCGCTCTCAATCTTTTCACGGATGTTTCTGACAACGAAAATTACCCAGAGAAAGACTCCTTTAGCCCGGTTGCAGATTTTGTAAACCAGTTCATCTTTGGAATCACCGGCCTCAAGTCCTTGCAATCCTTCACGGACGTAGGTAGAGATGTCATCCCATGTGAGCTGGTGGAGTTGGAGGCGCTGCTCTTCGGGAAATGCATTCATGAAAGCATTCTCTTCTCGGCTTGAGACACAAATCTTGAGGTTTCCATTTGAATTGTCTACCCATCTGGTCAACAGGTTTGCCAAGCTCGTATAGTCTTGTTGATCTGAACCGAGAAACTCATCAAGACCGTCGATGAAAAAGCAAAAACAGTGATCTTTGATGACGTTCTGATCTTGAATCAAAGTAAAAAGAGCATTCTCGACTGCGATGGGTGGGATTTCAATATCTGGATCAACAACTATTGGTATCTGCTGTACCATCTCCCAGTGCGTAGGCATCGCATCGGGTATTAATTCGGGACAGCTTTTGAAGATTTCATGAAGAAGAGAGTAGAAGAGGCCGGTGAGATTGTGCTGTAGGTCTGAGCCGGGCCTCCAAAAGAAATGCTTAGCAAGACACAATGTCCTGCTCCCTATAAACATTCGATCAGCTTCAGTGGTTTCATCGCCAGCGTAATATTTCCATACCGGCCCATTTGCGGAGTTCTTCTTTCGTTGCTGGGTTTTCGTAAATGAACTTCATCATCGTGGATTTTCCCGCACCCGGTATTCCAGTGAAATGGAATATTTCGTCGGAAGAGCTAAGCCAAGTTATAAACTTTTCTCTCATATAAGCCCTTTTGATTTGGTCCTTTTGATTGAGAAACCGGGGGCTTCCGATAATATCGTGAGATCCTTTCCCCGGAGATGAGTGTTCAGCAGCCACAAGGTTGCAAGTATCCTCGAAAATCCAGGAGAAGGTCCCTTCTTTGGGATTATCTATGCTGGAGTACCTTACAACGGTTTCTTTGAAATGGAGCCTCTTTTGAATGCGATTGGCATATATAGGCGCGAGGGCTTCCTCGTGGCAGGCGAGAATGAGCGAAAGTCTGTCCTGGGCCATCTTGCTCTCAAGTTGGGTGAAGTCTGCCCTGATTGAGCCAACGTGCTTTTGCATGGTCTCGACCATCTGTAGCCCGTTATTCCCTTGGATTTGTAGTACTTGATAGAATTCTGTGAGTCGTTTTCTTGGGGAAATCGATGTTAGATGCTGGAATTACAGAGAGCATGAGGCTAGGCCTACCCTTGTATTTGGATTTGGTGAGCTGATATCTGAAGACGGCATTTATCGAGTCTTGATTCCAACTTCTTCAGCTCGGGCTCATGGCGGATCGCTTTGAAAGAAGACAACACCTTGTTGAGGCGGCCGTTCCCTTTCGATGCAAGGCGACCAAGTAGATAGCCCATCTCCTTGTGGCATTTCTGGCATTCCAGAGCGAGGTCATATAAAGGTCTTTCATCTTCGGGTATCTTGGAGTAGTCTGATGTGTTGATTGCATCCAATATTGGACGCATCGACCGATTGACTGCGGCTCTTAACTTATTTTCCTCTGTGGCACCTTCTGCGGAGTCACGGACTTCCTTGACGATGTGGATTAAGTTCACACCGAATTCAACGAAGGTTATCACCGAAGCTGCGACTTGGAAAGCCGTAATAGGGTCCATCGTGAATCTATCCGGGTTGTTATCAACTAGCACCGAATGCAAGGGTGACTGACGATGGGTGAACGACATAAAATGAGTAGACACGGTGAATGTGAGAAATGTGCAATTTTCAAATCAAATACTCAGCCTGGTTGGGCGGCAAAGTCCTGCAGTCAGAGGCATGCATCAACCTATCAGCAGGCTGCTTTGAATATATGTATTTTTCGGAGAGAATGGGATTGGCCGTCTGAGGCACACATGCTGACAGTGATTTCATTCAACCCACCCTCACTGCTGCCTTGCCTCAATGCCATGCTGGACAAGCAAAATTCGCCCAACACTCGAAGCCCAGCAGCAGGAAGAGGCATATATAACAGGATGGCAAGGTAAGTGGTGACTCTCCGCTAGATACCTAAGCACAATAGAGGGCAAATTGCAAGCTGATTCAACTGCCTGCTAAAGCAATGCAAAGCAGTTTTACTTAGTCGCTATATACCAAATGTAGGTCGCTATGAGCAGTTGGTTGCTGGGGTAGGGCGGCACCTATATAAGCTAACCTTCAAGTGGCTAAAAGCATTAAACGGGCTATACCGGGTGTGGTTTGGTGTGCGAACCCCCTGTTAGAAGCCCTGTCTTTAAGTCAGGTACCTACCTACCTACATAGGTAGAGTCAATTGCCAGCCCCGATGTCATTTAAATGCTGTAGGTGTACGACGGCAGATTTAATCAAGCAGAATCAAACCTATTCTCATGACAAAAGTAGTTTCGAGAAATATGGTGCCAAGCTCGGTTGGATCCAAGAGATTTCATCACAAGTCACGGAATGGATGTGGTCAGTGCAAACGAAGACATGTCAAGGTAACTATAACCACTTCAAGACTGGAGAAGGATAGCTAAGACGAGACTTCTGGCTTTCTCAAGTGTGATCTAAGACCGCCGGTGTGCTCGAATTGTTGGAAGAGGGATGAGGCATGTGATTACCAGCTTCGCGATGTCGACTCTTTCACACAATCGAGCCTTGACACCAAACGAAGCGTGAATGCCTCTGAGCCGAATGGCATCTCGACCAACTCTTCTACGGTAGCTTTCGGGGAGCATCCATATTTTGGAATGCCTATTTATTTAAAAAGCTCCTTGGATTCGAAAACGCAACCCTTCTGCCGGTTCCATGGCTCGTCCCCTGGGGATGGCCTCAGCGCAATTCTCATGGATCACTATCTCGTTCGGACATCGCTGGAATTCGCTCCAGCGGCTGACTCGGATTCAGACTGGAATCAACATGTAGCTTACGCGTCTACTATTTATCCATTTCTTCGACACGCACTTTTGGCCATCTCTGGCTTACACGCATGTCGGACTGGTTTCGTGAACGCCGGACTCTACTACCACGCTGCCTGTTTCCATGCAGTCAAAGCATCCACTCTCTTCCGCTCGACTGTGGCAGATCTTAATGTCGAGAATTGGGTTCCCGTGGCCGAATTCATCATAACATCGGTTTTCTTCAATTTTGATGTCAGCTTCGTTTCACGAAGATTTGGTGATCCGAGTGGTAGTGCCAGTCCTGCCTCTATAGTGAGAATTCTACGAGGCCCCCGGTCTCTCGGAAGCCAGATGGATCCTCTAGTGTTCTCCCACCCTCGGGCTAATAATCTCCTGAAGAGAATCCTGCAACACCGCTTCCCACCGGATCAGGAGTTAATGACGGCGATTGGCAGACTGGAGGGGGCTTGCCACGCCGAGCCGACCACATCTGGTAGCTCGGTTTTGCAGAGTACGGCACAGTCCCTCAGGCAATGGGCTCAATTTGTTTCATGCCAACCCAACATGTGGGTGCACTTCTTTAGCTGGCCCGCGGGAGTTTCTGAGGAGTATATCGAAATACTGGAGACCGGTTGTGGCCTCGCAAGTGTGATTTTCGTGTACTGGTGCGCCATTATGTCACGAGCACCGAGGATGTATTACTTGATCGGCACGATGGAGACATTGGCCCATCTAGCGATCAAGGATCTTGGTGGAAAGTTTAGCGAGTTGCTTGAATGGCCGCTCAAGGAACTTAAGACAACTGATAGCCTAAATTTCGTCTGAAAAAGGATGCCACCTACGTGTGAACCAACAGGTCAACATTGTTTGTTACAAAACAACTCGTTCAGGTCCTTGATCTTTAGTGATGGCTAATATCCTTCACATGAAATGATCGAAATCTTATGACGCGTAAAACATGGAGGCTGCTTATGATCTCAAACGCAAGGGTATCGCACACTAAACCTAGAGGAGCGAGCTTTATGAGATTCAGTTTCCCTATAAGTCACCATCCTTACGATGCATCAGAGTATAAATTGAGGTTGAACCTCCCGTTGTTCGGGCTGGATTCTATACATCTCATTATCCTTTCAGAAAGATACTTCCAAGATTTGATTCGGGCCATCGTTTGTTTATCATGCGTTCAAAGTTCTGCACAGCCCTCGTTTGGTTGGCACACCTTGCCACGGCTCAGTTTAGCCTTAACCCAACGACCAAGACATCGATTGCTCAGACGTCCTATGGCACTATCATCACCAACAACATCACTGAGACTGGAATCTCGGTGTTCAAGGGTATTCCGTATGCCAAGCCCCCAGTTGGCGACTTGCGATGGCGTTCTCCCCTTCCACCTGATGCTTGGGCTCAACCCATTAATGCAACTGTCGGTACGACATCCTGCTGGGGCTTTGTTGGTGGCAACGTTACTGAAACGACCTCCGAAGATTGTCTGTATTTGAATGTCTGGACGCCGGCCAAGACTGAAACGGAACGCCTGCCAGTCATGGTGTGGGTGCACGGTGGCGGCTTCAATTTTGATTCAGGGCTCAACCCTCTATTCGAAGGTGTGCACATGTGCCTGAAGGGTGTCGTCGTCGTAACCATCAACTACCGCCTGGGAAACTTTGGATACTTGGCCCATCCCGCTCTCGACGCGGAGGATCCCGTCGGGAACTCTGGTAATTTCGGGCTTCAGGATATCATGCAAGCCTTTCGATGGGTGAGAGGAAACATCGAGGCCTTTGGCGGTGATCCGAAGAATGTCATGGCCTTTGGAGAGTCGGCTGGAGCGCACGCATTGCCCATACTCATGGCATCGCCTCTTAGCGAGGGCCTGTTTGACAAGGTGACGTGTTCAAGCGGTACCTACTGGGACTCCGAGCACGGCAACATGGAGAGCTTTGCTCAGTCCCGCCAGAGAGGTTTGAACTGGGCTGATTCAGCCGCACGTCCTAATGCAACACTTCCAGAGCTGCGAGGCATGCCGGCATACTTGGTCCAGATCACGAGCTTGTGGAACGGCTTGGACCCTGCCACTGTCGCCTTTAGTCCCAACATTGACAACTATATCATCCCCAAATATGTCCCAAGCGTTTTTAGTTCCGGAGAACAGGCGAGGGTGCCTTTGGTCGCCGGATTCAACGCCCGGGAGGACACTCTATTCCAGCAACGGGCGTTGGAGCATGGCACTGCTGATTTGTTCAACGAGCGCCTCTTCTCGTGGCTGAGTATGTCAGGGCTTCCCGAAGCTACGATCAGAGATGCTATGAACAAGTATTACCCTGCCATATCGGACACACAAGCCGAGGATCCAGCTTTCCTGTGGACTGGAGATATGGTAATACGACAGCAGACTTGGGAGGCGGTTCATGAACATGAGAGGACCACTGGCCAGCCGAGTTGGCTCTATACTTTCAACTTTACTTCGGAGTTCAATCCAATCCCTGGGCATGGCCAAGATATGCCATACGACTTTGGCACCCTCAGAGATTTCGGGCTCTCAACACCGGGTGTCAAACCGGGGCCCGATGACGCGAAGATGGCGATGTATATTATGACCTACCTGACCAACTTCGCCAAGAGCTCCGATCCCAACAAGCCTGACAATCTCCGTGGCACACTGCCCCATTGGCCATCCTACAGCGCGTGCGAGGGGACGAGCGAATGTCCTAGGAACACCTGTGGTCCTCACCAAGGTCGCATATTTGAGCTGGCGAATCCTACCTCAATGCAGGAATTTGACTATAGCCGGCTTCAATTTATTCAGAGTCTGAGGAAGGATGGTGTTCTCCCCACTGGCTGGCATGATTTTGTCGTGAACTCCCTTTCTGGGCTATCTTGAACCTCAGCCAGGCCAGAGATTGCTGCACGTCATGTGGAATCAACTTCGTCCATCATTCTCACCTTGCCATTTGATCAGCAGGAGATCGCTTCTGCTCACCATTGAAAACCCTCCGTATACTTCTGAAAATATAGAGTTAGTAACTTACATCTAAGCTATCAATAAGATATTCCATAACTCTATCAGTTCATTATCAAACTGTAATTATTCGTGCTAGGTGGTCTTTTATGTAGGTGGAGGGTGCTAAGGTAAAGCCTGTAAGATCGCTGGAAGGACGACTGAAGGTCACAAGGGATGGGGAGGTGGGTGACAGAAGAACTGAGACACCCTACCTATGGAAGAGTGGCTATAGATAGACTGCTTTCTTAGATCAATCGAGAAATTCAGTAGTATGAAATGAAAAAAAAGTGACAATATTTACTATATTATCTCGGCAAAATGCATTATTAGCCCTCAATAATTTGAGAATACCAGTCACACACTCGAGAATAAGTAGCTTGATGTCAATTTGAGGGCCTCAATTTTAATGTCACCCACTTGCTGGGGTAACACTACTACTGACAATCTTAACCTGCATGAGTTCTATCGACCGGGAGATGGGTGGCTCCTTCCAGCGGCACCTAGCCATTGAGAATCTGAGAAGCTCTCTGAAGCTCGCCTGATTGTCGCATTGTGCTGCCTTCTTATTCGTGGGCAGGCTTGTTGGACAATGCAACTACTCGCGAATATGCATCCGGCTGTACTCGATAATCAGGAAGCTCCAGCCCCCCCAATTACTTAGCCAAGGCCGCTCGAGAGCGAGGAGACCCAGCAGGAGCGCAAGAGAAGAGCACGGGGAAGCATGAGCAGAGCATGAGGCAGCGCAGAGAGGCAAAAACGTGGACCGGCAACAGTCCATTTCGGATCGAGCTTCCAAAGGGCCTTTTGGAACTCTGCAGCTATTCCCAACCCAATGGCCAGCTCCGCGTGCCGCGCCGGCACCTGCAGACGGGGAGCCAACCACAATGCAACGTTGAAGCATGCGCTCGCATGGGGCTGGTGGAGGCTTCGACCTCTCCGCGCTGGGAAGCTGCAAGGTCTGTGGCCACTCCGAGAGAACCAGCCGATAACAGTCTTAGATGGATCGTCTGGCCTTCTCAAACAGGCATGTGCTTTTGTCGGTCTTGACGTCAATTGGGCCAGAGGGTCGGGCCTTGGACCTGCTTATGGCTCTCGTCGCCATGGAGGCAGAGCGGTATAAATAATCGAGCTCTGCTCTGCTCTCTGTTTCCTGCTTCTGCTTCGCTTCCAGAACGAATCCTCTAGACGCAGCCTCCTCTGTCGGATCGATCGTAGCGCATCGCCAAGCCAGACTGTGCCAAGCAAACGAGACAATTGCACGAGCGAACCAGACCGTCATCATGTTCCGCAACACCGTCCTCCTTTCTTTGGCCGCCTCCGCCAAGCTTGCGGCCGCTGGGCTCTACCCTGGCATCACCCCTCACAATCACACCTGTGCTCTTGGTACGTTAATTGCTGGCCGTCGCAATACAATGTGTACAACTTGGGTCCCGAGGCTAACTGCTAGCTCGTCCGTCGCAGTCGACCCCATCCTGTCCTGCTCTGCCGCTGCCGACCCCTCCAAGGTTGATACTTGCTGTACTGAGACCTTTGGTGGCCTAGTGGTAAGTCCAGCCGGGCCAATGGCTTGCGGAACTACATGCCCGCGACCCTGGCAATCTAATCGCAATGGTTCAGATACATAGGCTAATACCAATTGCAGCTTATCACCCAATTCTGGGACACTTACACCGGTCTTGAGAAAGATGGCCAGCTTCTGCCTCAAAAAGCTTGGACGATTCACGGCGGGTGGCCTGACTTTTGTTCGAGCAAGTAGTTAAATCCCGTTTGTTTCAATTCCTGCGTTTGCTGGAGGGTTTTGCTAACTATTTGGCGCATGCAGGCAAGTATACGCAGTACTGCGACTTGAGGTAGGTCGCGATCTCCCACGAACTGCGTGCGGAAATGGAAAAGCCCTAACACATCTCTTAGCCGCCAGTACGACCCGAAACCGTCTCCTAATACCACTACTGGTACCCCCGATGGCACTCCAGTGCCTCCCTACAAGGGCGAGCCCATTGACAAGTGGTTTGTCCCGAACGGCAAGGGAGATCTCCTAGCATACATGAACAGGCACTGGGTCTCCCAGCTCGACCCCAATTGGGTTCTCTGGGCCCATGAATACTCCAAGCACGCCACCTGTTTCTCTACCTTCCAGACCGAGTGCTATGTAAGTAGATTCAGCTCCATTTAGACACTCCCATCCCACTAATTGGATACTGACTCCCAACTCCTAGGGTCCCAACTACTCCAAGTTTGACGACCTCTTCGAGTACTTCGAGACTGTCATTCGCTATCATCGCACTCTGCCAACCTATGATTGGCTAAGCGCTGCCGGAATCAAGCCTTCCAACAAGACCTCATACAGCGTGGCCAAAATCCAGAAGGCTTTGAGCGATAGCTACGGCCAGCCTCCCTTCATTGGCTGTGGCGGCCCCAAGTACAATGAGACCGAGGCTGGTAAAGGCTCCCTGGACAACGGCGGTACTGTCTTGAATGAGATGTGGTATTTTCAGAATGTGCTAGGGAGGATCCAAGACCACCAGGTCCTCAGACTGCCCGCCACCGCCGGTGGAAGACTCACAAGCTGTGCCCAAGCTGAAAATGCTGTTTGGTATTATGAGCGCACCAATGGCAGCGAGTTTCGTTGAAGAAGATGAAAAGGTTGAGAGGGGAGACGATGAATAACATGAGCAGATGGCCGGAACGATAATGATGTCACGCACCAGAGACTAGCTGGCTCTAATAGGTAGACCTAATGTCCAAACAATTACGGAGAAATCGAGACCTAGATGCCATGATGGAAATGTCCTCCGTGTAAGTGATTCTTCATCATGCTTAGTCATCATAGCGCCGTCCTCGGTGGGCAAAATTCACCTGGACTAAACTCTCTGACGCCTGAGCCTGGGAAGAGCAGGATTACCTCATTGCCGACCTTGACAGAAAAAAACCATCTGCAGCCAATGAGTCACATCTCTACCCACAAAGAATTACCCGTTAGAGTGCTTTTTTTCTGGGACTCGATGCATCTGCCTACTTGAATAGTAGGCAGCAAGTGAGGTAGTAGGCTGTGACTAGTGCTGTGGCACACGGGTGTAATTTTTCTTTTTCATATGAATTTTCTCAAGGCAGCAAGATCCCGTAGTTCCACTTTACGATCTCAACGTCTCGTACTAGATTTCGTGCCCGTCCCCAAGCGAGCAAGCTCTTCGATTTCTTTGACAAGTCCAAGCCCTGGGCGCGGGGATAAACCTACTACGCATCCTGACTCACTGTTGACAAAGAAGGCACATCGTCGCATCTGCCGACTTACAGCATCGACTTCTGGGTCTTTTCACACAGCCGTGGCCGAGAGACCACCAGCCACTATAAAGATGGAGACCAGAATATTGAGAGTCCCGGACGACCAGTCCTTTGGAAATTTTGAGACGGGATCAGGCTTGGAGCGCTGGAACGTCAACGCGGACAACGTCGAGGCAACTCGGATCCTAAGGGAAGCCGGTGATTACTTGCGCACCAAAGATACCCCCGTGGCGTTCCCTACAGAGACAGTCTACGGGCTGGGCGCTGATGCCACGAGGTCCGCCTCCGTCAGGGGAATCTACACGGCAAAGAACAGACCCTCCGACAACCCTCTTATCAGCCATGTCTGTGATCTGGAGATGCTGCGAGACCTGCTAGGCGGCAAGGACGGTTCTGGTTCTGGCTCAGCAGAGAGGACCGACGACGTGATACCCTGGAGGTATAAATCACTTATCGAGCGTTTCTGGCCCGGTCCTCTGACCATCCTGCTGCCCAACCCGTCGCAGCCGAAACTGGCTCCCGAGGTCACGGCGGGCCTGTCGACTTTCGGCGTGAGGATGCCGTCGTCGACTCTTGCGCTCTCGCTCATCAAGCTGTCCGGCGTTCCCTTGGCGGCCCCCTCGGCCAATGCGTCGACCAAGCCCTCGCCCACCACCGCACAGCACGTCAAGCACGATCTCGACGGGAGGATCGAGCTTATTCTCGACGGTGGGGCGTGCCAGGTCGGCGTCGAGAGCACAGTTGTGGACGGCCTCTCTGACCCGCCTGCGGTGCTGCGACCTGGCGGTTTGAGCATGGATGAGCTGAGGAGCTGTCCCGGCTGGGAGAACGTGGTCAAGGGGTACAAGGATCACAGCGAGAATGGCCAGGCACCTAGGGCGCCCGGGATGAAGTATAAGCACTATAGCCCCAAGGCCACGGTTGTGTTGTACGAAGCGTCGTATCAATCTCAGGGAGAAGGTATCAGCTTGGATGACATTGAGGCTGGATATACAGCTCAGAGTCAGGGATCCAACGGCAAGTCACAACCGATAGTCGGAGTCGTGCGCACCCAGCGTTGGAAGCAAGCGGCCGGACTCAAGACCAGCGAGCTCCGCCTTGCCAGGGCGGGGGAGAACAAGCAGAATGGGGATAAGAAACAGGCAGACACATCATACAGTGTCTTGGAAGGGGCCCTGACTAATAGCGACGGGGAGACTGTTGGGGTCGTCCTTGACATTGATCTCGGGAAGGAAACCCGGGGGATTGCCCAGGGGCTGTTCTCAGCTTTGAGGGAGCTGGACCTTTTGGGCGCAGACATCATCTTCGTAGAAGGTATAGAGGACAAAAGTGACATCGCCGAGGCGGTCATGAACCGGCTGCGCAAGGCAGCATCGGACATTAGAGCATGAAGCATGCAAGACGAAACAATAGACATATAATACCCTTTTTGTTCTCTCTCTTCATCTAGAAAGAAATCCCGTTGCAGGCTGGCATGCATATGTGAACCCCCTTTTGTCCTGTCGTAAAATAACAAAAAGAAGATTAAAAATGAAGACGAAAAGACTCCCAGCACCCTGCGCTATCCTCTCGGCGATGCGATCCACAGTCTATCCTCCCCCTGGAAAACCGCCCCTTTACAGTCCCTGCCGCAACCAGTCGGCGAGCTTCGACTTTCCGAGTTGCGCCAGGTTGTTGACGCCCTGTTCGCTGAGGTCGATGCGGCCGAGCTGGACGTCCTGCGTTGGGGCCTTGCTTACTCTCTGGACGATGATGGTGGGATCCGTCTCCAGGATGATTCCGTCGTCGACGATCTCGTCGATAGCGAGCGACACGAGGTCGTAGTTCTCGACAATGGTTCGCTTGTCCACGGATTGCCTGCGTGCGATGTTAGGAAACCATGTCTCTTATACGGGGGGTTCGCCCCAAAGCCAGTAGCGGCCAGCAGAAGAGTATCATACTTGAATAACAGGTGTAGCGAGTCCCTTAGAGCTAGGATTGTGTTGTATAGGAGGATCTCATTCTCGTCGACACTGCCGACAACGTAGATCATGACATCGGACTCGAGCTTGTAAAGAACAATTCGGTTGTCGTAGAGGATAATGTCGCCCGTTTGCTTTGAGGTCTTCTCAATGAGTCCCTTCTCGAACGCCTTCTGCGACTTCACATCGGAATAGGGGTTGGCGTTGACATTGCCAGCTATAGATACGAGGGTTGCTGTCAGTAGCTGTGCAAGCGCCAAGCCCACGATGAGGCGGTATGCATACCATTTGGAGCTGTGTGAGGGGAGGCGTAGTATTTGGAGAAGATGCGGGAGCCGTCCTCGGTGCCGAGGATCAGGACGGCTTGCACGGAAAACAGGCTCATTCCACGAGACATGCTGGGCGATTTCGTCGTTGGGCGATTCTCTACGAGGTGGACTGGAGGCAGGGCGCCCCTCCAACTCCCAGATGCCACCGCACCCTCAATTCGAACTGGCGGGTGCTGAGCTGAGCGTCGGCCTAAACTTTCGCCGGGCCGGCCGTCTCCCTGTCGCGTGCGCACGGACCAATTTGCTTCAATGGGAAATCACTTTACGCGTCTGCGTCGGGCTTTGGCGTCTCCTTTACGCGCTCTTGACAATAATTCCTTCAGCTTCCCCCCACCTTGATATCCCTTGTCCCTCACTTCCAACACCAGACGAATTCAACCTCCGAGGTCTGGCCCCCATTTCTAAGATCGATTATCTCGGAATAATTCAGGAGTCAACAACAATTCGAATATCTCAAGCAACATGGCGTCGCCTGGACAGGGTCCGCCCTCAGAGGCGGGTACACCGCGTCCTGATGGGCAGTCTGATGCCAGCACACCAGCTCCCAACCCAGCACACCTGGTGTCGAGTCCCCTATTCTTCCAGTCCTCTCCAGCAGCAGATGGCGCAGGCATTGTTTCCTCGCCTTTGAGGCAGATGAGCAACAGCCAGAGCACACTACGACATGGCATGCCTCCTAGCTCTCCCCTGAGGCAGATGACGGAGTCTCAAGATGACTCTCAGCGGACACCTAGAGCTAGTGCCATGATGATGGGAGGTTCGTGGATTCTCAGGTTGAAACAAAGAAGTTTTGAGCTCGATGCTAACAATTCGACAGATTCATCCCCAATTCGATATGATCCCAGTTCTAGTCCTGGACGATCATTGCGAGCAATTCAGTCAGATCTTCGAAGTGATCTACGAAGTGAAAGCAGTGGCCTCTTCTTGGGATCCCAACGAAGCGCAAATAAATACAGCCGAGGTGATATCAACTCCGAGTTCGTCGGAACACCTCGCATGCCCCCTCGCCGGCTTGTTCTCGCTGAAGACGGTCGTGTGGTCCAGGAGACGGGAGTCCCCGGCTCTGACGCTGCCTCCTTCGCAAATCGGGACGTGACTACGTCTGAGGCTGATCATCTTGGTGGTTCTGACACAGCTCTCGTGTGGGGTACGACCATCTCCCTGGCCGACGGTCTGCAGTCGTTCCGTGATTTTCTGCGCAACTTCACCTTCAAGTATCGCATGTATGGGGATGGTTTCACTGATGAGGAGGTTCGGGAATCTCCAATGGCTGAAACCAAGATTCATTGGGAGACCTTGGAGAACATGCTTCTCCTGGGTGAATCTCGCTTCTACCTCAACATTAAGGACTTGAATCTGTACCCTCCTACAAAGAAGATGTGGCACCAGGTTCAAGCCTACCCCCATGAGATCATTCCTATCATGGATCAGGCACTGAAGGACTGCATGATGGAAGTCGCACATTCTGAGGATCAGAGGAACCGACCATCACAGAGCAGCGCAGGACACACCGCGTCTCAACAGACCCGACAGAGCTCTGAGCCTGTATTTCCCAGCTCAGACAGACCTGATGAGCCTGTTACCCCCCGTCCTCAAGTGACGGAGTCTCTGGAGGACCAGGTCGCCTCAACTCTTTACTACGTTCGGCCATACGGACTGGATCAATCGACTAACATGCGAGAATTAAATCCATCTGGTAAGGAATATGTCTCTGTATTTTAATTTTGAGCTTGCGATTGTGCTAACCACGAACTCCTTATAGATATGGATCGCTTGGTTTGTGTCAAGGGACTGGTTATCCGTGCGACCCCAGTCATTCCCGACATGAAGGAGGCTTTCTTCCGTTGCAATGTGTGCAACCACTCAATCAACGTGTCGATTGAGCGTGGCAAAATTCGCGAACCGACTGAATGCCCACGAGACCTTTGCAAGTCCAAGAACTCGATGCAAATCATCCACAACAGATGTCATTTCGAGGACAAGCAAGTCATCAAGCTTCAAGAGACCCCCGATGCAGTCCCTGCAGGTCAGACACCTCATTCCGTCTCTATTGTCGCATACAACGACCTGGTGGACTTCTGCAAGGCTGGTGACCGTATTCAGGTGACTGGAATTTTCCGAGTCAATCCTGTGCGAGTTAACCCTCGCCAACGAGCACTGAAGAGTGTGCACAAGACCTTTGTCGACATGGTCCATGTTCAAAAGGTGGACGCCAGGCGTCTGGGCCAGGACCAGAGCACACTCATGGTCGATGGTCAGGAGGAGGAGAAGGGCGCCAACAAGCTCGAGGAGACTCGCGTCATCACACCAGAGGAAGAGGAGAAGATCCGAGAGACAGCTGCCCGTTCAGATATCTACGACCTCCTTTCCCGCTCCCTCGCTCCATCAATTTATGAAATGGACGATGTCAAGAAGGGTATCCTTCTGCAGCTCTTTGGTGGAGCAAACAAAACATTCGAAAAGGGCGGAAGCCCCAAGTACAGAGGCGACATCAACGTCCTTCTCTGTGGTGACCCATCTACCTCGAAATCCCAAATGCTCTCCTACGTTCACAAGATCGCACCTCGTGGTGTCTACACCAGCGGTAAGGGCTCCTCGGCTGTCGGTCTGACGGCATATGTCACTCGTGACCCTGAGACCCGCCAGCTCGTGTTGGAGTCTGGAGCTCTGGTATTGTCTGACGGTGGTGTGTGCTGCATTGATGAGTTCGACAAGATGTCTGACGCGACTCGCTCGGTTCTGCACGAAGTCATGGAACAACAAACAGTCTCCGTGGCCAAGGCTGGTATCATCACCACCCTCAACGCTCGTACCAGCATTCTGGCGTCTGCCAACCCTATTGGCAGTCGCTACAACCCTGACCTTTCCGTCCCTCAGAACATCGATTTGCCACCAACTCTCCTCTCTCGTTTCGACCTGATCTATCTCATTCTTGATCGGGTTGATGAGAAGACAGACAAGCGTCTGGCAAAGCATCTCTTGTCTCTGTACCTAGAAGACAAGCCCGACTCAGCACCTTCCGATTCTGACATCTTAGATATAGAGTTCCTCACCCTCTATATCTCCTACGCGCGATCCAACATTCAGCCTGTCATTTCTTCAGAAGCTGCACAGCAACTCGTCGAGAACTACGTTGCCATGCGAGCACTGGGACAGGATGTCCGTTCCTCGGAGACTCGTATCACGGCCACTACCCGGCAGCTTGAAAGCATGATCCGTCTGTCTGAGGCCCACGCTAAGATGCGCCTCTCAGAAACCGTCACCATCGACGACGTCCAAGAGGCCTACCGTCTCATCCAGAGCGCTCTCAAGACCGCAGCCACCGACTCTCAAGGCCGCATCGACATGAGTCTCCTGACAGAAGGAATCAGCGCCGCAGACCGACAGCGACAGGCTGACATCAAGGAGGCTCTCATCAAGCTGCTGGATGAGATGACTGCCGGCGGCAACACGGTGCGATGGAGTGAGGTTGGGAGGAGGCTCAGCGAGGGCTTCAACATGCCCGTGGAGCAGGCCGACTTCAACGAGGCAATGCGAGCTCTCGAGGCGGAGAATGCCATCATGGTTTCCGGAGACGGGCCGAGAAGGAGCGTGAGACGGGTCACTGCTATCGTATGAGGGACTGTATAAACGATGATGTTGAATGATGTCTAGATGCGAATACGGGCTGGGACGGTTTCTAGCGTCCTCTTAACTGTCCTTTTTTTATTTGCATTTGTTACAGGGCAGGAGAAAATGATCACCAAGGGCGTTGTGGACAGCTGGATATGGAAATCTGATGGTAATAGACGAATATAATGATAGTGAGAAGCCAAGTCATTTACAGCGAAATTGCATCTGATCAAGCGGTTCTTCCCTTGGCAACAATGGTGTACTAGTATTTGGTGAGATGAAGAGATCTCCATTTATGACTGATTTAACTCTATTTCGTATGCTACAAGGCTATTCTTTCTCTACCGCAGGAACACCCTCCAAGGCATCCTTGAGCGTATCAATAAGATCCTCCACATCCTCCAAACCCACGGAAATTCGCACCGCCTCCTCCTTGACGCCAAACTCCCTAAAGTACGCCAGCTCCTCGGCGTGCTTCCCGAACACGGCCATGTTGTACGCGTACTGGATCGTCACATGCCCGCCCAGGTGCGGACCCGGGTAGAAGCCGCACCGATCGTAGAACGCCCTGGCCGAGGGGATGCCGTCGAACTCGACGGTGAGCAGGCAGCCATACCCGGGTTCGGGGAGCTCGGGGGAGGGCCGCCGCTTGTAGGCGTCGTAGAGGCTCTTGCTGGGCGAGACGGTGGGGTACTGGACGTTGATGACGGGGGAGGACGGGTCGAGGGCCTTTTGGTGGAGGAAGGCGGCGACGGCCTCGGCGTTGCGGTTGAGGATCCTGGTGCGCTCGAAGAAGTCCTGGGAGTTGTCGAGGAGCGTCTGGGCGTCGCCGTGGAAGAGCTCGTTGTGGTGCGAGGAGGCGAAGAGGGACGAGAGGGCGGCGTAGTGCGCGGAGAGCGGGTTGAGGGTGATGGAGCCGCCCATGACGTTGGCGCGGCCGCTGAATGACTTGGTGAGGGAGGTGAGGAGGACGTCGCACTGGGGGAAGATGTCGATGTTGCCGAAGCCGGCTACTGTGTCGTCGCCGATGAGGACGAAGCCGTATTTCTCGGACTGCGGTTTTGGATGGAGTTAGCAACTATCATCACAACTGTTTGGTCGTCATGTCGTGGTTTGTTCCCTACCAGTCTCTTGATCCGTGCAATATCAGGCGTCTCTAAAGTCGGATTCGCCGGGAACTCGACGATCAGATAGCTTACTGTCCGGCCTTCCTGCTTCTCTGACTCAAGCCAGGCCTCGAGCTCGCTGATGCCGTGGTCATCAAACCTCCCAAAATGCTTGAAACCATTGGGGCACTCCTCGATCAAGTGGTGGTACGAGTTGTGGAAGATAACACCACTGACCACAATGGTCCCAGGACGGTACTTGAGCATGGTCCTATTCCCATGGAAGATGGCTCCCATGCCGGTCGGATAGAGAAACACATCCTTGGGAGTCGCCTGGATCTTGCTAGGCTCAATGGCGGCGTGATGGAGAAGCTCGATTATACGGCTCTTCACGCCCTGATGAGCCTCCGTCTCGGGCGTCCAGGTAGGTTCGGGGACCTGCCCATCGATGACTGCGACCTCGTGCATGTCGCCCACACCCTCAAGCAGCTGCTCGGCGCCGCGGATGGACAGACCGAGGCCAGGCATGGCCCAGGCCAAGGAGACACCGGCGGCATGTTCCTTGGTATAGAGAACGACATACAGCCTGTGGCCGGCTACGTCGACACATCGGAAGGAAACATCTCCTGGCTTCAGGACCTTGGCGCGGCGCTGGGGCAGAGTGATGTGTCGTTTGGTGAAGGGCCAGAGATCCGGGTTCAGGTACATCTGGACGCCCAGATGCTCAGCCCCGAGCACGCGGCCAATCTCATCGCATAGCTATACATTATGAGGCCAAGAAAGGTGTCAGTTAGCTATCGATCCAACGACTCGCTCTTGTCAACCGTGTACATGCGCACTTGGACATGGCAGGACGGAAGGGAGGGAGGAAGGGGGGGCAAGTACCCTGGCAGCGTAGTGTGTAGGCTTCAGGCGAGGATAGATATGGACGAGGCGACCGAGAGTCTCGGGGTCTCCTTCGCGGAATAGCCTGTTTTCCTCCCAAGTGCCGAGGTTGCTGATGATGCTGTAGGGAGTCTGTGGAGGAGGCGCGTGGCCAAACTCGGATTGGGGCCTGAGCACCACCATTCTGTCTTTTCTATGCGGACAAGTTCGAGTTTCGCTAACCAGTAAATCCTGTATGTACAGCATAGATATTATATGGTCGGAAGTAGCTTATATAAATGCAGCGACACCGGGGTGGTGCCCCATTTCCCCATCACGGCTCCAGTTATCCTTCGGTCCCTCACGGCCGATCCCGCTCTCGGGATGTCGACTGGATTGCACCCAAGCCACTTTGGTTTGACGGTTGACGAGTAACTAGTTAGTGTTAATAAAACAAATGTGTTCAATTCAACTATATTGCGACTAAAGTACCTTATCCATGCAGTAGTTGCCTCAACTACCATAATTTACTCTATTCTCTATTACTAGTTGCCATGCCATGTTCTTCAATAATATCGTTTGATAGGGGGATCTTCTATTGATCCATCGCCTCCCTCCTGCTATTAGCCCTAAGCCTGGACATGCGTGATCTTCATATCACCTCTCTTCTCTCGTGGAAGCTTTGGGATCTTCTCAGCCTACGATCCCTTGCTGCTCTAACCACTTCCTCCCTGATCTAAACTGCTTCACTGCTGCAACCACCTTCTCCGTGATCTGAACCTCATTCCCTCTCTTCTCTAGCAGTAGCTCTAGGATTCTTCCACCCCGAGACTTGTTCTTTGCTGCTGCTAGAATCACCTTCTCCGTGATCTGAACCTCATTGCCTCTCTTCTCTAATAGTAGCTCCAGGATTTTTTCACCACGGAAAACGTTCTTCGCTGCTTCTAGAAGCACCCTCTCTGTGATCTGTATCTCATCGCCTCCCTTCTCTAGCAGTAGCTCTAGGGCTTTTCCATCCTGAAATCTTATTTCTGTTTCAATCAAATATTCTGTGATCCGTACCTCATGGCCTCTCTTCTCTAGCAGTAGCTCTAGGAGCTCCTTCCCATTCCTGGAATTAATCATCGCCCTGTTAACCACCTTATTGGTGATCTGAACCTCATCGCCTCTCTTGTCTAGTAATAGCTCTAGGATCTCCTTTGCCTGTTTGAGATGCAATGCTGCTGTCAGAAGCACGTTCTCCGTGATTTGAACCTCTTCGCCTCTCTCCTCTAACATTAGCTTTAGGATCTCCTTCCCATGGTGGCGATTCATTGCTGCTGATATAAGCACCTTCTCGGTGATCCGAACCTCACCGCCTCTCTCTTCTGGCAGTAGCTCTAGGACCTCCTTTCCATTGATGAAATTCATTGCTGCTGCTCTAAGCACGTTCTCCGTGATTTTAATTTCATCACTTCTGTGTTCCAGGAGGATCTTTATAAGATTATTGCTCTTGGGTGTAGCTTTTCCCACTCCCATATTGACCCTTGGGAAAGCGTCTTTATCCCGTAGCAGCTCTTGAACCACCTTTGGTGCACCTCCGGCTGCTATCATCAGGTCGCGTTCTTTTAAAATCTCTGAGATTTCGGGTATACTGTTATCTATCAGTATTCGTGCCAGCCAACCAATGTCCAACACAAGGGATATGCTGAACATTGATTTACGTAGAGGAAACAGACTCCGGGAAGCCCTTTGCTCCCACCGATAGTTTCTGTTCAGCCAAAATAGTTTGTTTTGGCCCTTTAATGCGTATTTCAGCTTTTCCGCGCATCCCGTGACGTCCTCAGCGCTCTGTATATGCTCATACCAATGATTAGAGGCGTAGTGAGGGAAAAGAAAATCACGCGGAGAGCGAGGCTCAGATTTATCGATGAAGGTCAAATCAGCAAAACTGAGATAGTTCAGACACACCCTCCCTAATTCAACACTCGGATGTCGTTGAAACTTGAGCGTGAGGCCTCCTTTCTCCCATATTTCCTGCTGGCCCTTCAGAAAATCCAGTAACGACTGATGGATTAAATAGAGGCGGTTGTCGATGATATCGATTAATGCTCCCAGCTTCTCATGAATGGAATCACTATCCAAAGAGGCCTTTTGCTTATTGCATTCTGACAAGCTGTTCGCATTCGTAACCATCACAGCCACGGCCATTTCCAGTTCTTCAAGAGAAAGTGGCCTTTTAGCATAGGCTACCCAGGCCAGAATGGCCTTGTCATGGTCGTCTTTGAACGCGGTCTGTATCAAGGTCGTGTATAACTCGTTGAGGGCCAGTGGCGTCTTCTCTATTGTTTCCTGAACCGAAAGACTGGTTGGGTACCGAAGCTTCTGGACTTCCCCTAATACAATATGTATCCAAAGGAAAGTACCCCCTGCAAAGTTCATAAGAGAGTCTACTATCTCTCTTTTGAAGTTTTTGAATCTTTTAGGCAATGACTCAACCTGCGATTCGATAAAAACCTTTATGTCTTTTTGGGGTGGTCGGAGGTTTCGTCTTAGTTCAGCCGCAAACATATCCACAGGACCAGTTGGCCGGCTGGTAAAGAACAGCTTCAGCCGGTATGCTGACTTGACCTGAACCATGTCGTGCATTTTTTGCACTAGGGATCTCATCTCCGGGTCTGGATACACGTCCAAGCCATCAATGATGCAGTGAATCCAATCATAAGGGCTCAACGACACTAAATCATGGAAAGTGCTCCATAAGTCGTAGAACCCGGCTGAGTGAAATGATCTATACTCTTTTGGCTCTTGGAATCGGTTGGGAAGAGTCCGAAACAGTCTCTGGTCTTCGGATAGCTGCACTATCAGTGCCCGAAGAACAGAAGAAGTAGTTCTCGAGTTATTGTCCTTGATATTGCAGAAGAAGTAGATCACCTTGACACTACTCTTCTTATTGGTGGACTGCTGTTGCTGGAGGTGGGACACTATAAAATTCGATAATACTGATTTGCCTTGCCCAGGTTGCCCGAGTACTAGCAGTGCACATGGCTTTGGATTCTTTTGCCATGCTTTGAAATCTTCTGCTCGTAGACTGTGAATATCATACTCGTACTTATCATAAGAGTATATAAAAGGATTCTTTTCACCAGGGGCCTCTTGCACGAGCCATTGAAGAGTCCCTTCGGTTGGCTTCGCTAGTTTTCCGCTTTTGTAAAAGGCTCGGTAGTCAGGAACGTTCAAGTCATCCCAGTGTCGCTTCTCTTCTGGCGAAAGCTCTAGATTGAAATGTTAAATTGCTGAATGCATTGGAGATCTGCCATTTCTACATACTGGTCGGGGGTATAAATCGCTTGGAAACAACATCCGGACCTTCTTCGATAAGACTTCGCAACTTGTTCCGTACTCTTATGTAGCTGTCGTCTGCCTCATTCAAGAATTTTACCAAGTTTGAATGATTAGAAGGCAAAGGCAGCCTATCGTGGGTGTTATTCATAAAACCGATCTGACACGCGGATTCCTCTGTCACCATGAAACACTTATGCCCTCCCCTTGATATTTTGCCACTTTTGTCGACCTGGTTAGGTTATCTGTCAGCAAGCTACTATTCAATCGTTGCTTGAGCAGAAGAAAAGTCCGTAAACGTACCATCAGGGTATCGGTCATTTTCTCCTCGTAGTAAGAGATAATTCTCATTGGCGGATCCTGCTTCTCATGGCAGCTTCTGAACCTTCCTAGTAGTGTTTTCATATACGGAGTTGGTTCCGATTCTGAATCAAGTTGGAGATCCATTATTAGCTGGTTATTGAGTTGGTCGCGGGTGATCTCTCGTAGCTTTCCGAGATTTATTCCTAGATTCGGGACACCAAAGAACATCAATCCAGATGCAGACTTGAAGAAGTCGCTATTTTCACGGTCTTTGTCATTTTGATTTGCTAAGATGAGTGCCTATATCATAAATAGACCATAATTAGTGACGTATTGAGGCTGTAGCCAGTGGTAAATATATACCTCTTTGATTAAAAGCCCTCCCAAGCTATGACCAATAAAAATAATCGGCCTCTGTGTGGTCTAGAGTGTCGAATGTTAGATTCCTGATAGTCTCTTCGAGAAGCAGAGATTATCACCCCACCTCTGTCGTTTGTCGGAAGGCCTTGTAGGAGTCTAGAAAGGATCTTGCCAGGCCCTCAATGGAGATTTTACTGTCTTTATCGGTGACAGCTGAGCCATACCCGTAGACAAGAATCCTGCTGTTCGGGAAATCCTTAGGTAGAAAATCGCGAAGCCAAACTGCTTGGGTTTCTTTACTTTGAAAGCCACCAATTGCATGACTGCCTAAACCGTGAACCGCAATGATGCTATACACATATTAGCATTGAAGTGTTGCTGCCGACGGTCAAGTGCCCCTGCTCTTACTCCACCATAGCATTCTCCCCCTCAAATAAAAGGGTTATCCCGTAGAAATTCTTGTCGACATGATACCCTAGATTCTTTGGAGCCTTGACTGAAATGAATGTTGCGGTGCGAGACTGTCCGAACGAATGTGCGATCTTCAAGCGAAGGCTGGCTGGGTTCAGTCTATCAAAGCCTGGAATAGATTCGACCAACTGGCGTAGAAGCTCTGTTTCTGTCACAGTAGCAGGAATTTGTTGGATTCTATAGCACATGGGGGCGGCAGGTGCTATACTTGGAGAAGGTATCGCAAAACGTATCCATCGTGGAAGAGCAAGTAGGAGGCCAAGGAGCAAAACGACGATTGTGGCGGGGTAAGCTGAAGAGGTGATGGCACCGGTCCAACCCATCTGATGCACAGAAGTTGTAATATCCGGGAAGAGGAAAAGATAGCACTAATAAAGCTCTGAAGTACGATATGCGATGATACGCTGGGCGGAGGTGATGAGATCCTAATTTATAAAGTCCACGTTGGCCCAAAGCTGATGAGCGATGTTTTTCTCAGGGGTAACCTAATGTGTTTCTTCGTGTAGCAGGCAGTGCAACTTCGAAGCCTCCCTCTCCACCCGGCCGCATTTTGGGCCTCATGGCTGCCAATGCCAGCATGAGAAACTTACAACAGTGATGAGAAACTTCTCGTAGACGTCCGGAGGTGAGATTAGAGTGTGTAGGTGAGTATGATGTCCTTAGACAAGTACTGGACTATATCTAAGATCATTGCAAGATGTTTGATGGATAGTAAAGTACCCATACAAGTGGCTGAAACCGGCACACCAAAGCCTCTATACAGCCGCAGATTTCAACACAATATCAAAACAATTGACCCAATTATCATTACAATATCAAGATAAATAGGATAGAATATTTTATTATTTTACTATTATTATTGTTAGTATTGTTAATAAGGAAACGAGGTCTCTCGCTTTTATGAAAAGAACTCTGGTGTGCCATGTTTTATCTCAGCCGCTTGCTATAGAAAGACATGCAACGGTGCCAGATTTTCTAATATGAATGGGGCTGAGCAAGGTCAAGGTAAACCAATCAGCTTGTTCGGAAGGCAAGCTGAAATGACATGGGGGATTTGTTGGAAGACTATGGCGGTTATTCTAAATCTCTAGCTCCCAAACAACTTGGATGTTACATTGTCAGCGGGGCCACCTTTGTGTGAGCGGCTACTGAAACATTGAAGAGACCTCTATGGCGTCAAACTGCAGACGGCATGCAGACGGAATAGAGACACAAACATTGCTAGAATTTATTATGATATAACACATATAAGACCATAGTGATACATTCCATTTACCACGGCAAAGAAACCGCCCCTTCATGCAACACAGACGGCAACTTGTCGACGACAATTTTGTGAAACCAGGACAATCTGCAATCGGAAGACATATACAAAAATGGCTTGAACAAATCAATTACCAAAACTCCCTATCCCGTCCCTCAAACACAAAATTCAGGGCGACCGCCACAAAGAGTGAGACGCAAAGGGCCGTCGGGCCCCAGCGGTCGTAGTACTTGGCGGCCTTGCGGTTTCGGATTGACCGGCTTCTGTACAGATAAGTACCTACCGAGTAGAGCAAACTTCCAATTGCAAGCAGCGTGAACAGAGAAGCGACCCAGAATGAGGCTGCCGAAGTGCTGGACCCAAAATTAAGAAGCGTCACGGCAATGGTTCCAATATAGATGGAGTATTCGAGCTGTTGAGCACCAGTTAGCCTACACCTACACTTGAGTAGATAGCATGAATGCAAATGAACTTACCCAGCCCAAGAACGTTCGCTCAGCTGCGAAGTATACCTTCGGCTCGACACGCACAGGCACGTAAATCTTCTTGCCTGGAGGCGCCTTGAACTTCTTGCTGTGAACGGGGCCATTACCAAAGAGCATCTCCTGCCTGACGCTGCGGTCCACTTGCGTAGCACGGGGGGCAGGGATCAATGCCTTCAGAACATACAATGCGCCCCGGCCCAAGGCTTGGCCCTTGGTCGCAACGAGCTTCCTGTAATAGTGCAGCCCGCCTGCACGTCTGGCCTCTTCCAACTCATAGCCTTCGTCATACTCATCATCCGAGTCATAGATATAGTCGTCATTTCCAGCAACTTCCACAGTCTGGCCCTCGGCATCAGCTCCTCCAGCTCCATTAGATGCTCCGCCACGAGCGACAACAGCGGTAGAGGGTTGGATATCTTCATCGTCAGAGTCAAAGTCATCATCGGCGTCATCTGAGGTGCTAGTAGCAGATTGACCCGGACGGTGAATTCCGAAGCTATGAGACACAGGCTTACGGATATCGACGTCCATTTGTGGCATCCAGAAGGGCAGGAGATTAATCCTGTCAGGGAAGAGAGTGGCACAGCCGTGAATGAACTTTGAGAATTTGGGAACTGCCTCTACAAGATGGGAGGCGATGAGCTGGCGAACCCACTCGGGAGGCTCTTGTCCGGCTTGGGTTTGTAGCTTAACTTCGAGAACTGCGTACGGGAATCGCTCCACATCCTCGGGGGGCAGCTGAGAGAAGGGGAAATCGATTCCAATATCGGTTCGCCTCCAGTTTTTGCCACTTCGGGCGCGACCATCAAGGTTGTCCTCTCGGACCATGGTAAGCTCGGTATCAAGGGAGATGCGTACTCGCGCATCGGCAGGAAGTTGGAAAGCCGTGCGATTGTAGAAAGAACGGCAAACGGGCTTGTAGCCCTTCCTGAGGATTGAATATTGGATCTCTGAAGCTAATCGCTCATCTTCGGCAATTGCCTTCTCGGATTTCTTACCATCCTTACGAGCCTTTTCGAAAATGGCGGGGGGGAGGAGTTCACCCTTCATGTAGGCATTGACGTTCTTCTCCTTCATCGAGAAACGGGCTTTAACGGACTTCTCGCCAGTCCAGTCCTCGCGATGAGTCTTGCGCTCAACGAAGATGGTGTCATTCTGCATGCCACCATACCAACGAAGACGAATTGCCTCGGCACCTTCAGTCTTCTTGAGTCGGCCCTCATAAAGATCCCACGTATCCGGGTTATCGTAATAGATGGACGTAATGGCCGAATCTGCCTGCTCGAATTCCTTGCTGGCGTTGAAGACCAGAACGGGCAAGTGCTTGAGAATGATGAGCTTGAGCTCAGTTACATTGTCTGGGTGCACCCAATACTTGGTCGTCTGTCGGATGAAGCTGGCTTGGCCACCACCAGCAGCGCTATCGCCCTTGACCGGGTTACCTCTGGTTCGAACCAGATCGTATAATTTCGAAAGCTTGATTACGGATGCGTCGTAATTTTCTTTGTAGAACGGCTTTGCCTTGAGACGGCTCTCAAAGGCAGGTCGAAGGTGCCAGCCGGTGGTTTTCTGTTCAATTGTTAGGCACGGCCAACAAAGGAATTGGAAGCGGTCAATCAAGATCTGGCCGAACTTACATCGTGTTTCTTAATGATCTTCGAGAACCCAGTGTAGTTGAGCTGAACGAATTTGGCAAGGTCGTGGACATCGGCGATGACGTCGCTGAGATCCTCCTCGAGGAGCATGAACTCCTCCTCAGTCGGGCCATCTTCTCGAAGACCACGCTCGTTTAGGCGATTGACGACCTCTCTGACCTCGCGCTCGCTGACGGCGATTCGGCGGGAGATCTCCATAGCCTTCACCTGCTGCTTGGTGTGGACCTTCTCGAGCTCCGACTCGAGCTTGGTGACGAAGCGCGTCTCGTCCTCCTCGGTCCACTCGTGGCCAAGGCCCGAGCTAGGGAGCGGAGGGCCGGTAGCATTCTTCAATTCTTGTTTTAGGCCATCGTAGTCAATGTAGTACCATTGGTACTCGCGAATGACGCTCGATCGTAGCTGTTCTCCGAACTTCATGACGACGACACCAGGTCTGACCCGGACGGTCTCTGATCGGGACGTTGTCCAAGTTTTACTGCGTGTTTTCAGGTCCTGAACAATGAGCATTGGCAGGCGTTAGCGGGACTGTCGAGCAGTGGCCGATAGCATTAAACCGTCAGTCGATTTGAAGCGAATGAAGCGATGTTTCCTTTCGTGTTTTTCGGCCCGGGGCCAATTTTCTGCCCTCTGCTACCCACTACACTGCACTGCACCGGGGCGGCTCGATGTCGGAGAGCAATGACGAAAGGGACGCGGGTAGCTGCAAAAAGGGAAAGTGCTCACCTGATGTATTTTTGACCAGAGCTGGTTTGTCGCAAGGGATCAAGCCAGACCTTGCCTTGGAATGAGGTGTTCCAGAGAGCAAGTGAAGGGAAGGACGATGCGACAAGCGAACGAGGCTGGTTATTAGTGCAAGGCCATGGTCTTGAAGGGAAGTCGCGAACCCCACTGAGCACTGGCTAGCTCCTACCATAGATCCTGGATCACTCAACTTGGGATTGAAGCTTTGGCCTGCTACAGCTATCAACTACCTTAATAACCTTCAATCGCAACTCAAGACTTTCACGGTAATCGGTACCTCCCAGCCCACCATCTCATCAATCGCGCCGCAGTTCCTGTCAACACACAGGCTCTTCCCTCATGCACAAGAAAATTGCCAACTGATACGAATGGACAGGCACTCAATCTTTTGCAGGGAGTTCGTCACAGCTCCGCCAACACTGTCGCTAGCCTCACCTACCACGGTACCTGCGCCCGAACAGCTCTAGGGCGGATCGTGCATTGGCGAATCATTGTAAATGCCAGGGCAACGTGAAGGGAGGCCTGGTCACGCCCACATTCGAGTCCACCCCGCCCACCGTTGCATTAGCTTCACTGTGCTCCGGCTGGAGGCGATAGCTCCTGGAGCTGCTTGCCGTCCATCAAGCCCTGAGGCTATTAGTAGTTACTCTCTACCAACTTGGAATTTCGATGTGGGGCAAAGCAAACTGGTAGTAATCACACAGCGAGAATGGCAGGCGCAGGGTGCTATCGAGTCGCAGGTCTGATTCCCGTGTCTCGGTATACATATCTTTGATACTGGGAATCCCTAGCAATTTTTGGGGGGGTTTGGCTCACATATTCTACAATGGCTCTCGAATCATCGTGGTTTGGTTCATAGGTAGTCAGAATTCTCTTGGTATTTGTATTTGTAGTCAGGTTTGGGGCTTACACTGCTCCTCCCTATTGCCATAGGCTGGACACCTTTTTTGGAGGAACCCAGGTGGAGATAGATACAGAAAAAAAAACCTTCCACTACGCCACCAAGTGCGGGTGTCGGGCAGTAATACCAAACAAGCCTTCGGTATACTGGCAAAATGGCACAACCCATCGATGACTCCATGCCAGCGCGGGTTGCCGAAGATTGTCCTGAAAATATCAAGCACATTCTTTATACTGCATGGGGTCATGACCTTGACGGGTTAAAAAAGATCTTCAAGGCTCGCCCTGAGGCCAATGCGCCCTCTTATTTTACCTATGACCACTCTGTTGCCAATGCCCAAGACCCTGAGACGAAAGAGACACCTCTCCATGCTGCCGTCCGCGCCTGCGGCCCCGCCGAGAAGACCAATGATAGCGGCAAACAAGAGGAGGACGGCGCCGTAGAGGACGGCGTCGTAGAAGAGGCAAAAGAAATTATTGAGGAGTTGTTCCAGTCTGGTGCCATTTGGAACACCCTTGACAACAACGATGAGACCCCTGGTTGCGTGGCCTTCAGGCTAGGTCGAACAACCCTGTATAAAATGTTTGTTTCAAGAGGCGAAATAACAGAACGTCTGCTGTCCGACGATGTGGGATATGAAGCGCTGCCATCAGAGGACGGGGGGGAGGAAGCCGCCGCTGGGGCCACAGTTGACGACGACGCCATGGACGTTGAGGATGAAGCCCCTCAGCTGGTCACCGCAGATGAGACCGAGTTGGTTTCTCCAGAGGATGACGAGAAGCCGGTAACGAGCGACGAATACCTCAAGTCAGAGCTAACCTACGACGATGGGAAACTCGTCGACTCTGACCTCAACGGTGTGATGATGGCCTGGGAGACCGACATCATGAAGCGTTCTGTAGCCGCTCTGTTGCCCGATGCTCCCACCGGCAAGCGAATTTTGAACATCGGTTTCGGAATGGGTATTGTCGATGGCATGTTCGCCGAATTGAAGCCCTCCCGTCACCATATCATCGAGGCCCATCCCGCCGTCTTAGAGCACGTTGCCAAACCAGACTCCAAGTTCGGTCCCAGCTGGGAGAAGAGCGGGCCCGAGGAGGACGCCTACAAGATTCATGCAGGGAAATGGCAGGACGTAGTACCCAAACTGATGGAGCAAGGAGAGGTGTATGACGCCATCTACTTCGACACATTTGGGGAAGACTACTCGGAGCTGCGCAAGTTCTTTTCTGAATACCTCTTGGGCCTGTTGGATGAAGAGGGCCGATTCAGCTTCTTCAATGGCCTTGGAGCCGACAGAAGGATATGCTATGATGTCTACCTCCAGGTAGTAGAAGCGCATGGAAATGATGCTGGCTTCGACATTTCATGGGAGGAGATTGATGTCGATATGTCCGCCCTCGCCGAAGCTGGAAAGGGAGAGTGGGAGGGTGTTCGTAGACGATACTGGACACTTGACAGTAGGTCCCGCGTTCTCTACGTTATTTCGTTTTCAGGAAATCCCATGCTAATTGCTCCCAGAATACAAGCTCCCGATCTTTACGTTCATGGGCTAGTAAAAGCTACTATGTTTTCACGAAAGAAAGAAATTAGAGATATGATTAATTGGGAAAATAAAAGCACGAAAATGAGAGAGAGTCGAAAACGAGTAAATAAGCTGACAATGTCTAGTTAGCAATGACGCTATTGTGCTCAAATACATGTGTCGGTTCAGTAATAAGCGGACAATAGCTGCAGACTGAACTTGCTCTGTTTTCTTCTTCTTTTATTTATCTTCTGTCTTGGTTCTCATCTTATGATATCGTTTTTCGTCCGTGTATCCCTAACATTCCGGGTCATCGTATTGGAAGAAAACCTCAGTTTATTTGAAATTCTCGGGGTGCAGGATACCGGCCATGTTGCCTTCCTTAACTCGCTTGAGAGTAAGGGCAGCAATGAGGGCGGCACCAACACCGCTACCGTCTTCGGCAGCGAGAATCTCGACAGGATCTTCTTCCTTAGGGTTCGATTTCGCAGGCCAATCAAGAATCTCCCGCAGGGCCACAGCACCACGAGCCTTGAAATGGGGGTATTTGTTAAACACCGAACCATCTGCACCCACGTGGCACGACTGGTATCCCTTCTTCTTGCATACAGCAGCCACGCCGCATGCAGAGAGGCGAGCAGCGCGTGTGCCAATCAACTCAGCAAGTCGTCGGATGAATTCAAGCTCCGGCAGAGTACACTTGATGTTGAGCCTTGCGACGAAGCTATCATACGTCTCTTGAAGATTCTCGAATGGGTCCCTTCATTATATGTTAGAGATATATTGTTACCTGAGATGGAGAGAAACTTACTCTTCAACGGCTGACAGGAATGAGGCATCCAGGCTGTAAGGCCTTCGGAGCGCAGAAATGTCTTGGCCTTCAAAGATGTGGATATCTTTGTTATCGTGCAAGTCTACCAGCACGAGACGGAAGATCTCTCCAAGATATAATCCAGCAATCATCTTCTCGAAGGCTTGCTGTCCGGGGCGAGGGGAGTCACGGTCAATGATGAGGTCGTACGGAGTTCGTGGCAGAACCTTGTGCTCGTTATCAAAGGCTCCCCACTCACAGTTGATGGCCATCGGGGTGTCGGGTGGGAGGTTCATGTGGGCGAGCTTGGGAATGGAGCCCGCGTTCTCCATGTAGGCGGCATTACAGCCGGTTCCGAAGATGCATCCAATCTTCATCTTGGTATCGGTGTATGCAGAGGCGATAAGTGTGCCAGTAGTGTCATTGATCAAGGCGGTCAGCTTGATGGGAACACCCTGCTTTTCTGTCAATTTTGTCCTTGTGATGGTTCTTTTGCTTCAGTCAACATACTCGCTTAGCCAGAGCAGCCTCGAACATGGGTACAACATTTTTGCCCTCGACGCCGGAAATGTCAAAGCCCTTGGTCCATCGTTGAAGGATACCCTCATCGATGTAATTCTGGGTAGCCGGATACGAAAAGGTGAATCCAAGGGGGATCGAGTCCAGCTTGCTGCAGTCGCCGTGGTGGGTCTCGACGAATTGATGCAAGCAGTCGGCAATATATTCCCAAAGCTCTTCGCTGCTGCCTGTCTTGAGTTCATCGGGCATGCGGTACTTGGATTGGATGATATCAAACTCCGATTTCTGATCTGTCAGCGTGATCTCGCAAACTCTCAAATTCGTGCCACCCATGTCGAGGGCCAGAAATGTGCCCGTCTCGTATCCATCGGGGTAGGACATGACCCAAGTTGGGTTCATTGGCTAGTACCATACTGTTAGGTTACGCAAATATTTTGCAGACAGCGAAAGCTTACGATGCTCCCCCCCTCGACGCTGAGTCCTACATCCAACCCCGTTAGTATTTTCAAAAATCAGCCGGGGTTATTCTCCAGCCAGCGTACCTTTGGCAAGCTCATTGACAAAGTGATCAGAGATCTCCTTGAGCTTTGGAGTTTCAACTGTGAAAAGCTCCTCAATGTACTTGATCTGGTCCAAGAGATCCTTGGGAAATTCCGCCTTGGAACCTGCCATGTTGATGCGTCAGCTGACTGTCTAAGCAAACATTGCTTGTTTGAATTGTTGAAGAAATCTGATGATAAGTGCGGGAGAAAACGGTCTTTTTAGGCACGGGGTCCGTCTCTCCTCTCACTTCTGTCTCACTTGGAGAATTCGGCAAAGAGGGTGTCAAGGCGGATGAATCTGTAGTTTAACCAGGTGGCAAACATTGGTGGCACAAAATGCTCTTTCACAAGCGACTCTAAGAGTCTCTGGCGAATCGCGGAGGTAATGAGTCTGTCATGTTCATATGACATGCGGGCTTATTATGGTCCGCGATTGACATCGTGTGTAAAAAGCAAGCCCCTCACCGTCTCCTTTCAGACGATCGGGTGAGCCTTGGCAAACTGACATTCTCGGCACGTCACAGACATCAATTGCAGCAAAGCAAAGATGAGGAGAAGAGCTACAAGGGTAAAAGAATCGAAGGGTAAAAGAATCGACTTCAGCGTGTCATCAACTTACCCTTTCTAGAGGGAGGAGGGCGAGGACCCAAGCCAACCATGATGATAAGTTGTTGCGGATCGCGGGGTACAGCGGGGTAGATTTTTGTGGGAGAACACGCGCAGATAGTGTAACCACGCGAGGAGAATGAAAATGAAAGATGATGCTCGGGGTGAGCTATGTGAGCGGTGTATTAGGATTGTAGGAGCTTATCTGGTCCAGCTGGAGGCGCCCAACAAATTATTCTCCTAGAGCTGAAGCTCACAGGTTATATGGCGGTAGCTCAGGTGGGTAAGGTGCCTGCTCAAGAGGCGGGTTTTCCAAGTCAGGAACATTGGAAAGCTCTTGGTCACTATTACGTGGATGGGGCCGCTTGCAGCCAATGGGGGCGCGGTCATAGACCAGCTACTGCCATTTTACCAAGAGCATCAAGAGTCTCGATAGTACATGGGAGCAGGTACCTATCTCAACTAATTCCAGTGCTGCCGCCAGCGCTCTATGCAGTTGCTTGTGGGTTAGTCTCAACGCTTTCTCTCCAGCGGATTGGAATGAAGGTAGAGCCAATGAACTCCATGGTGCTACCGTTACCCCCATCTAAGACTGCGCTGTGGTTGCAACAGTTTGGCCAGGTCAGTATGTATGATTTTATCTGCTGAGAAGTACCTACGTAATACTTAGATAGTGGATCCCCCACACCCCTTTCAAATGGCCCCAATGCACGAGGCTGTCGGCCGGGTGGTGATAAGAGGCATCTTACCATTAAAATTTACATCTCCTAGTCAAAGAGATGTTACGCAACGGTTGAACTGGGCGAATCAGCGAGATCAGATATTCCCCGGCCAGAAAAACTAACCCGTCCCAAAATTGTTCCCTTTGAACTTTCCAGCTTTCCCATCACACCCGGGACGCGTCTTATCGATAAGACCGCTGTCTGTTGGTACGTGAGCTCGACACCGAACTAGTCCACATTTGGGAGTCAACGCCATATGGGCAACGTGTCGGGTGCCTCAAAGAGAGCTCCCCATTAGCGGAATCCTACTTGATGCACGAAGCCTCTCCTTGAGCTTTCTCCCACCTGTACACAGCGCATCTCGTCAATGAGCGCTGCCCTCGTTCGCTCGGAAATATGAAGCCCTCTACCATCGCAACGGCGCTTTTGGGCCTTGTTTGCAGCGCCTTTGCAAGCTCGCAGCAATCGACTGTGAAGCTGCCTGCTGATTTCAAGCCGCCCCAAGTCTTCAAGAACGCCAACTTGGTACATATTATCTCCCTCGAGAAGAACTATGTGAAGGAGCAAGTCAATGTTTTGATCGAGAACACTGCTGCGGAACCTCAGGAGGATTATTTCCTTCCCTTCACCGCAGACCAGCTGAAGCGAGTCGGAGGCTTCGAAGTCAAGGACAGAAAGGATGGCGGCGCTGGACCCTTCGAGGTGGACGTTGTGAACTATGATTCAGCAAGGTATGATACGCTTCCTCAGTCCCTCAATTGAACCTTTGTTTCTCTCCTCCCTCATCAATTGGTGCTAACTGAATATGCGCACAGCTCGACTCAGTACTATCGAATTCGACTGCCCGCCCCCCTCAAGTCTGGCGGCCAACAAACCCTTGGAATCACTTTCTACTATCTCAGCGCCTACAGGCCTCTTCCAGCATCGATACCACAAGAAGCTACTCAATATCTTAGCTACGAGTTCTCGCCCTATGCCCAGTCTGCCTACCCAACCCTGAAGCAAAAGACAGAAGTCAAGGCCGCCTCTGCAACGATTCCCGATTACACCAAGGTAGAAGGCAATGGAGATGTTGCCGAATTCCCCCAGAAGCAGGGATCCAAGCTGACCTACGGGCCATTTGGCGAGAAGCCCGCTGGGGCATCTCTGCCAGCTTCAGTCCGCTTCGAGTTCAACAAGCCAGTTACTCACATCTCCGAGCTTGAGCGCGATATTGAAGTCAGTCACTGGGGCGGCAACGTCGCATTCGAGGAGCGATACGTCCTGCACCACCAAGGCGCAAACCTTTCCAGCCAATTCAACCGAGTCAAGTGGGCTCAATCCCAATACTTCAACCCAGCGAGCCACGCCCTTAAGGAGATGCGTTTCCCCCTGCAGGTTGGAAGCGTCGACACGTACTTCACAGACACGATCGGAAATGTGTCCACCTCGAGATTCAGGAGCAACAAGCGCGAAGCTCTTCTCGAGCTGAAGCCGAGATACCCCATCTTTGGAGGCTGGAAGTACCCTTTTACCATTGGTTGGAACTCCAACGCGGCCAACTTTGTGAGGAAAACTGCCACTGGTGGGTTTGTCTTCAAGGCACCATTCCTTGAGGGTCCTAAGCAGGCCGAGGGTGTCGAATACGAGAACATCAATGTCAGGGTTCTCTTGCCAGAGGGCGCCGAGTATGTCAATCCATTACCCCATTTGTTATTCAATTCCAGATGCTAACCAGCCGATAGAAACGTTAAGCTTCTCGCCGATGTCCCTGAGTCCTCCATCGTTGAGAGTACGGTAGATGTGCACAAAACTTATCTTGATACCATCGGCCGCACCGCAGTCACTATCAAGGCCCGCAATCTTGTGGATGAGTTCAAGGACCGTGATCTCCTTATCTACTATGAGGTTCCCTCCACAATGACTCTACGAAAGCCTCTGGTTATTTTCGCTAGCTTCCTCACGGTATATGCTGCCGCTTGGGCTATCGGCAAGGTCGAGGTTGGATTTGGTCAGAAATAAAAATATATACGAAAGACGCTACCCCGTGGGAGGAATAAGAACGACGTCAGATGGTTGCATGGTGATCTCCCTCTGATAAACAATATGTAACAACACGACCAGCAGGCAATTTTTCCAGTTTTATAGAAGCGAGGGATTTCATGACAGTGCCTACTTAATGTACGCATATAAACTCTTGTATATGTCTCTTTATCATCTCTGCCAGGTGAACGTGCAAATTGCTTTGAAGGTCATATCTCTATCCAGCCCAGTCAGCCCTTACTACACGCAGTAGGGTCCATGTTAATACGAATGTGAGGGTGTGGATCACCAGTAGATGGTAGGGAATCCGGCAGGTTTCCAGGTCGTAACTAGAGTCGAGGCCATCAGTGGACAGGGATCAGCCGTCGGCTGCCGACCCTCAATGACGACGACGGACGCCTTGTCCGAACTACCACTTAGAATCCTCCTGACAATAGAGGGTGACTTCTGATGCAAGCCCGGCGCGGGATCCATAATTCCACATCAGCTGGTCAATGCTAATTCTGTCTGCGCCTTGTTTCTTTGATTCGCTCTTCTATAAGTTGCCCTGATCCTCTCGCCTTCCCGTCAAATTCAAACATACACACCAATCTAATTATCCTCATTTCTGCCATTTGCATAAACGTTGAGCAATTGCAACACACAAAGCCTCTTTTTCGCATTCGCTACACTCAAACTTAGACTTCAAGAACTCTGTACGACAAGATGTGTTTTCGCGAGCCTAGAACAACATATTACTACCACGAGGAAATCATTCCTGCACGACCTCGCTACTACACCGAGCATGGGCATCATCACCACCATGGTCACCACCACCACCACTCGCCCCGATCAAGCTACACGAGTGTGAAGAGACGATCATATCACTCTCACTCTCACTCTCCCCCGAACAGCAGCTATCGGGCGTATGCATAGATCCTGCGATCGCAACTACTACAGTGTATCCTTATTCTTCGGGGGGCGGCGTTTCTGAGAGGGATGATTCACATGGGCAATAAGCGGGTGTGGCCGGCAGTTTGATTGGCGCACGGGTTTCCTTTTATTACTGGACGCTTGATGAATAGACGACTTGAGAGATGAGTTTAATGATAATTGCTTTCGATGCAGCGTGTGCAACTACGGGGACCAATCCTGTTGTAATTTTGCAGCCCATGTGAATTTGCGATAAGCTCTCAAATTAGGGTCTTTTCTTGGCCCCCATCAGAGAATGACGACTGAGCCATCGCGGGACCTGATTGAGGTCATCGGATGCTCATCGGCAGGGTGGAGCGGCAACTTCAGCTGCAGCAAGCCCAGTGACATCATCACGCCCCCTCCATCCGTTTATGTCATTCTCTGTCTCAGACCAACAGTTCGCAGATGTTCGAATGTGGCATTCGTCAACATCCCATTAGACGAAATAGAGCCAGGCTAGGCAGATAGCGGACATGATGACGACAACAATGATAAACTTCGTGAACCATTGGAGACGTACTTCGGGCCAGACGGGTGAAAATAAAAAGAGGCCTGTATCCTTGCTCGGATCATCAGATCTCGGCAGGGTGCCAACCGATTCAATCAGCAAAATTCACCCAATTTTTATAATTAACAATTGATTTCACCCGCTGCTTGCGATCAGTATAGATTTTTTACTGTACGTTTCATCAGTGGCGAGCTAAGGCTATCAAGGTGTGTGAGCCTCGACTGTTTGGCTCGAAGGCATTGCGCACCTACCTCTTGTTCCTCATCGCGCCTACCTCATATATCATTATGCTAACATATACTTCTTTGAACAAGGCAGGCGCTATATAATAACGAGAATTGTATTTAAATCTGTCCACTCAATCTACTCTCAACCATGTAAGCTCGTGGCTGTTACCAAGGCCCTGCCTTTTTTTACTTTTTTCCTCGTTCTGTCCCGAGGACTGTTCACTAGCTCGAAGAACACTCCAATTCAATGAAATATGTCTCGTTCTAGCTTCGAAAGCTCTTTTTCCCAATATGTCTCGGGTCATAGGCGGTTTCCGTCATCCGACAGTGTCGCTAACCTCTCCGTCCGTTCCAGGAGTCGAACACTTTCTTTCCGATCCAGGAATTCGGCCAGAGGCTCGGGGTCGTCAACAACCGGCAAGCCAGGCCTCTCATTTAGCTCCCTTCGAGGCACAGTCCAGCCAGAACTGTCCCGAAAGCTGTTCAAACTCATCAAGTCAGAGAACAACCTAGTATCTGCCCATGAAACAGCCGGCCGTGAACGAGTATCCATCGCCCAGCAGCTCTCAGAATGGGGCGAGCACACTGGCGACGATGCTATCAACGACATCTCAGACAAGATCGGTGTCATCTTGAGCGAGATGGGTGAGCAGGAAGACACCTACGCTCATGCAATTGATGACTCGCGAGGAATTCTCAAAACGATTCGCAATACGGAGAAGAGCGTTCAGCCTAGCCGTGACGGCAAGTCGAAAGTCGCCGACGAAATCCAGAAACTGAAGTTGAAGGAGCCGGAGAGTCCGCGCCTGGTTGTGCTGGAACAAGAACTTATTAGGGCTGAGGCAGAGAACCTGGTCGCCGAGGCACAGTTGACAAATATTGTGAGTATAAGACATGAACTGCTACAGCACATGCATCGCGAGATCGACTAATCAAAGCGAACGTCAACAGACCCGCCAAAAACTCAAGGAAGCATACGCTGCTGAATTCGCAGCCACCATTGAACGTGCCGAGAAGCAAATCATTTTGGCTAAGCATGGACGCCGCCTTCTGAGCCTTCTCGACGACTCACCTGTGGTACCTGGAGACGTCAGGGTAGCTTATAGTGACGCAGCACAGGCTCGACAGATTCTCAATGACGCTGAAGACGACCTCCGAGATTGGCAGCCAGAGGCGGAGGGTGGTTTTGCTACACCACCCATACAGAGCCCAACTTCAGCCTCCGTAAAGGGGAAGTCTAAGGAATCTGAGGCTGGGGATGCTGAATCCATCCACACTGAGCCCAAGGCACCAGCGATTGCCGAAAGTTCCCAAACCACTGAAGTCGCTGGCTAAGTCGCCCGCTGGAGAGGAATTATAATGGTTACACTGTGATTAGTTGCGAGCTACTTTGTTGTTTATTTTGATGAAACGTCGTTTGCTGAGGAGTCCGAGCATTTGTGCATGTATATCTGTGTTCCAGAATATACTAATGAAAGCCACGACGAAGCTCCTCCTAGCGGGAATGGTGCGGGACAGTGGTAGGCTATTTCGGAAGTCAATTGGTATTCTTCTATTTCCTCCGTACCGAATTAATGAGATCAACTTTTCGAGCTAACAGTCGCTTGCGGTGGCTATTCGTTCTACACCGCTGGAACAAGGTGCAGGCGTAAGAAAGGAGAAAAGCCGGATAGCAATTGGCCCGAGATCAAGGTAGAGCATGGCGTAATATGCGGCCATTCCATTTAAGCGACATACGAGCAAATACCCTTGGGTGCATTAGCTCTGTATACCAGTGTTCAATTGGGTGGGGGCATGTTCTCAAAACGAATAGATGAATCTGCAACTTGTAAATCACAGTAAATGGCGTTTTGGGCACAGTACCTACAAACTCTTTGCGTGGTGTTGACTGGCAGCAGGCCGAACCAATATAACAAATAAATGAACTCAAACCCAAATCAAAAGGGAAAGCTTATCCAATCGAACAAACCAAACTCCAGGTGGAATTGTTTGTTATGTGTGATATGCATGTTTCAAATCGGTATTTCCTATTTTGGGAGAGGTTCCTGGAGGATATTTTCTGGATTCCGATCGTAATCACCAAGGTGAGCAACGAGCTTACGACTCGTCCAGCGAAAGACAAGCTTTTTTATGACCACCTCACTGGTGCCCACCTTCTTCGAGCCCCTGCAGCGCACTCAGAAGGGGCCTGGCAGCGTCTTCAGTTGCAGTGGTCGGAGAGAGGCAGTCTAAAACCACCCAAATCGCACATTCGCGGTTCTTCAGAAAGCTGGATTGACAGTGAAAATAAGGTTATTTCATCAAACAAGGAATCCAAACGTCAACTCAAACGAACAAGTCAAACTCCAGAGCACAAACTAAACAAACTGGTTCGAAGGGCGGTATGTTTGGTTGATCGGAAGCCCTCTGTACATAGTAATATCGCGGCACATGATGAACGCTTGCACAGAGTGCTACCCATCGGCAGTAGTGCCCCGGTAGAGTGCAACCCAGCGCGCTGTTAGGCCTAGGCTCCGGCCGGCTGGGCCCCTTTTCCCTTAAGCCGACCCCTGTCGGCTCGTTTTTTATCTCTCGCCGTTGAGCGTGAGCACGCGAGAGTTACCTCGGGACTGGCCAACTTCGAGCCGAATCTGATGCTGCTGGGCCCCGTGCCGTAGCTTTGTATTATCGTAAGCATCCCTTCCGCTTGCTATAGAATCCTTCCGTTCTCCCTGCGGCCGCCGCTCGATTTCCATGGGCTTCGGTCGAGCATTGGCGGCAACTAGGCGGTGGCCACTCTCTGTGTGCTCTCTCACAACACAGCGAGCCAATCACACGCTCTCTCACGCCCAGCGACACACCACCTGCAGCGCATCTGCTGTACGTCCATCAGGTATCAGCAGCCCCAGTCGCAGCCCCAGCGGCGTCTGTGCCAACGCTAGTCGGACGCCTCCAGCTGGTGTCGGCGGTGCTGTTGCCATGGCCTTTAGCTCCCATCATGGGCGTACAACACTGGGTCCAGGACACGCAAGGACAAAAATGACCCCGCCCCCTCCATCAACTTCTACAAACCCCTCTGCACTCTCCTCCAAAATTTCCTCCCAAAGGACTTCTCAGATAGCTCGTCACCTATCGAGTGCATCTCCCTCCTCATCCCAAAGCCAGTCCCCCACTGTCGCTAAAAACCCCAACACAATGTCCGAGTACACCCTTCGCAAGGTGGCTCCTGCCAACACCCTCGAGCACCGTGTTTACATCGAAAAGGATGGCATTCCGGTCTCCCCCTTCCACGATATCCCTCTGTACGCCAACAAGGAGCAGAACATTCTCAACATGGTCGTTGAGATTCCTCGCTGGACCAATGGCAAGCTCGAGGTATGCTCTTCACCGACCCTAGCCTTGATACCCAATGGGGCTCAATCCATTTTCCCCCCTTCTACACGCTCATAGAGAGGCATTGCTGGCGTCCAAATCACCGCCACCACTAGCACAGCAACCGCCTTACTGACCTACGTCTTCACGTTCTTAGATCTCTAAGGAGGAGCTTTTCAACCCCATCAAGCAGGATGTGAAGAAGGGCAAGCTTCGATTCGTCCGCAACTGCTTCCCCCACAAGGGCTACCTCTGGAACTACGGTGCCTTCCCCCAGGTATGAAACAATGACCATCCTTATGCACCCCACGCCGGGGCATTGGCTCTTGGGAACCAAGATCTGACCCGCGACGCAATAGACCTGGGAAGACCCCAACAGCGTCCACCCCGAGACTAAGGCCAAGGGTGACAACGACCCTCTTGACGTTTGCGAGATCGGCGAGCTTGTCGGCTACGCTGGCCAGGTCAAGCAGGTCAAGGTCCTCGGTGTCATGGCTCTCATCGACGAGGAGGAGACCGACTGGAAGGTCATCGTCATTGATATCAACGACCCTCTCGCTCCTAAGCTCAACGACATTGAGGATGTCGAGCGCCACCTCCCTGGCCTCCTCCGTGCCACGAATGAGTGGTTCCGTATCTACAAGATCCCTGACGGCAAGCCTGAGAACCAGTTCGCCTTCACTGGCGAGTGCAAGAACAAGGAGTATGCTATGACTTTACAATGTTGATATATAGAGAGCATTCGACTAACCCTTTTCCTCTATAGCTACGCCCTCGACGTCGTCCGTGAGTGCGGTGAGGCCTGGGAGCGCCTGATCACTGGCAAGACCGCCGCCAACGGTGTTTCTATGTATGTCCTCGAGTGAACCTCTTACACGTGAAGCCATTTAACTAACTTTAATATAGTGGCAACACCACTGTCCAACGCTCCACCGGTTTCATTCCTGCCAACCAAGTCCCTGCTCTTCCTCCTCACCAGGAGCTCCAGCCCGAGAAGATTGACAGCTCCATTGACAAGTGGTTCTTCATCAGCGGTGCTGCCAACTAAGCATCTCATGTTCACCACCAAAAAAAAAAGGCAGTGTGGCGGGTTGGAGTATTTGACCAATGTAGAAAAATCATGGCATTTTTCATATAGACCACCACATAGTAATACATGACTCTAAAGAAATCTTCCACAAAACCTTTTGTTGTACATGGTGTATATCGTATCGCCTCTATACAAGGTCATGCCGACGATCTGCAATTCCACCTCTAGAAAAGAAACGCCGCAAATGCAATTGTAAAGATTAGGATACCGCTTAATCCATCAAGTCGTCTGCCTTTTGTAATTGTCGTGAGTGTCGGTCGCACTCGCCCACCACACCCTTGATATTGATCTTGTCGGTCTCAAACTTGAGCTCCTTGCCATCCTCTGTAGCCATGTTAGCAACCGTCGAGATCCGCCACAGAGCAAAAAAAAAAAAAACATCGTACTGAATTTGACGAGGAGGGAGCTCTTCTCGGCCGACGTCCTCGGCAGCAGCGTCGTGTTGATCCTCATCCCGCTCGCGCGGGCATTAGGCGGGAGGTATGTGAGGAAGAGCCGTGCGGGCTTGGCGCAGGCGGAGAAGGGGTTGAATTTGGCGGTGACCTCGGTGAGGTACTTGGTCAGCATTTTGGCGGGCGGAGATGTATGAAAGACTGCAGGTTTCCGTGGTCAATTGGCGCTGGCAGGTAATCGTGGTGGTTTGCAATGTTCTTTGGCGGCATTGGGGAAATTCGGGTGTTGGAAAACTCGATATAAGAATAGCCCCGTTTTTTTCTTGGAGTCGCCGATGCCATCATACCGACCAGGGATGGGCCAGCATGGCAACTTCTACGATTGTTCGCTTTCTGTCCCCCTTCGCTAAAGAAGAAAATGTGGTAATTTTTACATTTGGGGAATAATATTGGGAACTAATTTATATAAAAATGTCTTTTGAGAGTTTGCAGGAGCGGTTGTCCGCCCTGCAGGAGACCACGTCGCAGCTACGGGAGCTGATCGATCGACTGACGTATCTCAAGTTCCAGCCTGGCTCGGTGCCGCTCGACACCAACGAGGAGGGCAGCGTGAGCGGAGAGCTGAGCGCGGAGATCAGCCAGCTGCTGAGGGAGGGTGACGACGACCAGGAGCTCCTGCTGGAGGAAGTCGAGTTTCTCAAGGACGATGAGGAAGGAGGACGGACCAGACTACAACAAGGGGTGGAGAGGCAAGGCAAAGAACTGGAAAGGTAACATTGCCCTCTCCTTCGCTACACTGTTCTAGGGAGAATATCAAGAAGGAAACCCAGCTGACGGTTTATTGGTTTACAGCTGTCGAATTGGCTTCAGGAAAGCCCGCCTCGCAGCGAAGAAGAGTCTCGTCCAGGCACAGCGACTAGAGCGGGAGCTCATGGTCAAGTCCTACTCCGTCCCCGTCTCCGAGGCGGCGTCATCGCCCGACGCGATAGATGAGAAGGATGCGCCGCCGCCTTTCCAATACCAGTTCTCCCGATACAACCAGCGGGCCCAGCAGACGAGCAGCCTGTCCGAGAAAGACAAGCAGGCGGTGGGGGCGAGCAGCCGGGCGACGGACGCGCTGCGGCAGATGCACGCCTCGCTGCAGGACGAGCTGGAGCGGAGCGACTATGCGCACCAGACGATGAAGGAGTCGTCGGCGGCGTTCCAGCAGCTCAACGAGTCGTACAGCTCGTTGGAGGTCATGCTGGCAAGTTCGAAGGATCTGCTGGGCACGCTTATGAAGTCGCAGAAGAGCGACACGTGGTACCTCATCACTACATTTTACATGCTTCTTATTGTCGGGGCTTGGTTGGTGTTTAGGCGCTTCCTCTACGGGCCTATGTGGTGGTTGGTCTGGCTGCCGCTGAGGTTTCTCCTGGGTGTTGGATCCACCGTTGGAAGTACGGCGTTACAAGGTCGGGGGAGTGTTGGCGAGTCTGGGAAAGTGGAAACTTTTACTGGGGAGCATAAGGTGACTGTGGATGGCATCCCGGGTGATGAGCTACCTACGGCAAAGGTTGAGGAGAAACCCTCAGCACCTACGAAACAGGACACCAACTCAGTGATGGAGGAAGTGCAGAAAGTCGTTGACTCAGTCAAGGAAGCAGATGAGCTGGGCTCTATTCCAAAAGAAGATACCGGTTCTGCCGATGTGGTTCCAGGGGAGGTAGTTGAGAAGGTTGTCGAAACCGAAAATGATGAAGCGGTGGACGATGACGATGAAGACGAGGATGACGACGAGGATGAGGAGGATGAGGATGAAGACGATGTAGTGGAAGAGTACACGAGGGAACGGGATGAGCTTTAAGTTTGAGAGTCAAATAATATGACAATCCAATTATAAGGCAAAATACGCTTTTCAAAGCTTGCATCCCAGCACATTCACGTACGCGCACGAGTTTCACCTACTTCCCACCTACCAACACCAAACAAACACCCAAACCCACATTTATCAGACTGAGAAATGTCTTTTTTTTTCATCGCTGTGGCCCAACCGGTGTCACGTTGCTGATCCATGGGATTCCAAGCTTCTTCATCTCTACAGCAAGCTGGAAAAGGTAGTCCAAGCTTATTTCCGTACATGTCAGCTCAGTCATCAACAGAAAGAGAGTTTCAAAGGACGAAATAGAAGATGTGAGGTCATAGGAGAGGTGCGGTTGTTTACCTTTCACACTGGGTCTTGGCCTTGTGGACATTGTCGCCCCAGACATAGACGCCGTGACGTCTAACCAGCACAGCGTAGGTGTCTGGGTACTTCTCCATGGCCTCCTCAAGGAACTCGGTCAAGTCCTCCTCGTGCGGCGTGTTCTCGATGACGGGGATGCGGAGCGTATCGTGGTAACCCAGGTTCCCGGTCTTGTTCATGCCCTTGCCGAAGCCCTTGATCTGCTCAATGTTGTTGATCTCGAAGACCCTGTCGTTGCCAGGGCCTTGGGACTCGAGGAGCAGGGTGACGAGGACGGCCCATTGGGAGTGGGTGTGGATGCAGCAGCCGGCGCCGCGGCGGGTGAACGCGGCGAGGAAGAGAGGCGTGCACTGGGACGGCTTGTAGATCGGGGGCGATCGGATGTAGGTGCGCTGCTTGAACGTGGGCTCTTGGGCGGCGAGGGAGAGGACGTAGATGTCGGCAGGCTTCATGAGCTCCTTCTGGACGCCCGAGGGGGCGAGATAGACGAGGTCACTAGGAGGAGGCAGTTCAAGCAATCTTAGCACAGGCTCCGTACAAAGTAAAAGGCATGTCTAGAGATGATGTCGTTGCGAGCATGCACGGGGGAGGGACCTACTCGTCTCGAATGGAGCAGCCTCCTCCTGTGCCAGTGACCCAACCCAATGTCCAGAACTTGGCGCAGAGTGATGGGATGAGGTTGGCGGGATGGTTTGGGTCGTCGGAGACGACCAGCTGGTCGGGATTCTCAATCTTATCGGCAGCCATTTTGCGATTGCTCGTCGGGGGGCTGGTCTGGCAGATTCTTTGAGAAGTCACCCTGTTTCGACAGTCTCAATGCACGTATCAGAAGAGAAAGGCGCGTGCTAGAGTCCCCGAGGTATCGATGGGATCGAAATGAAGCTGTCTACCGCCAATACCAGTAGCACGCCTTTGAGACTTTTGATACCTCATGGTGGGGTTGAGCTTTCCAGCTCAATAAACTACCCCGCTAACGTCATTATTTTGTTTATTAGGCCTCAACTAGAAAGCAAATAAGAGAGCAGCAATTTCAACGTGCCAATTGAAAATTTAGGAACGTCTATCTATCCCAAAACAGAGCTTCCCGCAACTATTATAAGAAGTGGTCATATTATTGAGTCAATTCATTTCGTAGCCTTTTTGATCCCCTCGCATTCATGCAATCTTTTCTAAATTTCTTGTCTTGAAAGGTCTAATATGGAGATTATCAACCGATAAGACGGCACAGACGCAGCCAATGGGAAAGCTCAGAGAAGCTGCTGATTAAGAAGCGCAGTGTCGCTCCCTGAACCAACTCTATTGACGGCCCAACTGCTAGCTCGATACATCTAGATCAGAGAAACGAGCTAAAGATAATATGCTAAGATGTTAATGACGCGCCGGACCTTGCACAGTTGTTTTAGCAGCTCAAACAAAGCACCGTTGAAGGGATCTCATGGTAGTCTGGACCTGAAACACAAACTTATACCCAACCAGCACGATCATCAGGTCGAAATGGTAGGCTGGGCGGCACGGCTCACTGCCCTCAGTCGCCATGGCCGTACACAGCAGATACCAATTTTTAGCGACCTGTCATACACTCATCTGCTGAAATGAAATTGCTTCTGCAGCTGCAATGCATAGTACCAGCTAACACCGTACCTGTGCAGCCGTCCCATAGGCTGAGATTGAATGCAGAGTAGGGGATGGCGCCAATCACAATAGCACTTCTGGTGATTCAGCAGCAGGCTAGTCTACAAGGATCAAGTGTTCCTGCATTCATTTGCGGCCTGAAAATTGAAACGCGGCGTCAGGCGGTTACAGCTGCGGCGAAGAGGAGAGAAATTGGCCCGTTACCTGATCTCGATCAGGTTCTTAACACCACTGGGGGATTCTTAGCTGTGATGGGAGCAAGCTAGCAAGTTGAGGCTTGACGCTTGCCTGGTTTACAGAGATTAGGCGCCGTTGCCCTGAAAGTAGGCATGGCCAGCGTCACATGAAATGAGAGCATAATGAATGGAACCACCTGTAAAAGGGGTGGAGAAAAACCAAGGCAGAAATCGTCCGGTAGGAGCTCAAGTGGCAATCCGGACTGGGTGAGCTCGTATTCAGGCCACGCCGAGCGTCACACTCGTGAGACGCGCCAAGCAAATGGCCCCCATTAGCACAAGAACACCACCAAGCTCTCTTTGAATCGCTCCGTCACAGGAGCTAAGAATAAGTGGCTCTGGGGCGATTTCACGGACCTCCCTTCTCCATCGTCGCCTCCGTCCGTGCTAACTCTGGTGGTGGCATCGTCGATGGCGCTGGGGCCAGGAGCTGTGGCCCGGTTCAGGCCGTGAAATAAGCTGGCCATGGGTAAATGAACTAGGAAGCCATCATGCGGGTACCCCCGGTCTCATTTCAATTTTCACCTTCTGGAGAACAAGCCAGCAGATAGCCTTTGCCGGAAGTCCATTCCCATCCATGCCCATGTTCATGCCCAGGACCTTGCAAAGTACACGGTACCTCGGGCGCCCCAGGAACAGCTCAGAACTGCCGGGCCTTGGACTTTTGCACAATTCGGCGGTGGATGGTCAGGCATTTCATTTACAGGTCGCTCCGGCAAGCAGTTGCAGGTATTTTCTTGTTTTGTTTTGTTTTTGCGCCGTGTATTTGATATGCTCTGTTTCCGCGTCGGCCCCCTGAAACATCGCGTGGCCAATCAGAAAAGGGCCGTTGCCTTGAAGACAAGTAGGCAGGTCTCGCTCGGAGCAACCACCCGCGCTTCACACCACTCCAGACTCATTACATCGCACAGACAGGGTGCTGGGAGGTGGCGCCTGCTGCTAATGATAGCCAGGATTCCTGCCTCGGGGAACAGGAAAGGGGGGCAAGTGAAAGTTGCTTCAGGACGAGGATTAGCAGACAGATGGCCTGCTGGCGGTCAACCAGACGCAGCAAACGGGCATGTAATACCCTGACGGCTCATGCAGGCCTGGGAGCTCAGGCCAGTACCAGACTCAGAAGACCGTAAAGAAAAAATTGCCAGCTGGATCGTGGCTTGTGGATGGAAATTGGACTCAGCCGTTTCCCCAGATGCTACAAGGGCCGATCTGCATAATTAGAGCGGCACTAGGCGGTGTTGGGCAACCAGCCGCAAAATACGAGCATAACTGGAGTCATGCTGCATTAACGTCTTCATAACTCGCCAGGGCCACCTCTTGGGCAATTGAGCTCGTACCTAGTACCTCGCCTTGTTTCTCATGACCAAACGGGCACCAGGCCGGCCTTGGCTGCTCGAGATTGTTATTAAAATGCCGTCAAGGCCCCCGTCGCGTGCCTCCTCTGTTCTCTTTCCTACGCACAACCGTCCATCGTTTGCTTCAACGTCTCTCGCTATTATCACTGCCAATATTTATCTTCACTCTTAATACTTCTAATTAAAGGTTCTCCTTAAGCTCTTCAGCAATCAATCATCATGCGTTTCTCTACCTCCATCCTCGTTGGCGCTCTCGTCGCTGTCGTCTCTGCCCAGTCCAGCTCCTCCACCACTGTCGACACTCCCACCAGCACCTACTCGCTCACCCCCGAGCAGTCCTCTGTCGCTGCCTGCTACAACGCCTGCGACCAGACCGACGTCAGCTGCCTGGCCAAGTGCAACCCTGTATGTAGCGCTGTATCCAGTTCACTAGGAAGACGAGAATGCTAACAATCAACCCAACAGGTCCCCAACCCCAGCGACGACCAGGCCAACAAGACCGTCGAGTGTGTCTCCAAGTGTGACCAGGGCAACGGCACCGAGACTGACATCGCCAACTACACCACCTGCCAGAACAAGTGTATCTCCGACTTCTACTACAACGACAAGAACGGTGGCACCCCCAACTCTGCCACCAACGGCGGCGGTTCCAAGACCACTGCTTCCGGCTCCAGCCAGACCAGCGGCAGCAGCTCTGCCACTGGCACCGGTGCCTCTGCTTCTGCCTCTGGTTCCTCCACCGCCACCGCCTCCGGCTCCCAGAGCACCGAGACCGGTGCTGCTGCTACCCTCTTCGGCTCCTCCGTCGCTCTTCTCGGCGCTGTTGCCGCTGCCCTTGCTTTGTAATTGAGTGCTCCATTTTACTGGGTTTAGCAATTGAAAAATGAGGGAAAGCTGGGTATGAATTGTGTATAATGCTTGGAATTTTGGCAAGGTCTATGCTTTCTTACAGGACGAGTCTTCCGCTGACGAGGTCTGATATTCAGACGCGTCTTTAATTTTTGAAGGAGTCTAAGGTGGAAATAGCTTTGATATAAACAGTGCGGTTTTGATACCCAAGTACTACTGCTTCTCGCTCACATGTGAACGACGTCAAAATGTGACATGTTAAGTCTGCCAATCAATAATTGTAGTCAAAGTCGAGTTATGCGATCGCCAGTATTGGAATGCAAGATGAACACGCCCTCCCATCTGGCTGTTTCAGCTACCATCGAAAAGCCACAGTGTTTGGTCTGTAATTTTGACTAATTTTGATCACCAAGGGCAGACTTTCTCGGCAAAGCGCGTAATTTCGATCGCTATCGCACATGATTGAATCGTGAAAAGCAGACTATCGACTGCTGATCGGGATGCTTATTTGTGGTGGAACTTTTTTTGCACAGCCACCTCCAGCTTTTGTCGTTGAAGCTCTAGCGCCACTGCCGTACCCCTGACGATCAATGCCACCTCAGTTGCCAGACTGACCCTGATCATCATCATCTACCCTAATCAGTGCAGAGTAATACCTACATATGCACCATTATATATGCATACAACTAGACCAGCGAGGCGGCTCTCCCAACTACTCTAACGGCCAAAAGGCTCCCTAGCCATTGAATTATACCACTACCCTTGAACATTTACCATTCCTTATGCTCCATAAACCACTCACCGGATCTCATAGTGTTACTTATTATTGCTAGCTCATCACATAACCCTCGTTACTTTATGTCCAGAGGGGCTTCAGAAGTGACAGTCGGGTATATGGCTGGCTGATTGAGACACCAAACAAGCGATTAGGTTACTTCATGAACACTTGGATTTGGGTGGCCCCCTACATACCTGTGGATCAAACCTATAGATCCTTACCTCATGATCGTTGTCAAGAGCACCTAAGTCTGTCAATAACCATAACATCATCCTAAGGATCTCTAATATCTGAGTGGAAGAGATGGCAGTAGCGGTCTTCTTTAAGGTGCTTCCTTTGCTCATAAAATTTTCCGGGACCATCTCACTACAGTAACTCGGGCCAAGTATGTGTCTACCATATTCAGCCGAACGCTGACTTGAGTAAAGGTAAGGCATGTGATACTGCAACAGAAGATGATGTAGATGGTTCTATTTAACACGAAACGACTTTCAAAACTTTTGATTCGTTCCAAGAGCTATCTAATACTACTAGCTGGATACCACTGGTCTAGCTCTACTGGCCCGAATTTGGCTTTGGGTAAGTCACCTTCCCGTCGTCAGCATACGCATCAATGACCGACACAATCCTGTCTGCCCGGAAACCTGGATCAGTGTCTGTGTTGACCTGAAATGGAAATGGGCCAGGGTTGTTGACTGGTGCAGGCTGTGGTGCAGGCTGTGCCGGAGTTGCCTTTCCGCGCTTATTTTGAGCGGCCTGGGCTGCCCGGTCTATCATCTCCTTTGTGGTTTCGATTTTAGAAGGGCCTTTGTTGTCTTTTGAACTGCCACTGCCACTTCCACCGCTAGTGCCAGCGCAGTCACTTCGCCGGCACAATGAGCTCTTTGAGCTGACATCAATAGGCTTCTTGGGAGCGGCAGGATTTTGGATAGCGATAGGCTTCTTAGCATCACCAGGCTTCCTGAGAACAGAAGATTTGACAACGGCAGGCTTCTTGGCAGCAGCAGGCTTTTCGGGAGCAGCATGCTTCTTAGGAGCAGCAGGCTTTTTGGCAGCAGCAGGCTTCCTGAGAACAGAAGATTTGACAACGGCAGGCTTCTTGGCAGCAGCAGGCTTTTTGGTAGCAGTATGCTTCTTGGGAGCAAATTTTTCGACCACTGCAGGCTTCTTGGGGGCGGCTTTTACAACAGCTCTTTTATGGAAGGTGCCATGTGCATTGTCATTGCGAGCCTTGATGTTGGGTTCGTTATCACGAGCTAGCAAGAAATCCACAACACTATTGCTACTTTCGATCCGAGTAGCAAGGCGGCCGGTTGTAAGAGGAAGACCAGAAGTTTTGCTTGCAATACTAAGCAATACCGCTGCAATAAAAGGTAGCTGTCCTGAGAAAACCATGATGGGTATTTCCAGAAGAATCGGGCAGGTCAGAAAGAAGTGATCAAACGAAAAGAAAGAAGTGTGAAAGGACAGGACGGAGACCAGCTCTATAAGAGAACAAGAGAAGAGGACAGAGACCAGCTCTAAGAAAAGTTTTTTTTTTTTTGAAATGATAGAGAGCAAAGAATCTTCGTTGTAATGGGGAGGTATTCTAGTTTATATATTTGCCGTGATGCTATGCCTATGTTCACCCACAGCATGCCCACTCCCAAGTCCCTAGACGAGCTTCAACTACCACAGCTGTAAGTGTCAACTGTGACGTACTCCGAGCCAACACAGCACTGATCCTGTCAAATCCATTTTGAACATTTAGCGTAGTTTTTGCTCTTTTCCCCTCTTAAATTTCTCTCATTCTAATTAAAAATAGCAATCCTCGACTGAGCAGTATCAACACTAACTGGGGGGGAGAACCAACATGAATTGGCATACATAGAACACAGGTCCACCTGATCGCTCGAGCTTACCAACATGTTGAGCAACTATCCACTCGAACATGATACCGCAATCTAAATCCATGCATGAGTCGCGCGAATGACTGCTGTTCGTGCGGGATCTAAGCGTAACCTCCACTAATATGCAGGTTGACCAACAACAGGACCACCATACCAGGCTGAGCAGGCCGTCAATCTACGTGTAATACCGGTCCAGCTCGGCTAAATCACACAAAAGTTTCCTTGTGTTGGTGGGAATAAGCCAATTCCACCTTGCTGCATTTCCCACGTCAAAAGCGCGTGGGAGAAAGGGTTGCCCTTGATCTAGTACCGTGGATCCGTCTTTTGTTCCTTGGCTATGTTGGCCGTCGAATACAATCGATATCGAAACAGGGTGAATTATTAGATTGCGTGTTGCTGCCCCGCCTGCGGTAGACAGGGGCTCAAAGCCAGCCTTGCATTAGGGTGCGGTCACAATCCCCTTGCTTTTATTGCCACATCATACATTGACGTTAACGAAGTGCGTGTTGATGAACCAAGGAACTTGTCACCATTTTCCGTTCTCAACCAACACATTTCGAACTATCACCTCCCGGCATGGATTTCATTCAATCTACAACGCCCTCACAGCGCAAATCACCTTCTGAATCCACCAAGGCGCAACAAGAGCAGGTGCTGTCAAATCGCACGACGTTATTGACACTGCCACCGGAGCTCCAGACCAAGATCTTTTCACATCTTGTTCTATCCTGGGGCAATTCAACCATTCAAGAGGTTCTGAGAACCTGCAAGCAACTCTACAAAGTGGCACTTCCGATCTCCGTGTCTATTTTTCGGAATACGATAAACCAAACTAATGGGCAAGGCCCATGTTCTACTACTCGCAATTCGCGGTTCCTGCGCTATATCCTCGTTTCCAAGCCTTGGCTGGCCAAGGACGTTAGGACTGTTGTCTTTGGACGCATTTCATCAAGAGATGGAGAAGTTAAAAACCATGAGGAAGCTTCAATCACCGATGAGGAAATCGCTATTTACCAACAGCATATCGAGCTCATCTTAGGCCAGCTACCTTCTGGGTATACCGAGAGATGGGGTGCTGAGTGGGTAGAAGATCTCAAAAGTGGCACTTCTGATGCTCAGGCTGCTCTGATCCTGCTTGCCTGCCCGAACATCCGCACACTCCTATATGAGATGCCTGACCAACCAAGACATTTCACTCAGCTACTAAGTTTGGTCCACAACTTGGCTGAGATCAGCCCGTCCCTTCGCACCCCTGATCATTCGAAAATGATCATCCCGCTCTCCAATCTCCAAGATGTCTTTCATGAAACGTTGGACTATGATCGTGGCTACTCCGAATTTGGGATGGAGGCACCGGAGTTCTTCGCATTCCCTCGACTTCGGTACTACGAATGCAATCTGGCCCATGTATGGTCTGACGTATCAGGGAAGTTTGAACGCCTGCCACGTAGGTCATCATCGGTTGAAGAGATCACCCTTCATGCTTCTTATATTAATAATGACACACTTGATGGCATGCTGGGCGCTTGCAAAGCACTAAGAAAGTTCGAGTTTTCTCATTTTCGGCTCGATCGTGAGCTAGGTGCTCCTTGCCTGATGATGCCTCGGGATATTATGGACGCTATCCTGCCTCACGCCAGTACGTTCGAATCTCTCTGGCTAAATATGGAAGAGTCTTGGGATAAAGAATGGAAATGGATCGGTTGCCCCGAGCGACTATACATGGGGATGGGGCTTCGTCAAATGTGTATGCTGACGAGGCTTGAGATTGGCATGCAAGCCCTCACTGGAATGCTCGGGTGGGACCCTGATACTCGTGATCCAGCTGCCACCAAAATGCCGCTGAGGATAAAAGGAGCCCCCAAGATTGTCGATTGTCTCCCTGAGAGCCTGGAATGCCTCAAAATTCATGATTGTGGAATGCCAATACTGGATCAAGCGGCCGAGCTGATCCAGGTAGTTGAGCAAGGGCATGGTTTTAAAAGGCTTACCTACATTGGCTTGCTATTCAATGGGTGGAAAATGGACCGAGACATAGATTTTCCTCAAGCCAGGAAGCTAACCTGTAGTGCCTCCCATGTTTGCTTAGATATTGGTTTTCGGGAAGAACTGCACTACCTGTGCGATTTAGGAGAGACCGTAGAAGGACTGGAGGGTGATCTAAACATAACGTCTCGTATATATGCGCCACATATCAGAAAGACGTACCGGGAGACGCGAGGGACACCTAACTTGATGTTATGGAGTGACCCTGACCTGTATGAAGAATAAACTGACAAGAAGAAATTTGGGTTATCCTGCTGGACTCAACCGACCTCTCTAAGTTGCATCGTGAGATTGTGGCGTTTGGGTTTTCGGGCTCTTGCCTATCGCCAGGCCTCTTTCTTGCCGGAGGAAGAATTTCTCGCCAGAAAGCCTACCTATGCAGTCAACTCTAGGGTAACGGTTCTTGAGACATCACGAAATGGGCCAACTGAGCGCTTGAATTTCGATTCTTTTTTTGTATTTTTGTGTTTGTTCGCTTTCAGATTCATGTTGCATTACCCCACACCTAGGCCTTCTCAGTTTGTACAGGTAGAGCAGCAGCGGCCTGGCTGGTTAGTTTACGATCGAGACCCAACATTGATCTTTTCCTCTCTCTCCCACCTCGGCGTCATCCCGATAGCTGACACTTTTCCTTGTTGACACACATCTATGAAACAAAAAATGAACAGAATTTGATGGCTTAGTATACACGTTTGAAGGGAGGCACGGGCGCGCACTCGTTCTCGTCCAGGGTGGTGGAGATGACACGGCGGTAGGAGAGGTCAACCTTGCCGTGGGGCTGCTTCTGCCAGGACAGAGTGTGCTTCATCCAGTTCTCGTCGTCACGGTCGGGGTAATCCTCACGGGCGTGGGCACCACGGGACTCCTTGCGGTTGGCAGCGGAAGTAGCGGTTTGGGTACTATAGTCGGTTAATATAAAATCACTTCTAGTGTTTTGAGGAATAAAAGGCAGAAAGACTTACGCGCAGGTCAGCAGGTTGCGGAGCTCGAGAGTCTCAACCAGATCAGTGTTCCAGATCATGCTGCGGTCCTTGATACCAACCTCGGGGAAGAGGGCATCGATCTCAGTCATCTTGCGGACACCCTCGTCCAAGCTCTCCTGGGTTCGGAAAACGCTGACCTCAGTCTGCATGGCCTTCTGCATCGCCAGACGGACCTCGGCAGTGGATCGAGGACCATCTGAAGTGCGGACCTTGTCGAGGACCTCGATGTGGTCGGCACCAGCATCAGCAGCAAGAGGCTTCAGCTTGTCGCCAGGGTTGAAGTTATCGCGAATGGTGTGAGAGACAGCACGACCGAAGACGACGAGATCCAGAAGAGAGTTGGCACCCAGACGGTTAGCACCGTGGACAGACACGCAAGCAGCCTCTCCGCAGGCGAACAGACCAGGGACAACCTTGTCCTCGCCCTTCTCGTCAACAGTGAGGACCTCACCAGTGTAGCGAGTAGGGATACCACCCATGTTGTAGTGGACAGTGGGCAGGACAGGGATAGGCTGCTTGCGGACATCGACACCAGCGAAAATACCAGCAGTCTCAGAGATACCAGGCAGACGCTCAGCCAAAATCTCAGCGGGCAAGTGGCTGAGCTGGAGGAAGATGTGATCCTTCTCGGCACCAACACCACGGCCGTCACGGATCTCCATGGTCATGGATCGGGAAACGACGTCACGGGAAGCGAGATCCTTGGCGGTAGGGGCGTAACGTTCCATGAAACGCTCACCCTCAGAGTTGAGGAGATAACCACCCTCACCACGAGCACCCTCGGTGATCAGGCAACCAGCACCGTAGATACCAGTGGGGTGGAACTGGACGAATTCAAGATCCTGGTTAGGAAGACCAGCACGGGCAACCATGGCCATACCGTCACCGGTACAGGTGTGGGCAGAAGTGCAGCTGAAGTAGGCTCGGCCGTAACCACCGGTGGCGAGGACGGTGTGGTTAGCCAGGAATCGGTGGAGAGTACCGTCTTCCTGGTTGTAGGCCAGGACACCACGGCATTCACCATCCTGCATGATCAGGTCGAGGGCGAAGTACTCGATGAAGTAGTTGGTGTTGTGGGCAAGCGATTGGCCGTAGAGAGTGTGAAGAAGAGCATGGCCGGTTCGGTCAGCGGCAGCACAGCATCGGTAGGCCTGACCACCCTTGCCAAACTTCTGGGACTGACCACCGAAAGCACGTTGGTAGCTAGGCAGAAATGGTCAGCATGTCAAGGCAACATCCCTCGTAGCTTTTATTTCCAAACTTACATCTTGCCATCCTCGGTTCGGGAGAAGGGACAACCGTAGTGCTCAAGCTCGATAATGGAGGCGGGAGCCTCACGTGTCATGTAGTGGATGGCGTCTTGGTCACCGAGCCAGTCAGAACCCTTGACGGTATCATACATGTGCCATCGCCAATCGTCCTCGTGCATGTTTCCTAGGGCGGCATTGATACCACCCTGAGCGGCGACGGTATGACTTCTCGTGGGGAAAAGCTTAGAGATACAGGCTGTGTTGAACCCGGCCTCGGCCAAACCGAAAGCAGCACGGAGACCGGCGCCACCGGCACCGACAACGAGGGCATCGTATTCGTGGTCCTGTCACGGCCAATTTAGCACTGATCCTGGGATTCGACGTGGAGGGGCGGGTGAACGTACAATGACGGGATACTTGTTGCTCACGAAAGGAGAAGCCTCTTTGGCTCGGAGAGGACGGTTTGCGATCACGCGGGCTGTAAGAAAATTGATGATTAGCTCGTTGGACAAGCCATGGCACGCATTGGCCTGGGGGAGGTGAGTTTACCGTTAAGTCTCGTTGACGAGAAAGCCCGGAACTGGCTTTGTGTAGACCGCGCGAACTGTTGCGGTCAGTATGGCGAACGAACATGCAGGCCGGGAAAGATTTCGAGCACAGGGCGCACAAACTGAGACTCACCGAAGATCCAGAGGCCAAACGCCTCAATGCCATGGAGGAAGCCATTTTCAGCAATATATTGGAATGACCAACAAGTTACATCCAAAGTTGCTGCGTTGTCGATGGCGACCGGATTGTCAGAATCAGAGTGTTTGACGTCGATTCTGCTGGACAGGAACGAGGTTCGGGATCGGGGAGTCGGCTCCTCGGCTCATCTGGCCAATCATCGGGGGCTTATTACCATCGGCCTAGCAGGAAACGCGATTACCTAAGCACCCGCACATGTCTTCGGGTGTTCTACAGCGTGTCGCCTACCTCAGTTTTGCCGCGATTAGTCGACCTCTGGGTGGACGACGGAAGCTTTGATGCTGTGTTGGATAATTTCTTTAGGGCATGGTCGGTAGGTTGATGGGCTCGCGCAAGCTCAATTGCTCAGCCAATGGATAGTTTGAGAACTCAACTGTGCCTTGGGCAATATGAGCACTACTCTACAACTTAGGTGCCTATGTCTTATCTTGTATAAGCGAGTATGGTGATTCCTGTGCTTGAGTTTGCCATAAGATCTGGTGTGGAGGAGGAACCGTGATCTCTCACAGATCCGAACCCTTCCATCTCCCCTCGTTATCCGGGCGCCCGTCCATTAGCGCTAGCTTGAACCTTTGAAAAGGTAGCCCTGATGGTACGAACCTACTCTCTCGCAGGACCATTGCCACCATTTCTCTTTGACTTCCTAGACGACATAGTGAACAAAGTCATGAGGTCTAAGACATGGACATGAAGCATTACTAATCATAGAGCCCAGATCCCGGGTGGGTACACTCCTGGTGTTGCTTGGGGAAAATCGGAAGGACCAATCTCTGAGCGGCAGCAGAAAGTCAAGCGACGTAATTAGACAGTGGAATAAATTGTGACACGCCGAGGCTATCGACCTGAGATTTCGATATTTTATTATGAACAACTAAGCTGACCATGGACATATATATTCTCAAGGTACCTAGGCATTATACAAGGATTCCTTATTCACTTAGTATTGTAATTGATCTTCTTAACCAAAAAATACTGGATCCGCCACCTCTATGGCAGGCTGAGAGTGTCTTTGTGCCACTTTTTAGCTCGGTCAGTTGGCTTCCAAACCAAGCCATTGAACAAAGGATACGGGAGTTGTCATGCGCTGCCTGCATAAATGGGGTGCTTGAACTTACGATCTCCGCATACAGAGTAACGGGACACCGGTGTCTGCATCGTAGCACGGGTATACTGTGTCCTTTTAGCCAGGCAGCTAGGGTTCTTTCGCTCAGCATGAGCTTGTGCAAGCGTGTTCCATCACCTTCGGCTGCAGCTAAGGTGGTACCTGAGAGCGTTGTGGCTTGCGGCCTGCCCATTCTGGCAACCCCATGTGGCGCGCCAATTGCCGTCCCCGCACTCAGCGCACTCGGCAGCAGCTCTTCTGGGCCTTGAGCACCTAAGCAAGCCACATTTACCACCCCATCAGCTTCTACGTGTCCTTAAAGCGAGGCTTGGGCTCCACCCTCGAGTTCCAAGCGAAAGTTAAAGCTTCCGCCTCGCTCCAACATTCCTTCCTCCAACTTCTCTCCCAGGGAATCTTCAATCCTCAAGCGCTGGGCCATCCCAATTGGTATTCGACAACATCCACATTCATTCCCATCCAGTCACTTGATTGTGAACTGCGCCTGTTTTCTCCAGGGTCTACACTACCAAAAGCTTACAGAGTAGCTTGATCATCATGAAGTTCAACGCTGCTTCCGCTGCCTTGTCGGCGGCCATGCTCTCCGGCGTGATGGCCCACGAGGAGGTCGAGGAGAGCACTGCTTCAGCTCCCGAGCTGCCCAACTTCACTGTATGTCTTCACACCGCTCCACTCAATCCAACCCCCCGCAGCAACCTTGCAGCTTCCATTCCCGTCTCTTCCGCCCTCCTGTTGTGTCGCCATTGATCGCTGACCTTGTACTTGATTAGCCTACCACTCTCAAGGCCGATTTCCTCGAGCAGTTCACCGATGGTTGGGACAAGCGGTGGAAGCCATCCACTGCCAAGAAGGACACGACTGGCTCCGACAAGGAAGAGGAGGAATGGGCATATGTTGGCGAGTGGGCTGTTGAGGAGCCTGTCGCGTATAAGGGTATCAACGGTGACAAGGGACTTGTTGTCAAGAACCCTGCCGCTCACCACGCCATCTCGGCCAAGTTCCCCTCCAAGATCGACAACAAGGGCAAGACCTTTGTTGCCCAGTATGAGGTCAAGCTTCAGAGTACGTCGCATCACTCTCCTCTCGGTGTTCTCGTTGCTTTCGCAAATGATCATGGTTGTACTGACATGCGCTCCGTATTATAGATGGCCTGGAATGTGGTGGTGCCTACATGAAGCTGCTTCGCGACAACAAGGCTCTTCACCAGGAAGAGTTCAGCAACACCACCCCCTACGTCATCATGTTCGGCCCTGACAAGTGCGGCCACACGAACAAGGTTCATCTCATTATCAACCACAAGAACCCTAAGACTGGCGAGTACGAGGAGAAGCACCTTAAGTCTCCCCCAACCGCCAAGATCGTCAAGACGACCGAGCTTTACACCTTGATCGTCCACCCCAACAACACCTATGCTATCAAGCAGAATGACGTTGAGATCAAGACCGGCTCTCTCCTCGAGGACTTCGCTCCCGCCATCAACCCTCCCGCCGAGATCGATGACCCCAAGGACTCGAAGCCCGATGACTGGGTTGACCAGGCCCGGATCCCTGACCCCGAGGCTGTCAAGCCTGAGGACTGGGACGAGGATGCGCCTTTCGAGATTGTGGACGAGGACGCCACCATCCCCGAGGACTGGCTCGTTGATGAGGCCAAGATCATTCCTGACCCCGAGGCCGAGAAGCCTGAGGATTGGGATGATGAGGAGGATGGTGATTGGGTCGCCCCTACTGTCCCCAACCCCAAGTGCGCCGAAGTGTCTGGCTGCGGTCCCTGGACCAAGCCCAACATCAAGAACCCCGACTACAAGGGCAAGTGGACCGCTCCTCTTGTCGACAACCCCGACTACAAGGGTCCCTGGGCCCCTCGTAAGATCAAGAACCCCGACTACTTCGAGGACAAGACCCCGGCCAACCTTGAGCCTATGGGCGCTGTAAGTTATTTACCTGTGTTTTCCGTACTACCGTTTGAGCACCCATACTAATTTGGCTATTAAGATTGGATTCGAGATCTGGACCATGCAGAACGATATCCTCTTTGACAACATCTACATCGGTCACTCTGTTGAGGATGCCGCTAAGCTGGCAGCTGAGACTTTCCACGTGAAGCACCCCATTGAGAAGCAGCTCCTCGAGGCTGAGAAGCCCAAGAAGGACGACAAGCCCAAGTCGCCTCTTGACCTCAAGTTCTTGGATGACCCCGTTGCCTACATCAAGGAGAAGGTCGCCCTCTTCGTCGCTATCTTCCAGAAGAACCCTGTCGAAGCCTTCAAGTTTGTTCCCGAGGTTGGCGCTGGACTTGTTGCCATCGTTGTCAGCTTGATTGCTGTTACTCTTACCATCCTTGGTGGTTCCAGCGCTCCTGCCCCTGCTGGCAAGAAGGCTGCCACTGATGCCAAGGACAAGGCCAAGGATAAGGCCGCGGAGGCCACTGCTTCCGGTGCCGATAAGACAAAGTCTGAGGTTACCAAGCGCACTACCCGCAGCCAGTCCTAAAAGATTGGGTTTCGAGGTTAAATGCGAGGACGAGCGTAGGACGAGAGCAAGAACTGGGAGTGTACTGACAATTTCTTACCAATTGATTTGATGGAGAGTTTGGGATTTTCAACATGGGAGCGCATTACCGCAAAGCACGGAAAGATAACTTGACAGAAAAGTAAAAGTCACAAAAAAAGAGACAAATATATTTTCCAGATCGTATCTGAGTAAACGTCAAAACTAAGAATTGTCTTGGAACCACATTGGTTGAACCTCCGGAGCTTGGTTGCATCCTGATTAGCATATGAGAATGTTAGTACTTAAGGTTTTCATAGGTATACGCAGTTGCAACTTGAACAAGTAACCTAGCAAGTATCCTTCGGCTCAGAATAGGATTCATTTCTCTCCAACCCATAGAAAGAAGAAGCCTTTGCTTGGTTCCAGTTTGATTTAAGCCCGGGACGTGGAGACCGCATAAGCTTTTCCCTTGCAACCAACTCCGAGGTGTGTTCGGCAAGCAACGGCTCTTAGACCCGATCTTTCCGTCATTGCCATCTTCCACTCACTGGGGTCTTCCCCACCTCCCTCCACAGTTGCTTTCCTGATCCGTGTATGAGAGCTGGAGCTGTTGCTGAGGCACTGTAAATGTACTACGGAGGGGGCTTTATAAATTCCAGCCCTCCCCAACTCTAATTCCCAACCGTGCTGCTGACTTTGCCACCGAGGCGAGACTTACACTTACACAGCTCAAGTTTACTATACAGTCACCAAAATGCGGCGGCTTATTTCTCGAGGCGCCTCTGCTCCTCGAGCTTCCATGGCGGCGGCCAGGATGACCTCTGTCTCCTCAGTGCTGGCTCCCCGGGGGATTCATGCCTCATCGCGGCATCTGAAGCCTGTCGCCGCCGCGGCCGCACAGAGCTATCCCACGACCCATGAGAAGATCGCCAAGGTAGAGAACACCCCTTACTTCCTGAACAACGAGTTTGTGCAGTCCAATACGGACAAGTACATCGACCTCCCGGACCCAGCTACCAACAATCTCGTCACCCGTGTGCCTCAGATGACGGATGCGGAGATGGAGGCTGCTGTTGAGAGCGCTGAATTGGCGTTCAAGTCGTGGAAGAACACTACCGTGCTCCACCGGCAGCAGATCATGTTCCGCTTCGTGCAATTGATCAAGGACAACATGGACCGTCTGGCCGCTAGTATTACTCTAGAGCAGGGCAAAACCTTTGCTGATGCCAAGGGTGATGTGCTCCGTGGTCTCCAGGTCGCCGAGGCAGCTGTTGGAGCCCCAGAGCTACTCAAGGGAGAGGTCCTCGAGGTTGCCAAGGATATGGAGACCAGGAGCTATCGCGAGCCCCTGGGAGTAGTTGCTGCTATATGTCCCTTTAGTGAGTTGATTCTCAAATCTTGCGTTTGCATTTAGGAAAACATACATTGTGGTAGATTGCTAATGTGTGGTCAAATTATAGACTTTCCGGCAATGATTCCTCTGTGGTGTATTCCTATCGCTACCATCACCGGCAACACACTTATCCTCAAGCCTTCAGAGCGTGATCCAGGAGCCGCCATGATTCTTTCAGAACTCGTTCAGAAGGCCGGCTTTCCAGACGGCGTTGTGAATGTGATCCACGGTGCTCATCGTACTGTTGATTTCATTCTGGACGCACCAGCTATTAAGGCCATCAGCTTTGTCGGAGGCAATAAGGCTGGCGAGTACATCTTTTCTCGAGGCTCTGCCAACGGCAAGCGCGTCCAAGCCAACTTGGGGGCCAAGAACCACGCTGCTGTCCTCCCCGATGCCAACAAGAACCACTTCATCAACTCCGTGGTTGGAGCTGCCTTTGGAGCTGCTGGTCAGAGATGCATGGCTCTCAGCACGCTAGTCATGGTTGGCGAGACAAAGGAGTGGCTTCCCGAGATTGCCGAACGAGCTCGGGCTCTTCAGGTCAACGGAGGCTTTGAGGAGGGTGCCGACCTGGGACCTGTCATTTCCAAGCAGAGTCTGGAACGGATCGAGCATCTTATTTCTACGGCCGAGAAGGAAGGTGCTACTATTCTCCTTGACGGGCGGGGTCAAGCACCAGCGAAATATCCCGATGGGAACTGGATCGGCCCAACTATTATCACCAACGTCACACCAGAGATGACCTGCTACAAGGAAGAAATCTTCGGTCCTGTACTAGTGTGTTTGAATGTGGAAACTATTGATGACGCTATTGAGCTTATCAACAACAACGAGTACGGCAATGGAACAGCCATCTTCACGCGGTCGGGCTCGACAGCAGAGACATTCCGACGCAACATCGAGGCAGGCCAGATCGGTATCAATGTCCCGATCCCAGTGCCTCTGCCCATGTTTTCCTTCACCGGAAACAAGAAGAGCATTGCTGGTGGCGGGGCAAGCACCTTCTACGGTCGACCCGGCATCAACTTTTACACCCAGCTCAAGACTGTGACCGCGCTGTGGCAGAGCGCAGATGCGGTGGCCAAGAAGGCGAGCGTTCACATGCCGACGCTTCAGTGAGGGATGTAGTTTGAAAAATGAATTTTGAATGAGAAAAAATTGAATCGACGCTGTGTTCTGAACTGTATGTTGCTTGAATAATGCTATTGATGGTTCGGTGTTTTCGGTACATCAAAGTGAATGTCCATATGCTCATATACTCGATGTGGAATCGTACAGTGTCATGTATTCTAGCTACATTAGTAGCTTCATTAATTCTTAGGGTAAGCCTGCTTCAACCCTACAGCCTTTTTCCATGATGAACGCTGCTAATTCCAAGCATAATACTCGTTGTATCCAAAATATATTCCCTTGGATGTGTCTCCCATTCCCAGTCTGGCCATTGGGATGGCATCTGTTCTCTGCTTCTCGTACACGAAACGATCGCTAATCTTTGAAGAAAGCAGCTGCCCTGCAGCTGCTACATCGTGAGGCGGGCTCCAAATCGACACACGGGACAGACCCCAAGTCGCAGCCTCGTTTCTGGCATCTAAGAGAAGGCTAGCTATCACCTCCACGGGCACATCCCCCTCTTGCGGCCTAGATATTCTCTGTACGGCGAGTTGGTCGCCCGTGAAATCGTGAGCCCAGTACAGCCAGGTATCGGTCTCTTCGTGGATAGCGCCGTTGAAATCTGGAGCCTCGTTTCGGAGCTTGTATGATATGAACTCGCAACGGGCGTGCATCCATACGATCATGTCTGCTGCTGGTACTACGGTGACCAGGGTGGTGTCATTCGGTACAGTCTGCTGTTCAACAGCTTTAATGAACCGGTCCACGTCACGATTACAGAGCTCTGGGATGTCGGCTCCTCTTAATATCCGGGTTGCAGGCAGCCCAGCCTTCTCGTAGAAGGAAGTTGAGGGAAATGGTAGGATGGCCGCCTGCGGTGTTGGCTGGGCATGCCAGCCCTTACTGGCAAAGAATGAAGGGGAAGAAGTATAGAGGAAAGTGACCGCCCCTTGTCCCTGACCATCCATCCATGCAGAGACCTGTTCAAGGAGGAATCTCCCGAGACCCTTGTTGCGATACTGCTCATCGGTGACAACGGATGTCAGGCAGTAGCCCCCTTCCCTCCTGAAACCATGTTCATCGCCTATGAGCAAGTCCCTGGGCATCGCCTTGCACATGGCAAAGACTTGGGACGGGTCATCAATATTATAAACACACCAAGTCTTCATTCTGAAATCTTTGGTGAATTGGAGACTGGCGAGATACTCCTCCCGCTCTAGATAATCCTCGACCGAGGGCAGAGGCTCACGGAAGCCCGAGGCGCTGAGCTTGAAGGCCGGCAGCCATTGGTCTGCAGCTACCTGTCCGAAGACTGCTATGATTTCGCCTGACGGGCCGTCGAATTTGAAAAAGGTTGGCCTGGGCATGTTCGAGTAGCTAGGCTGAATTTGCGAGCTACGCAACAAGCTGGGAGCTTGAATGGATGGAGGAAGAGGGAGAAGGCCGTTGGCGGGCGAAGTGGGGAACCAATAAATGTACTTTGGGCCATAATGCAGGGCGGTGCTTTGTTCCTGACGTTTCTTTTTTGGCACAGCATTGGGGGCTGTTCATCGACGCATGTTCGCCAAGTAAATAGGTGGTAATTGGAGGTTTCATTAGGCACCGACGAGAGTATGGCAACGGGTTGGTTGATGATGGGTATCAGTAAAGCTTCTATGATGGTCACCCTGAAGGACCTTTCATTCGCCTTTTTCAGATTGTTATATTACGATACCACCCATGTGTTGTTTGTTAGAGAAAATCATTATACTTTGTACTTGCAGACACGAGATGCATACCGACGGCTTAAGATGAGAGGTCAAGGTGCAATTCTAATCAGCCCCTTATAGGGTAGGTAGGTTATTATGTCAATTTGAGGGGGCAGGCGCGTCGCGTTATCCGACCCTTTAATGAACTCCTGATTGCCACGGCAGATATAGAAAATTATGACAATTCACATCTCTTGTTGCAGCGCCAGTCATGAGCTTTCTTGACCTCCCGTACTCGCTCTTTTGGGAGATCATCGCTCACCTTCCAGCAGTTGATGCCCTGGTCTGCCGGCGCCTCTGTACCGGAGCTCGCAGGACGCTCACCAGCCCAGAGCTCTGCCTCTCCTTAATTCTGCTGCATTTTCCCCGGTCAAGGGAGGGCCGCCTGCTGCGCGATTGCATCCGAAATGGAGTCTACTCGGAGCTGAAACAGGGTCACAGTCTGGCTCCTTTATTTGCCCGTCTGACACGGCGTTACTACCATTTAGGCAATGCGACGCCCTGGCGAACCCGCGAGGTCCAGGTTCAGAAGGACGACAACCACCTGCATGCAGTGCATACGTGGGATAGGGTTCTGAGCAGAGACGGGGAGCTCGACCCCTTCCAGGCCCGCGAACCACTCTGGGCGTTTGGCACGGACGAGGCGTTGCTTGTGTATCCCTCACCCGATGGGCAAGGATTCCTTGCCCAGGACCTACATTCTCAGCTTGAGGCTCGCGTCCCTTTTGACGTCTCGGGCAAGGTCATACGTCGAGTGAGACTAGATTCGGGAATTCTCATCATCGAGTGGTGCGAGGAGCAGCCCTGCGAATTTCTCAATTCCAGGGTTGCTGTTTATCGACATTACGCCACAGCCTTTGATCTGACTCCAGTCAGTGTCAGCCATGATCTGACGAATGGACTTGGCGTGCCGGCCAAGACTCAATCTTTCCCCTGGGTTATCACCTGGAGATCTGAGTGGAAGATACACGACTTAGGAATTCTCCAGGACCGATTCTTCTCTGCCCATAATGCCACTCACTACGCGGTTTATATTTGGCAGTCAAGCGGTGGCCTATGGGGCGTCAATGATCCTCGGGAGCGATTGATGATCTATGAATTGGGAGAAGTTACGCCAGAATTTGATTCTACTGGCGAGAAAAAACCAGGACCGGAATGCCCGCGATTAGTCCAAAATTGGATGAACTCCGAACTGAGTGCATTAGGTGTCCGTCAACGAATATCGCCAAAACTAAGAGGGATTTACTTGGATGCTATCACATGGAACTCGCAGACACAGTCTGCATGCGGTCACATTTTCGTGCATGAGGAGGACCATCGCAATTTAGAAGGCCCCCATCGAGGTGTTTTGCGGGCTCGGCACCACCATGTGAAATCTACTGGCATCCCGCTTACGCTTATCGGCCCAAAATGGGTGGATGAATGTGGCTGTGAGGTGATTGGCGATAGTCTCTTGTCCCTGAGCAGAGGAGGAACGCTACTTCCGCACCAAGCTGAGAGAATCTTTGACCCGCCTTCGTGGCCAGGTCGGGCCCCTTGCTGGCGTCACAGGCTGTATCCTTGGCTCACTTTATCCGAAGTATTGGATGCGGACGCGGGAATACGCATTGCAGCTCGCCACAGCCTGTATAACCACAGAGAACCTGAGCTGCAGCCTGTACTGTTTGTTCAAGGGGTTGATGCTTTACATTTCAGGGACATTGAAACACCCGGCAGCTCTGCCTTGGACGAGAAAAATGGCGATGCGGAAGAGGCTAATCAGAAAGTAAATGATACCTTGGGAAAGAAGAGAGATGGTCGCGATGGGTACGAGGTCCAGTTCTCGCCTTATTACTGGGGTCGACTCATGACAAAGGGAACCATATATGGCGATGAAAGGTGGCTGATGGGTGAGGGTGAGAATGGAACCATCACCATCTTGCAATTTTGAGAATTGCTTAAATTATGATCCTTAAGTTGGCTATTCGCAGTACACTCTCTTTCTTGCAGTCTCTGCCTTATGGGAAAAGACCATTATGCCTCAGCCCATCTACAACTAGGGAACCAGCAACACGCTCTCACTTTCATCACTCTGAGCCTGCTTGTCATCCTGCGGCCCACTAACATCGCTGATTACCTGCCGCCCGTTCCAATTTGACATGATTCTAGCATCGGACCGCACGGTCCGACCGTACCATTCAGGCATTGCTCGCAGTGGTGATAACATGCCGACCGTTTGGGGAACGATGACGGAGCCCGAACGCCCGCTCATAACCTTCTTGACTACTGCTTCAGCGATCGACTCGGGTTGTTGCTCAGGCATGAGAAACGCCGTATCCTGGTTGTAGCCCTCGAAGAGCGGAGTCCTTGTATGGCCAGGATGAACCACCACGGTACGAACTTTTGGGGCGTTGTACTTGGACTTGAGTTCAGCAGAGAGACCTTCATGGAGAGCTAGTGAAGCAGCTTTGCTGCCGCAGTAGTCTGTCAAGTTGGGAATGGCGAGCCAGGAGGCGGTCGAAGTTACTGTGACGATCATGCCGTGATCCCGTGCGATCAAGTTGGGCAAGAAGGCCTTGGTGACCCAGAACGCAGCAAATGTATTCACATCGAACGTGAACCGAATATCACTCGGATCGCTGTCGAGAATTGTCTTACCACGAACGACACCGGCGTTGTTGATGATGACGGTTGGGTGGCCTACTTCTGTGCGGATCTTATCAGCCACAGCATTGACGCTCTCAGGTGATCTAAGATCACAGTTGTAATAACTAATTCTGTCAGCTGGTCATGGGTTAGTTGAGTTAGCTCAGATCAAAGGCTTCTTTGCCGACCAGTGGAATCTCGTCATTCACTCACAGGTTGTGAAGGTCATAGGCTGGATATCAAGTACGACCACCTTAACCCCTAGCTCGTCAAATAGACGGACCATGCAGCCGCCAATGCCCCCAGAGCCACCTGTGACAAGGACAATTTCCTTTTCCCAGTCATACTTATCCGATACCCAATTGTTGCTGACCATGTTGGAGAGCCAATTGTTCACAACGCGCGCGACGGCTACATAGAACAAAGTATATAGCCCATTGTGGGCTCTTCCATGTTGGATGGTGAGCGCTCTGCCTGTCTTGGTGAAGCGGCCCAGAAGGATGAGAGGGAGAAGGAAGCTCGGATTCAAGGCTGTGGAACGGATGAGGTTAAGAATAGCATCGGCGCAGAAACCCTCACGGGGCAAGAGTCCTTTGTGCATAGGCATATCCGTTGTTTGGCTCGGTGTGTTGAGCGGCAGACAGAGGGAACCGAGATGCTGGGACAAACCCAGGGCTCTTAGAGGGGAGATACATATTTCAAGGGGTCATATACGTCAAGCTCGACCTAGATGCGCGCCGAGGTCAAGCTCGAGGCCTCCTAGTCCAGACACACACGTATCGTAGCATCACTTGGCACCAGCAGGGAACAATGTGGGGTAGGTCATATGGCAAGCTGTTGTGAGCTCATCTCTTGTTTGGTGACGAGGGGAAAGGCCAATAAAAATAGTAACTAGGCTTGGATTTGTCCATCCAGTTTGAGTTTCATCAGGAAGCCTCGGCTCGATACCCCACCAGGTATAGGGAACAAGATCAATACCACGTCAAGCTTCTGGGGCTCGGCAAGGGATAATACGGTATTCTCTAGCCCATGGGGAGTGAATAAGCAAAGTGCCCATGTCAATTCCTCAGAATTTACATGGGTTTGGATATTTACATGGTCATTGCTTCTCCAGTCGTTTCCCCAACCCGAAATGCATACTGGATTGGGACAAGATTCAAAGTTTAGTTTGGCTGCCACACAGTCTTGCATTCAGGCCAATTGACCTCTATGATTGGCTCTTGGCGATCGGATTGGGAATCGCCTTGTGCATCTGTTTCTTTCTCCTCGCTCCTTTGAGCAGGTAGACGTCTGCGCTGGTGGCGGTGCTTGTCCTACCTCACGTCCGACTTCCTATTAATCCCTTTTCCCTTGCGGAACTGAATCCTGTCAGATCTCTTCGGGATCAAACCCATCTATCCGAGAAGAGCTTGTGCGATGAGCAGTCCCCACATCAGTTTTACACCCAAAGTCTGAGCCAGAGTCGTCCCAGCTGAGTCCTTGTTCGGCGCACTGTCATACTCGACGGTCGTGGCGTTGTCGGGGACAAACAAGGCACCGACCTGGTTCGAGTCCTCCCAATTGATTTCGTCTGGCTGCAGGATGTTATTGGCGAGCGCGTCGCAGGATGTGCGGTTCTCGTTGGCCTCGATGCTGTTCGTGACCGATATCGGCAGGTCGAAGATGGTATAATGATCCGTATCGTTCAGGCGGAAGTTTTGGTGGATTGAGACCTGTTTTTCGGTTCGCGCAACTTAGCCAACATATCCTGCGACCTCATAATGGATCAAGTGCCTGGGGAATTGGGTGCTTACGTTGTATGTACCGCGGTCGCTGTCTTTTCCGGAAGGCTGACCGTTTCCTACCAGGCAGTCTGGCCAGATCCAATTGATGTGCTTGACGGTGCTGGAGGTCTCCTGCTCCATGATATTACCTAGGCTCGACAGGTTCGCATCCTCGACGGCCGTGGCATTGGAGACGGTGAGGTTCCTGCCCGTGTCATAGCTGTATAGGAAGATGGTGATGTTGTATATCTGGCTCGCGCTGTCTTCCTTTAGTGGGGGGAGCGGTAGAGCGCCGTTGGCCGTCACGTCTAAAGATAGGTGGAGTGTTTCTGATTGCCAGAGTCGGCGAATTAACATTGAACTTTGTCTCCTATGATTCATGTCAATGGTATTCTCACTTACCACCTCCCAGAGGAGTGTTGGGCTGCGGCGCGTTGACGACAACGAATCCGGGGGTGAAGATCTGGCCGTTGTGGGTGACGATATCGCCTAGAGCGACGCTTGCCGCAGCAAGCAGGATGAGTGGAAACCGATTCATGGCCCTCTACTACCTATGTAGCTATAGGCTCTCCATTAGGTACTATTGGGACAAGCAAAGCACGACGAATGGAGCTTGATATATTAACATACGAAGAATCAGAGGACTCGGCGGAAGAAGCGGGCCGAAATGCGAACATAATCATTTTAAAAAACGTCATGGGTTTTGCTCATTTCTATTACACAGGGGTTACCAGTGAAATAGATGATGTTACAGCCAAGACCGCAGAATCCTGATTTGATTTATTACATCCGCCTTATTGGGCTAAGCGAAAGTGTCAGCGGGACATTGACCTGGATCGGAATTGACGACATTTCAGACGGGCAACAGTTGTTACAACGAATTATATATGTTGATTAACGTTGCTTGAAGTAAGAACTCGGCATTGAACGCTCTTCTTGGGCTATATAAGTGTTGAAGCCCATTTCCAGGTTTGGGAGTCTTCAGGGTTGGAATCCTTATTAAAGTTCCTAGGATTAGTAGGCAGGCAGATTTAGGTAGCTGTTATCGGATAAGCTCTGCCTGTCGACTATCTTCCAACAGGCTTTAAAGATACAACGAGACCTTCACTCAATTATCTTCGTGCTTTAGAGGAAATGGGTGAATTAAAGGCCAGCACTAAGAAACATACCGGTCGCTTAGCTACGGCTTCTTATCAGTGGGTTCTCGCCGGGTGGGCACCTCGATACAGCGGGTCTATAGTGGGCGTAGGGGCGTGCAATCTGAGTGATAGCACAATCTTGAACTTATCCATGGAAAACTATCACCGAGATACGACTTATCTGAGTTATCTCGACTCACCGGTCAAAGGAACTGCTCTCTCGCCTCCGACCCCGGTTTATCTAAAAGCAGCTCCCGCTTATTACAGGCCAATTCGGTCTGAGTTTCATGCTGGTTGGCTGGCCCGCGTGTGCCATCTTCTCACAATGAGCTGCTGCTCCCGCCGATTATCGATGCCTCTTGGCCGGCGTCTGGCACGCGCCGCCCAGTTGAACTACCGCGGCTTCTCAACTGTATATAGAAATGGACCATCGGCCAACACTCTTCGCGGGGGTTTCGCCCAATCGCGCTATGTGAGCGCCTCCGCCACCTCAGCCCTGGGCGAGATTCTCAAGGTGTCTGAGGAGGTCTTAGACGCCGTTGCCACCGACAAGCCTGTCGTTGCGCTCGAGTCTACCATTTACACCCATGGGGCTATGGGCAAGGACCTGGCTCAGGAGCATGAGACGCTTGTACGAAGCCATGGCGGTGTGCCGGCTATTATTGGTATTGTCGATGGTGTTCCCAGAGTTGGAGTCACGCCCGAGGAGATCGTCCGTATGATTGAAGATAAGAATGTGTCCAAGGTTTCACGAAGGGATATCTCCTACCTCGTGGGCATGGTGAGTGCTGCTCTCTTGTTATTTTGGGAAGGCGAGTTATCTGACACTCCATTTTTGGTAGGGTCTGGCTGGACATAAGATGAACGGTGGCACAACCATATCTGGCACCATGGTGCTGGCTAGGCTGGCGGGAATCCGCGTCTTTGGTACCGGTGGCCTGGGTGGTGTTCACCGCGGAGGAGAGAACTCAATGGACATCTCTGCAGACCTGACCGAGCTTGGCCGCACCCGTGTTGCCGTCGTCAGCAGTGGCTCTAAGGGATTCCTGGATATCCCTCGCACCCTCGAGTTTCTCGAAACACAAGGATGCCTCATCTCTACCTTTGCGGATGGCAGAACAGGAAATGTTGATTTCCCTGCCTTCTGGGCTCGAGACAGCGGCTGCAAGAGCCCCTCCGTTGTCAACACGGAGAGGGAGGCCGCGTCCATCATCTATAGCCAGGAGAAGCTGGGTATCGAGACGGGGATGCTCTTTGCGAACCCCATCCCCGAGGAGTTCGCCATCCCCTCGGAGGAGATGCAAGCCTTCATCGAGCAGGCTGTGACCGAGAGTGTCGAAAAGGGCTTCACCGGCAGCAAGAACACGCCATATGTCCTTGGCCGGCTGAAGGAGCTTACTGGCGACCGAGCCGTTGTTGCGAACATGGCCCTCGTAAAGTCCAACATTGTCCGGGCGACGAACATCTCTAAGGAACTGTCAGCCCTGCTGCAGTCATCCAAGTCGCAGACATCTACTACCCCGTAAGTACATAGAAAGCCAATCAAGAACAAAATTCCAAAAGAAAAGAATAGAAATTTGAAAGAGACGCATAAAAACGAAACAAACGTATTTGGGACAGTGCCTCTGATGCTGGGTAGACACACATATAGTTCCACGCCGCCCGAACCGAGCAAGAAGGAAGATGATATCTCCGTGGATAAGAAGACCGACATCCTTGTTGCCGGATCCGTAGCCGTTGACCTGAGCTGCGACTATGCTGGGGCCAAGTCCGGCGATGTGTCACCCCAGACAGCCACTTCAAATCCAGCTGCCATCAGCCAGTCGATCGGCGGAGTCGGCCACAATGTTGCCCTTGCTGCGCACCGGGCAAGTAGGAATGCAACAGTGAAACTCTGTAGCTTAGTAGGCGAAGATGTGTAGGTTCCTCTTATCTCTTTGATCATGAAGCTCTGTGTTGACAACTACTGTTATAGAGCTGGCGCAACGGTCTTGTCCACCCTCAAGGCATCCGGCATGGACACAACATATGTGAGGCAGCTGGGCCAAGAATTTCATCCTGCCAATCGAACGGCGCAGTATGTCGCTGTGAATGATGCGAACAGGAATCTGGTAATGGCCATGGCTGACATGGGCATCTTTTCTGAGCACTCGTTCCCTGATTATTGGGAGGAGACGCTCAAGGCGACGAAGCCAAGCTGGCTTGTTGTGGATGGTAACTGGAGTGAGAAGGATATCAGGACTTGGATCAAAGCTGGCAAGAGCCAATCTTGTAAGGTTGCGTTTGAACCTGTTTCCGTGGAAAAGTCGAAGCGTTTATTTTCGCCCTTTCGAGGAATCTCTCCGCTTGGGTTATATCCCAACGCGAGTGTCGACTTGGCTTCCCCCAACATTTATGAATTGTCGGCCATGTATGAAGCTGCCAAAGGCAATGAGTATCTGGGATCACATGAATGGTTCGAGATCATCGATGCGTTTGGAATGCGCGGGGCCAGGGAGCGTTTTGTCTATTTAACATCGCCAGAATTGACAGACGCTGGAATCCCCGTGCAGAGCGTGCAGCTGCTCCCCTACATTCCTACGTTACTTACAAAACTTGGGTCGGAAGGCGTATTGCTCACCACTCTTCTGGGTAAGGATGACCCCCGACTTTTTGACCGAGAGTCGCAGCAGTTCATCCTCACACGATCCAATACTGGCGACCCTAATGTGGGAGGTATCTACATGCGTCTCTTCCCACGAGTAGAGGACGTGAAAGATGTCGTCTCGGTGAATGGAGTTGGAGACACATTTTTGGGTGTGCTAATCTCGGGCCTTGCGCAGGGCGGCAGTCCAGAGAAGCTGATTGACGTTGCGCAAAAGGGAGCAGTTATGTCACTGAGATGCTCGGACTCGGTGAGCCCTAAGCTGCCAGCGCTTGAAGATGAAATCAAGAGACTAGCAAAATAGAGCATTACATAAAATCTACTAGGTGTATAACAAAAAAAAAATTATATTATACTTTCCAGGTGTACTATTCCGTTAATGGGAGAAGACTGCCCGACTATGAGGGCCTCGATGATAAATGATGGGATACTGCAGCCTTGTCTATCTCTCCCTTTGATTGAACGAGCTCGAGCCCCACAGCGGGGCTTTTTGCGCAAGGCTGAGCTGTGCTCCAGAAAAAAAAAAGTAGGAGCGGAAGCTAGAAAAAAAACTACCCATGCGCTGAAGGCCTGTCTCAATTAGTTCAACAACCGGTTCACCTCGACATCCCACCCTTAAATTCCACGTCGCACAGTCGGACAGGATTCCTAGAAGATGGCACCACCTAAGGACGAAGACATGGCCGATGTCTCAACTTCAGAGAGCGACTTCTCTGGATTAGATTCGGACAGCGAATCCACCCGGCCAACGAAATCCAACAATGGCATGTTCGATAAGGACTCTGACGAGGAGGAGCTGGAGCGCCTGGTGCTGGGAAATGCATCTGGCTTCAGAGAGAATCTCTTCAAGGGTGAAGACCTCTCCGACAACGAGTACCTCGATACCAATGGCGAATCGAAGGCTGCAGACTCCGGCGATAAAGGTGGTTTCGAAGACATGGATGATGCAGACCTCTTCATGATTGATACTGGGCGCCCAGACTCCGCAATCCAGGCACCTCAGCCGGCCAAGACGGCAGAGAAGACCCTCACAGGAGATGCGCCCGCTTGGGAAGATAGCGACGACGACAGGCTGGGCATCTCGCTTGCCAGCGCTACGAGACTACGAAAATTGCGAATCTCAGAAGCCGAGGACATTGTCAGTGGCACCGAGTATTCCAGACGTCTTAGGCAGCAATTCCTCCGACTGAACCCTTATCCCTCATGGGCCAAAGCAGCCTCTGAGCGTCCCAGCAAGCGAAGAAGACGGTCCTCTGCCGCTGCCTCGGATGCGTCAAGCGAAGAGTCCGGCAGTGACGACGACGTGGAAGCGCAGCCACTCGAGAAGTTCCTTCGCGATGTCAACCAGCTGGCCGGGCGCGGCGCTTCCCAAGGCAAGCGGAAACTGCGACCCGAGGTCATTGACATCCAGCGAACCCGTGAGATCCCCGACAAGCACAAGGCCGGTGTGGAGTCGCTGTCGTTCCACCCTGAGTATCCCGTCCTCCTGTCTGCTAGCACGGCCTCGGTCCTATTTCTGCATCACATTGCGCCCGAGGCGCACCCAACGCCCAACCCTCTGTTGACGTCGGTCCAGGCCAAGCAGGTAGATGTGAGAAGGGCCGAGTTCCTGTACCCGAAGGGAGATAAGGTGTTCTTTTCCGGGCGGCGAAAGTACTTTCATCATTGGGACCTGCCATCCGGGCTGGTGCAGAAGACCACGAATATCCAGGGCCATCGCCTGGAGCACAAGTCCATGGAGAGATTCAAGCTCAGCCCCTGCGGACGTTACATGGCTATCGTGGCCTCTACGAAGAAGGGTGGTGGCATCATCAATGTACTGAGCACGGGATCGATGCAGTGGATTGCGGCGGCAAGGCTTGCGAGCCAGAACGGCATCGCGGACTTTGCTTGGTGGAGCACAGGGGACGGCATGACAATCCTGGGCAAGGATGGGCAGGTAGGAGAGTATAGCATGGAGAGCCGAAAGTTTATCGGGATCTGGAACGACGAGGGATGCGTGGGAGGCATCGTGATTGCGCTCGGAGGGCACAACGGACCGGCAGGGCTGGGCGGTGACCGTTGGGTTGCGGTGGGCTCCAACAGCGGCATCACCAACATCTACGACCGCCTCGAGCTCGCGCAGCAGAAGAAGGGCGAGGTGACTGTAACGGAGCGGCCGGCGCCCAAGCGGGTCCTGGAGCAGCTCGTCACACCCATCACGGTGCTCACCTTCTCGCCCGACGGGCAGCTGCTGGCGTTTGGGTCGCAGCACAAGAAGGATGCGGTAAGGCTGGTCCACCTGCCGAGCTGCACCGTGTACAGGAATTGGCCGACGGAGACGACGCCGCTCGGCCGGGTCACGGCGATCGCGTTTGGCAGGGGTAGTGATCTTTTGGCGGTGGGCAACGACGGGGGTAGGATCAGGCTCTGGCACATCAGGAGTTGAAATGGGATTCATGTGAGCAGTCTTTTTTGTAGATCACGGGATAAGGATAATGTCAATTTCCATCTTTTTGGGCGTCTAAGAATAGGCGAGCGTGACGACGATGATGTTTCTTCTGTCCTTCTCTAGGGCTTCCGTTTTGACGTGGACAGCGCTGGCATGCGTTATCTCAATTGCTGCCAAGCATCCGCTGGCCCAACCCCCACTGGAGAACACGATCCCAGTGGCCGGCGTTGTTCGCGCGATCCAGGTTTAACAATCCCAACGACGAACAACCCAGTCCTTTTTCCTCCTATCTTGCTGCGTGTACGGGGCCTCTAACCTGGCACATACGTGGCCGGTCGCTGGTGGCTGGTCACCGACCGCATTTTCCGCAGTGCTCTCTCCCCTTGGGCCCTGCACAGATGGACCGTTTCCTGACAGCCGCCAACAGCTGGCTGTCTCGGGTGGCACGTTCCAGTGTCCTGCCCAGCAGCCCAACTGCCCGCAGCTGTCCATGCCATTCAACAGCACGTTTGCTGGACCCTAATGCTGGTTGCTATGGGACCAGTTGTTGTTTTGGATGAAGGGGGCGCTTCTGCTGTTCGTTCCCGTTGACAGCCAAGGGTCCCCTCCCCCTCTCCGTCACCACCACGCACTTCCCCATACTCGACTTTCTCTGCATGCACATGCAGAAATTTATTTTGATCACAACTCCCGTGTTCAAATATTCACATCCTCGCACAACTTTTCCCTGTGACATCCCAACCTCCTTTTCTTTTGTCTTGTTGAAAAAACAGCATCCTCCTTCCCACCTCGCAACTCCCACGCGAGGATGTCTCCAACCATGTTGGGACGCAAGATACGTCCAAAGACAAAACGGGCCAAAGAAGGCCTCCGGCAGCTTTGGAAGAAACTACCAACCAGCGTTACCAAGAGTGAAGACAAGGCTGCCACCACATCAGTCGCCGGGCCCGAAGAGAACACTGAGAATGAAGTCCCTGCAGTATCAGTAGTGCCTGAAACTGTCATCCCCCAGAAACCAGCCGGACTTCGCATCACAGTAACAGCTCGGTTCGAGCTCCCCGTGGACTTCACTAATAGCCACACCTACCAGACCTCGCCCAAGTTCGAGGGATCGGACAAGATCTTCAACGCGCTGGTCAACCGAATCCAGCATTGTGCCAACGAGCTCATCACAAGACATGACCCGGACGCGGCCCAACCTCTCTTGAGCTCGCCCCCTCACATCAAGGATGCCCGCTACCATCTCATCTTCCAGGTCGAGCGTGATGGCCAGCCCTGGGGCCAGCAGTACTTCGCCTGCTTCCAGAAGCAGCCCATGGACGCCGCAGCAGCGCGCAAGGTCATCTACGGAACCGACAGGATAGTTTCTCTGTTTCTCCAACGCCACGACCCTGGTTTCCACTGGGAGCTTCCTCCTGTTGTAAGCGAGGAGCAGACACCTCACAAGACATACAAGCCCGTCATCGGATGTGCCCAGCCACTGGACTGCATTCCCAATTATAGCGGAATGCCTGGATACACCATAGAACTCTCCCTCAAGACCCAGCACCGCGGCCACGCACGGAACTGGGCGAAGAGCATCGAGAGTCGGCAGAACTCGCCGCTCACTCTGCACTCCGGAGAAAGCTTAATGGCCAGAGTCCAGGACACGATCCAGCGCGCCTTTGAAGGCCGGGAGACGGCGTACGACGAGGCCCATTTCGGCTGCAATGGCCTGGAGGGGACCGGCGGCTGCCAGCATTATGAGGAAGACGCCTTTGGTCTCGACGTCAAGCTTCGAAACAACATTGGACCTGAATTCTCCCACTTCCACTTCAAGATTCAGACGTTCCAACTTCTCTTCACCCAAGATCAGACCGCCGATTTCGACGAGTTTGTCGAGCTCATCGAAGGCAATGTGGAGGATCTCCGAGACGAAGCTGACGCCGGCATCGGGAGCCTGGATGACCTGCGGGTGCAGATTCAATATCTATCATGCAAAGACTGGTCCATGGAGAGAGCCCTGGCAGTGTCTCTTGATTGTTCCATCACAGAGTGCCGGACGACAATCGAAGCAGTCCTGGAGCGAGTTCAAGCTGGCTTGAAGAAGACACTCCAGAGCCAAGGCTTCTCGGCTGCTGTCACTGCGCATAAGCGAGGGCATCTCGTCCTGGATACTTTTATCCCAGGCATCGAACCAGAAACGACTGCTGCTCAGAGCGAAACACCTACCGTTCAGAGCACCAACCAACCCCAGACAGAAGCAGAGGACCGATTGGCAATTCTCAAGCTGCTTCGGGAACGCATCGGTCAAGACATCACCGCCGTATGCAAAGACACCTGCAGCCTCGGCGAAGTAGGGTTCATGATAAACCTGAAGATAACGCCCGCCTGCGACGAGGACAACCTGTCCAAGTACTCCACGACGCCCCCCGTATCGATCTGCCTTTCACAACGTAAGATTGTGAAGAGGGCCGCGCAGGAAAACCTCCGCCTCGACTCCCCCGAAGGCTCCGCCGCTCCCAAGAATGAAGAAGAAGAGCAGCTCGACGAAACGCAAGACTACGACTGCACGGCCTCGTCCAAGGGCGGCGCCTCACTTACTTCGGCGCCGAGCCTGGCAGACATTGATAGCGCCCAGCAGACTGATGGTATCGTCACCCCGTCGTCCGCCCGCAAGCCTTCTCCTGCAGATCAATGGGAAACGATCACAGGCGCGCGAGGAAGGACCTTGTCAAAGTCCACGCGAGGATCAAACATGTCTGGCTCTTACACTGAGGAACCTTCTGTCATCCACCATCCGGCACACTTCGGCGATGCAACCCTCCGACTGATCGAGAACCTGGACGAGGAAGACACAGAGATCCCTTCGACAGTAGAGATCACCTCGACTGAAAACATCCCCTCGATCGTAGAGATCCCTTCGACTGAAGGGGTCCCCTCGACTAAAGAAGTCACCTCGACTGAACAAGTCCCTTCGGCTGAAGAAGTCCCCTCGACTAAAGAGATCCGCCCGACTGAAGAAATCCCCTCAACTGAAGGAGTCCCTTCGACTGAAGAGATCCCCTCGATAGTCGAGATCCTCTCAACTAAAGATATTCCTTCAACTGAAGAAGTCCACTCAACTGAAGAAGTCCACTCAACTGAAGAAGTCCACTCAACTGAAGAAGCCCCCTCGACAGCAGAGATTCCCTCAACAGTGGAGATCCCCTCAACAGTAGAGATCACCTCGACTGAAGATATCCCCTCAACGGATGAAATCGCACAGGAAGCTAGCTCCATATCAGACGATATCCCCACAACAGTCAAGATCCCCTCGACAGCTGAGATCCCCGCAACAGTCCATATCCCCTCGACAGACGCAATCCCACGGGAAGCTAGCTCGACATCAGACGATTCCGCCACCAAAGCCCTCACTCCCGAAGAACAGAAGCTCGAGATCGTACTGCAAAAGGATGTATACGAATGCCCCAACTCGCCAGAGGAAATTCCACGAGAAGCTAGCTCTACATCAGACGATATCGTCACCAAAACTCTCATTCCCGAAAAACAGAAGCTCCAGGTCGTATCGCAAGAGGATATATACGAACGTCCCAACTCGCCAGAGGAAACACCAGAGGAAACAGCGGTGCAAGAAAGTGCCGAAAAGCAGCAGCCCGATCTACCCGTGTGTGAGCCACAGGAAAGCCAAACGGAAATATCAGACGATTCCGCCACCAAAACCCTCATTCTCGAAGAACAGAAGCTCGATGGTGTTACCCTCCGACTCATCGAGAATCTAGACGAAGAGGAAATAGATATCCCCTTGACAGTAGATATCCCCTTGAGAGACGAAATCCCACGGGAAGCTAGCTCTATATCAGGCGATTCCGCCACCAAGACCCTCATTGCTGAAGAGCAGAACCTCGAGAACGTGTCGCAAGAGGATATATACGAGCGTCCCCAGTCTCCAGAGGAAACACCGGTGCAAGAGAGTGCCAAGAAGCAGCCCGATACACCCGTGCCTGAGACATTGCCTGAGACACAAGAAGTCCAAACGGCAGTATCAGACGATTCCGCCACCAAAACCCTCATTCCCGAAGCACCGAAGCTCGAGGTCGTGCAGCACGAGGATAGATACGAACGTCCCAAGTCGCCAGAGGAAACAGCGGTGCAAGAGAGTGTCGAGAAGCAGCAGCCCGATCTACGCGTTGTTGAGACACAAGAAGTTCCAACGGCAGTATCAATTACTCCCGACTGCAGCAGCGTCAGCTCAGATGGCCCTTATACTACGGATGCACCCAAAGTAACTGCAACAACAACAATAACCCCCGTTGTCCCGAGAAAGTCAGGCAGACGACACGGTGACTCCGGCACCAACCGAGAGTCATTCCGCCTCTCGCAGAATTTCGGCCAGCTCCGCATCTTCAGCTTGTCAGGTACCCTGGGCGGGCTCCCCCCAGCGTGCACTAAGATTCACGCGGAGGGACACATCCCCCGCAGCGAGGTATCCTCGACCACCGCCCCGAGCATCTCAGAATGAATACAAGACAGGCCTTTAAGCCATCCCGATACTACGATTTCTCAAAGGGTGTCGTTGGAGGCAAATGAGCAACTAGTTGCAACGACCAACCCGAATGGGGACGATTACATCACGAGAATGATTCGTTATTTTGCGAGCATTTGAAATTTCATTAGACTTTGTTTTTCCTTTTCTTTGGTAAGACCGCACCCAGTCCTCATGGCGCGTTCTGGGAACGACGCAACGAATACGGTCCAGAAGAATGACGATTATGACCCGATGAGCATGGCGGTATGATTCTATTTGGACGATTTAAGGTCAAGCACGGAGATCCGACACGAAATTGTTATATACTGAGCAGCAGGCTCAACACGCATCAGATTGTTTGTTTGTTTATTATAAAGGGGACGAAGGAACGAGTTGCATTGTTTGAGATTGCTACATGAGCTATACTGAATTCCGGAAGGGAAGATTGATTTTTCCTCCTTGCATTGCATAAAGGGAGTTTACCTTCGTTGAAAGATTTTGGAGTTGGGGTAGCATTTTTGCTTTTTACCATCGTTTGGAACTGGTTTGACCCCCAAGACAGGGACTGTTGTTTCTAGATTGCTTGCATTTTCTGAGTAGATTGTCTGGACATGATGAGAATGTGATTTGTTTGCATCGATGCAACCCGTGTTCCTTGATCGTGTGATTTTCAATGAGAAGAGGTCAGCCCAATTTATGAGGGCGTATATAGGTTTAAAGAGCTGCTTGGAGCGAGGCTTGCCGTAATTCCAGTAGAAAATGGTGGCCTATTCATAGCTTGGTGCAAGAAGGCAGCTCCGTAAAAGACTTGCATTGGCACGACTGGAGCGTCTGGCTAGTCATGCGAGGGCCTGAGGATAACATCGACTAAGTGTAGTAGTGTATTCAGCAAGCCTTGAACGTTTACCATATCCCAGGGTCATTTCATGAGACCCCGCGGCGGCTTTGAATGTCCCATGTCACTTTACAGAGTGAACTAGAGCAAGCTTGACGCTGCATAACAAGTGGCCGACACAAGACGTAGCGCCACGACGCAATAGCTCTCTGGGGTCTTGGAATAAGATAGCAAAGCAGCGGTTAAACAAGCTCGGCATCACCGTCCTCGACGATGGATTTGGCACTTGACCACCGAAGAATCAAAACCTCGCCATTGCTTGCGTTCAACGTGATATCCGCATCTGTGCCTTGGCCAGTCACCGGCCGGTCACGAAGCATGCGTATGAACACAGCAGCATCCAGATCGGGGGAGTCAATCATGCTGACATTTCCCGCGGTGTCGTTTAGGTTCTGCAGCTGCGTGGGGAAGGAGGACAGAAAAGAGGAAAGATAGTGGTTGTGGAGGAGGGCCTGGTGCCTTGTTGCGTAGGCGAGCTCGGTCTCCGACAGCCTATTTCTGAGCTCCTCGCTGGATAGATAGTGAAGTGTGTGCTTGTCGATCTGGTTTTCCTATTAGTGCCTGCCATGTGTGATATTGGCGCGGTTCTGGTGTAGAAGGCGGGCCTATAGTTTTCTTACCTTGGCTATCCTGGCCCTTAGATAGCTCCTCACGAGAAATTTGTATCTCTCAAGTTCTGTTTGGATGACGATCAAAGCGAAGTTGGTCTTGGGGTCCATGTCGCCCGTCAAGATCTCAATCTTCTCGATCTGCGCCTTGATCCTGTCATTGATGCGTTCAAACAAACCGCCAGAGGGCCACCTGCGGAAATGCTGGTCAGCAGCTGTAGTTGGAAGAAGATACGGCATATATAGAGATGGCATACTCCAGGAGCTCGGGAGCAGAGCGTTCGGCAACCCAGAGACGCGTCAGGGATTGCAGGTCGCTCGTCTCGTTGGGCACCCCGCTAGAAGTGGGATCGACTTCTCTCAGGATATCGTCAATATCCATGGTGGGATGTGCGTGTTTTTTTCGGCTTTGCGTGTTCTTATACTAGATTGACGCAATTGAAAAGACGCGATCTGATTTGATTGCCGGGATTACGTGGAAGTTTGGTTCGCAGTTGGGTTGGTTTGAATGAATTCGCGATTGGCGTAACAATCCGAAGTGTCCCAAAGAATGAGGGTTCAGTACACAGTGCATGCAAGCCACTGACTACAGTAATGACACTGTACCACCATTGTCAAAAGAGACCGAATCGTTCGATAGATGCATCTTTATGAGGCTTAAGTAATATAAAAGAGCTATATTCTTGATCTAATTCATGATCTACTGTAGTAATATTTTGAGAGATATATATATTTGGTGATGGACTTGGCTATCCTGAGTGAGTGGCCCGTCTCTTATGAGAGAGGTCACTAATCAGGCAATATGTAAGGTAGCTAGGTAGTAGTGGAAGAATCAGAGGAGATGACAGACGTGAAGGGTAATATAAACAAAACCCCAGAGACGTAATATTATAGACTCTTTCATATTTTCCTGCAGTGGAAGATATCTATCACATGGTTCATCTTGTGAGCAAAGGATATTGGTAAGCGTAGTAATTGAAGTATATTTGAAATGGTGGAATGAACCCTACAAAATCTATCAACTGAGTCAGCAAGAGGATGGAGTTGCGGCACTGGCAGGTCTATTTTAGGGAGCATAGAGTGACATCTCAGGCTGTTGCGCCCCTTTCGAAACGCCAACTGGTGCTGACGGCTTTAGCCCCCGGAAGCTTTTGTATCCGGGAGAATCTGCACTGCCGGCTGAGGCTTGGATAGCCTCAATGTTATAATAAGCGTCAATCTGTGGTCGGCCGCCAGTCTTGTAGTTTCAAGATGTCTAGCAGGATCACGGAATGATTGAGATCCGCGCCACACCCCGAGAAGATGACGGATTGCGCCCCAATGCATTGGGGTTGGATACAGTGAGTAGTTGTGGCGGACTACAATGATAGACCCTGTAGATTATCGCGATGGTACAAGAATGCTCTATATAAGATACAGGTGCCGTCCTGGAGATGTTCAATTTGTCTTCTCCTCATCCCATCCTAGAGTCAATTGTCTGAAATACTTCAATCGCCCAAAATGCATCACATCTTCGTAATTGCAAGCTTCGCAGCTTCTCTCTTTCTACCCGCCACTGCTGCGCCAGTCAACTCTCGAAATGTCACGGCACCCAGCGGTGGTGACATCTCCATCCTCAACTATGCCTTGACCTTGGAGTTCTTGGAGAGACGGTTTTACACTGAAGGCTTGCAGAACTTCACTGCGCAAGACTTCCAGAACGCTGGATTCTCTCCCGATTTCTATGAGCAGATGAAGACTGTTCTCAAGGATGAGCAGGTAAGACCATCCCTTCCTTGAGAAACCCACTTCATTTATTAGTTGACACCGCTTGCTAACACAATACTCTTAGACGCATGTTGACTTCCTGGCCGGAGCTCTAGGCCCCAAGGCCATCCAAGAACCCACATTTTCCTTCCCAGTCAAGGATGTTCACTCTTTCATCGGCCTCTCCTCTGTCCTCGAAGGTGTTGGAACTTCGGCGTATCTGGGAGCTGCCCCAGCCATTGCCGACAAGAGCATTCTCACATCGGCTGGATCCATCTTGGCTGTCGAGGCTCGGCATTCGTCCTATATTCGTGCGGCCCTAGGCCAGAAGCCGATTCCCAACCCTTTCGACACTCCTCTCGGCTTTAACCAAGTCTTTTCTTTAGCCGCGCAGTTCGTGACTGGCTTCGCACCCGGTACCAACCTGCCCTTCAAGGCGTTCCCCCCACTGACGGCGACGAACCCAACTGCATCCCCAACCTACCAAGCCGGTCAGGGGAATGTCGTCTTGACCAATGCATTTCAAAACGCCAAGAGTGCCGGATCCGTCACTGAGGATACCAAGGTATTCGCTGTTTTCTTCTCGGGCTTGCAGACGTACCATGTCCCAGCTATTCGCTCTGGTAATGATGTAAGTTTTCCGCATGTGCTCCTCACCCCTAAAACGATCGCTGATCAATACTTGAATAGTATACTGCCCCTATCCCCGGGGAGAACTTCTCCAAGGCAGGGCAGCCGGCTCCGGCGGGTCAGGTATATCTCGTACTCAGCACTGCAGACGGGAGCGAAAACAATACAGTCAGCGACGAGAACACCATCTCTGGCGTTGCCATTCTGGAGGTCGATAATTAAGCAGGAGGTTTCTTGGGTTAGTATTTGGGCATACGGCATAGACTGTTGGTTTTGTGTGCAATCGGTGTTTGATTTCTATTTGCATCTATATCATCTTTCAACTAATTTAGCTAAGTGATAGACGGTTTCTTTTACTAGACGGGGATCTCGCGTAGGCTTTACATCTATAGCATCTTAATTAACTTTCTTCAGAGGTTTATGAGCTTCATGTCGCGCTTTATCATAACCATTCACGCGCGCGTACACCCATTTCAGTCCAACGGACGAGCCGGTGGTCAGCAAGGCAGAGAATGTGAACAAGAATATGCGCTGATACGTGTTCAAGAGCCCAAAAAGAGGATAGGGGTACCTGCAAGCGATGTTAACCATGTTTACCCAAAAGAGCCTTCTGACGAGGGTGAGAAATCCGGCTTACCATCCGTTGTAGCTGAAGCACAGCTCAACCCAGTACCAATAAGAGAATGCCAAGGCGGTGCTGAGGGACATGACGCCGTACGTGGGTATCGTCCAGGGAGGGCTGAGCAAAATGAGGTCCAAACTGAGGAAGACGGCCGGGGCAAGGTGGAATCCGAGGTCAGGAAGGAGCGGCAATGCAAATTCGCCTTCGAAGAGGAGCTCGGGATTAATCATGTGGATTCCCCAGTAGAGGATGGAGATCAGGACCTCGAGCGGGGTGGCAACGATGCAGATGGTGTTCTTGACCCTGAACAAGGTCGGGTTGAGGGTCAAGTCTGCCAAGATGCCCAGGACGAAGGCCAGGAGCGAGGCCGACAGGCCGATGATGGTGAGGAACTGGAAATGCCAGCCGTAGGCCTCGTCGAACGGAGTTTTCCATAGTGTCAGGAAGCGGAAGTTGTAGCTGAAGGATGCCGCTCCTAAGAGGTGCAGGAGCAGCGAGAAGCTGCGCGAAGGCGACGTGAGTCGCTGGAGGGGATGCTGGGCCATTGGAGATAGATGGTATGCGGTGAGGGATCAGAACGCATGTGTCTGCTGGCTACCCGCAATCATGAGATACTGAGAAAAGGAGTGTTGACGGGTGGCGGGTGTATTTAAAAGTCCGAGATAAACTGTCCTGATGCTGGAGCTCAGTCGTGACCTCATCCAGCCGTAATTTCTTCGAATAAGTGGGACCTCGGTAGAATCATAATGGGGGCAATCGCGTCTTCCTTTCATATGCCGAACATTATTGCCATGGCTCATGTAAAGACAAGGATTTAACTTATGGAAGGTCATTGCGGCCTGCCGAGGCTGATCTTGTAAGATGTGCTAAACCCGCGCCAGTTCGGTGGTGCAGCGGGAGACCAGGATTCACTAACATCCCAACCCTCAATCTAGGTGTTGTTGCAATAGGTAGATAGGCAGATCAATTGATAAAATCTCTCTGATAGAGGTAGATTCACGGCTATTTCCGATAGTTCTAGTCGAGAATTGAGATCCTTCTTCATGCGCCTCTCATTGGGGACCCTGTAGCCAACCCACAGGATGAGACGTGCGACGGACTCTTCCCATCTTGCAAATTACTCAAAAATTATACAGGCATAATACCAATTCTCTGAGTTTTCCTCCGCAGGCCCATCAAATCCTTGCGCCGCTCCCCTAGTGTAGTCGACCGCTGACCAGCAATGGCAGAGTCCTGTCCCATTAGCGCATACTTATATGTGCCCCGACTCGCTTCCGGCGCAATGATTCTCGTGGCGATGATGCCATAGTTGTCAAAGAAAGACATTATTGCTGCTGAGGTTCGGTGCCCGGTGTTCGCATAAGTGAAGGTAGTCTGCGCCGTGTAGAGGGGTTCCATGAACTCGGCGGTGAACAGGGTTCCCATCTTTGGATCCAGCTGGATCTCGCTGACCACAGGAGCATCGAATGTTCCATTTGCACGACTAGGAAATACTATGACGTTGAGAATGAGATTGCTTGCATCAGACGTGTAACCGACGAGATCAGCACGGCCGTTTCCATTTACATCATGCATGAACCAGAGGAGGTAATCCTCCTCGTTAAAGGCCCTCCAGGTAATAGGGAACTTTTAGCTGCTTGGCTCTCCCTAGAAAACGATATCTTCGCCCGAACCGTCCCTTGTTGGAAGAAGCACGTCGATCTGAAGGGTCTTGACAGTAGGATGTCTTTTATCATAGTAGACTCGGACCAGTCGGTTGGATAGGGGATCTGACACCAGTGCCTGAGCAGGGCTGGAGTTGGTTTCAGAGATCGTTGTGAGCCGCATCTTCTGGTACTCGGACGTCCAGCTGCAAAAGTGCCATGTTCCAGCAGATGTCGACAATGGGCCACTCTGATAGCCGACAATAGTCGAAAAAGAATCCGTTTGCTCAATTTTGTGAGACAGCAAGAAGCTAAAGCATGTTAGCTGACGAAATGTATCGGGTGATGGGTTATTCTCACTTCAAGTTTGTTGTATTGAGTGTCAAGCTAAGTTGGGAGGGAGGGCTATTTAGCAAGGACCAGAATTCCAATTTCGAATCCGCCTTTGAGCCCTCAAAATACTTGACCATGATTCGCTTCGAGGAGTATTGAGAGAAAGACCCATAGATAACTTCCCCGGAGCTACGATCACTGTTTCCGTCATCAACTGCTTGGCTCCACAGAACCTGAGGGCGTAGCTGGCCATTCGAGGTTTCGAGAAAGCTGTATCCAACATGGAGTGCATTAGTCTTCCCACCGCCTGTGTGCTCCCTGGCGACAAGGGAGACCACGCCATCAGCAAGAGACTGGGCGTTTGTCCAGGGCCTCTTCTTTTCCGAAGCCTTTAAGCTTCCGACGCCTTGGGCAGCCATGTTCCAATTCTGACCAAACTTGCCAGCGTCGACTGGGCCGTATAGGTTTGAAACTAGGTCCGAGCCGCCCCTTTCTATCTGGCCGAGATGAAGAAAGCGCTGATCCGAGGCAAAGGACCTCGAATATACGTACATATTTTTGGACGAGCCCGAGTTGGTGATGGCCTTGAGGTATTTGGCCCATTCGTCATTAGTCGGGATGTCATCGATAACTTCCCTGGACTTGGCAATAGCACGGTTATCAATATTCTGCCGAAAGAGCATCCGGCTTGCATCCTCAGGATCCCTTTCAAAAAGCGGCACTGAGTTTGTGATGCCCAAAGTCTTCTCAGGCAGAGGGGGCCTTGAAATGAAAGTCTCCATTAGCGACGGCCGGTAATCAATGGCAAGTATCGAGGATGAAACTAGGCATACCTTCTTAAGGGCTTTGAACTCGGCGGTTGCTGGAATCTTACCAGATTGGAAAGTCTCCCAGACTTCATCAACGCCGGCTTGGCTGGCTGCAGCAACCATCTGCCGGTTCTTACCGGATCGGCATTGACCAAGTTGTTTGTCACCATAAGCCGCCCACGATTCGCCTTCCTGATTCGTGACCCATGGCCCATTGGTGCCGTCTTCATCTTGCTGGCCTTTGCCGCATTGGTCCCCGGGATAGAGATCCAAAGTGAATGTAGTACTATGCAATAGGCGGCGTAGCGTACGGATATGGCCTGCTGCGAACATGTCCGTAAGAAAATGCTGGGCAAATCCCTCGATGAAGTATGCTTCCGTGAGGTCGGATTCTTTCTTGCTCTTATAAGCTTCTTGGGCTTTCCTCAAAGCCAGGGTATGCACTGAGGAATATGCTTTTTTCGCGTCCTAAAGCGACGAGAGCCCTTAGGATGCTCATATTTTTTTGGACAAACAACTGAAATGGTTCTTACATCTCCTAAATGGTCTGGGTTGCACAAGGCAATCACCAAGTATCCCACGTTACAGAAGAAAAAAATCCTGATTGTATTTTTCCTCAACGCTCTTATAAGCCCGTCAAGAACTGTCAGTAGGTCTCTCCAGACGAGTGAGACCTATGAAAAATCACCTGTGCAATATCCCGTCCGTCCGCAGCGGCTTGCTTGACGTACTCCCCCTGCTCTTGAATAAGTGATTGGACACACTTCAAAATGCCTGGAGAGTCTGTTCGCAGAAGATTCACGTTTTCTGCGGCAATGCCTAGGCTTTTCTCCGGGTCTGAGTCCCAATCATCGCTGATCGAAGGAATGCAGCCGTCCAACTGCCACCGGGAGTAAAAGTCACCAGCGAGTGCGATGACGTCGCCAAAGGTCAATTTCCAGTCCTTGATTTCGTAATTGAAGTCTGAGCCTAGAACGCTTGATCTGGGATATTTTAGGAGAAACTTGGTCACCAATTGAGGCCTGTAAGAGTGTTAGAATGGGCTGTAAGTGGACGATGCTTCCTTCGATAACTCACATGTTCCGGAGACTCGAATTGAGGCTGGAGGTCGACAGCCTGACCCGATTGTTCCAAGTCTTCGCCCCGACATTTCAGTCTCCGTTAGTCGAGGGAATTCATTGGACTTACAGTTGTTCATTTTTTTTAATTGACTCTGAAGTGGATATCCTAGTCTGCAATATGCCAATATTGGCATACTTAGAGCGAAGATCCACCAAGTAGATTGCGGATACATTTGGATAGGTTTGTAAGTTTTCGCAAACTATTCGTAACAGAAAATCCCAAGTTGTGCCTAACTTCAATGGTAGTCTATTAGAGACATGCAGGCCGGAATCATATACTTAAGCTACATACCAACTACCGCACCATAAGATGATTTCGAGGATCTGCCCCTTTTCCAATCACACTTCTAGACATCGGAACGTCACAACGCAGCGGATGTTACAGAGACTGAAACCTCGTGCCTAGTCTATAAGTTTCCGTCAAAGTATAATCGGCCCCCGGAAGGCCCGCGGGCGAAATTTTGTGAGATAGGCTGTGCTATGTCTCTGACGGGGGTGATGTACAGTCAAGTGATGATCTGGTCTTGCCCTCGCACAGCTCGAGATTTCAGATTTTCATTACACATCTAGCTTTCCATAATCAGAGGACTCGATGTTACATTATATACCCAAATCGATTGTCGCCTCTATGGTTTGAGGCGTCAAGGGTAAGTAACTATCGTTGGCATCACGTGTGAAGAGCACTTTCAAGTCGGCATCTTGGTAGAACATCATAGATACTCGAAACTCTAACCTGCCACTATCTCGTAGTATGCCGGTTTTCACCAAAAAATAAATAAATAAATAAAAAAATAAAGAGAGCAGCTTTTCCCATTCCCATCCCTTATCGACTGCATTAAAAAATCAACCGTACAACTCAATCAATTTATTACACAACTCAAAGCACCTTGTTCAATTTCAAAAGAGTTCCGAAAACCAATCAAGCTCTGCATCCATCAAAATGCCTGAAATCAAATCGCCTTTTGTTACGAAGCAGGAACTACAAGAGAGGACTTCAAAGGTGTGATACCTCCATTTGATGGCCGATACTTGGACTAATTCTCTGAAAAGACACTTGCAATTCCAAACCCCGATCCAAGCAGTGCCACTAAGAACAAAAGCTACTGGATTCAGGGTATCGTGAAGAATTGCACGCAATTCGATATTCAAGTACGCCCGCCGGCCTATTTCTATACGGGAAGATATGAGACCTGGCCAACTGGGGTTGGTGCCTGGTCTGTTGGACAGTTCACCGGCGTGAACAGTGATGAGTCGATCGCAGGAGTCACTGGAGGCAATGCATGGGATCTTCACCTTGAACAAGGCATTGTCTTCAATCTGGCTTTTGTGAGTAGCCTCTTTGATTCCTATGCTGCATCATTGCTCACATGCAAACCCAGGGTTTTACATGTCCCGTTGTAGGACACTACAAATCGGGAGTGGTCGAATCCGCCACAGCTGACGATGGATATGACATTGCTTCAGAAGGGGTAACGAGATAGTTTCCAACAATCAGTTCTACGGGGCGGACACGGATGGCAACGAGATGACGATCATATTCGAAGTCCAGTGCAGTGGTGGACAGCGACCAGTCTACACCATCAACCGGGTACCTGGTTGACTAGTGGCTCGAATGCTGGTCGAGGAGCCAACAATTGTTTTAGAATTCGTCTTTATCGCAATTGCAGTCGCTGTAAGACGAGTCTTGTAAATGCGATAAACACTGAGAGAGCATTCTCGAGATTTTGATTTCTTTATAAGAATTTGCCTTTGCGTGGTAGTTTACTCAAGGGCATCGAAATGGCAAGATCCACCGCCTGTTGAAGTTAAGAAGAGAGAACAGGGGTCTCGCAGGGATCTGCATGCGCCACATGTCTGACAGCACGCGCCACACGAAATAACTTCCTAGGAAGTGCAGATCAAGTAGCTCTCTTCCCCCAAGCCTGTGAATCAACCAGTTCCCAACGGTCCAAGTCACTATTCCGTCAGCAAACTTGAGAAAGTGTAGAGCGGAAACACACAATGGCTCCCAGCCCTGAGGCCGCAGAGGACGATAAGCGCAGCCAGAAGCGCAGTCACTCCGAGGCCAATGGCGACAGCTCAGGTAAACAAATACACCACTTTCGCATGCGCTCTGATCTAGAGCGAATGATCGCGCTTGACATACATACTAACAATTGGCACAGATGACTCCTCGTCCGATGATGATATGGGGCCCCAGCTGCCCTCGGCCGCAGCACCGAAGAAAAAACGTCGAGTCCTCCGACACGAAAAGCTCTATGTCGCGGCGCTTCCGAAATCTGCCCGGTACTCGAGGTCTTTGATGCACAAGGACCAGGTTCTCTTTACCACCTGGACGCCAATTACCGAATTTCTCATCACTTCCTCCGTGGATGGCGTGGTCAAGTTTTGGAAGAAGGACGCAGAGGCTATCGAGTTTGTCAAGGAATTCAAGGCCCACGACGGTGAGATCAAGTCGGTGTCTGTGAGCCAGGACGGCAGCAGTTTCGCGACCGCAGGAGTCGACCAGACAGTCAAAATCTTCGACGTAATCACTTTTGATCTACTGTCCATACTCTCATTGTCATATGTGCCAAAGTGCGTATGCTGGGTTCATAAGAAGGGGGCTTCCCTACCTCGGCTGGCCATCTCGGAGGAGGAGAAACCCCTGATACACATTTACGATGGACGAGGAGAGAAGGAGGACCCTATACACACCATCAAAGGGCTCCACCGCAAGCCCGTTCATGTGATGGCTTACAATGAGCAGTACGATTGCGTGGTGTCGGCGGACGAGAACGGCATGGTTGAATATTGGCGACCGAGCGGAAACTACGAGAAACCAGACAACGTCTTCGAATACAAGAGCTCAACGAACCTGTTCGATTTCAAAAAGGCCAAGTCGGTGCCGTCTTGCCTCACTTTATCGGGCGATGGGAAGCAGCTTGCCACCTTCTCATTCCCAGATCGCAAGCTGCGAATTTTCGATTTCGGGACCGGAAAGCTTCATCGCACCTACGACGAGTCACTGCAAGCTCTCGAGGACATGCAGCAGGCAGGGAGTTCTTCGTCCAAGCTCGACCATGTCGAGTTTGGGAGAAGACTTGCGCAGGAGCGGGAGGTGGAATCAAGTCTCCTGACCAACAAGACTAACGTCATATTTGACGAGTCTGGGAACTTCATCATATATGGAACCATGGTCGGGATTAAGGTCCTCAACATCTTCACAAACCAGGTCGTCAAGGTTTATGGCAAAGACGAGAACCTGCGCGCTGTCAACCTCTCCATCTACCAGGGCCAGCCGCAGAAGAAGGGTGTGACGACCGTGGAGATGGGTGCTTCAAGTAACCCTCTTCTACAGGAATCCGAGACGCGCGACCCAGTGCTCATCGCCACCGCGGCTGGAAAGGTGCGATTTTATCTGTTCACAAACGACGAGGAGTTCTCCAAATCGACAAGAGATATCCAAAATGAACGACCAACGATGATCGGGGCAAAGAAGGAGACAAAGGTCAAAAAGACTGAGACAGGTACCGCAGCAGTGATCCATACAACATATGGAGATATACACATCCGCCTGTACCCAGACGCGGCTCCCAAGGCAGTCGAAAACTTCGTGACGCACTCGAAGCGCGGATATTACAATAACACGATATTCCACCGAGTAATTCGCAAATTCATGATCCAGTGTGGTGACCCCCTGGGTGATGGCACTGGAGGTGAAAGTATCTGGGGTCGGGAGTTTGAGGACGAGTTCAGCAGTTTGAAGCACGACAAGCCATATACGGTCAGCATGGCCAACGCAGGGCCCAACACCAATGCGAGTCAGTTCTTCATCACCACGGAGAAAACAGTAAGTCCTTACCCTCTCTCTTCCTCCCTAAAGGATAAATATACGAAGCTAACACGTAACAGCCGTGGCTGGACGGTAAACACACAGTCTTTGGTCGAGCTACACAGGGCTTTGACGTGGTGCACAAAATCGAGAATGCCAGGACGCACAAGGAGAAACCAGAGGAAGATATAAAGATTTTGAACATAGATGTATCATAATTGCCCCCTCGGGCCACACATATTTCAATGGGAAATGAAGCAAGCAAAGCGAATGAGACCAGTTAACCAAGACCCATTTACGTATCGATTCTTTTGGGTCCCAATGGAAGCATATGCAGGCAATCGCGCGTCGAGAAAAGAAGGCCCGTCTTGCTTGGCAATATTACGTAGTGGTCCCACCGCCTGCGATAACGGAGCTGCCAGGGTGTGCACCCTCGAACTCCAATACATCCCGCGGTCTCAGACCATTTAGAGGACAAGGTATGATGTTACAGAGCTTGGGGTCAAACTGGTATTCAAGCTGATGAGCTGGGGTCCAATTGGCTCATCATTCGTTTTTTATTGTTGAGGTTTTGCATTGGAGGGAGCATTTCACGGTACCTAACTGTAGAGGTACGCAAAGTGGGTGACAGGAGAAATGAGACACCTAATGGAAGGGCGGTTATTAATCGACTATTTTCTGCGATACATAACGAGATTCAGTAGTATAAAAATAAGATAAAGTGACAATATATACGGTATTATCTCTGAAGTGTGTATTATTGGGACTCAATAATCCGACAATACCCGTCGCAGAGTTGAGAATAAGCAGCTTAATGTTTGAGTGTCTCAATTTCAATGTCACCCACTTGGTACGGTACTGGGCAGTAAAAGAGTTGCCTCTTGGAGGTAGCAGGTGAAAAATGTGGCCAGCCAATGACGAGTAACATGTTGACCATCACTTCTCCTTCTACCCGCGCAGTGGACGGAGGGGGGCCTGATCTACTTGAGTAAGATGAAAAAGGATTCCCAAATAGTGACCGGTCTAATGGGTCCCAAGTAATAGCAGCATGCATGTACCCGTTACAAGATGGACGAATGGTTCGGAACTGGTGGTGAGTCAAGCAGGCTGCTAGGGGAAGGTAAGGTTTGTACCGTCCATCGGCGCCGAAGCTATGAGTCGCAGCTCACAGCGAAGACCTGGCCGTTTGGAGTAATTTTTTTCTCCAAAACTCCCAAAGGCGCAAAAAAAGTTGTCACCTTGATCTCTGCAACTCGAGTTTCTGGTTTGGGCTGATCTTGTTCTAGTACAAACCTCCCTTTCCACTTCCACTTGATTTTATTCCATTCTACTTGCCTGTTCTTCGCTGTGATACCCTTATTTTTACAATACATTCAATATGTCGGTATGGACACCACTGCCCCTCCCCCACCATCAGTCCGAAAATTGGATTCCCAATTCTCGAACATCGTGACATTGGACCATCTTCTTGTGACACAAGCGCTTACTCAATTGCGTGTAGTTCTTTCTTGACAACAAGCACGTTGGTGATCAGCAGGAGTCTGAGGATTGGAGAAGTGAGTGCCCATTGCCTGCCTGCACCCAACACCTCCTCCACAGCCATTGAGCCAGCAGCTAATAATGACTTTTTCAATTGCTTCCAGTCCGCGGCTACAACCCTCTGATCCCCCCTTACCTGCTTCAGGCCGAAATCCCCCAGACTCCCGAATCCAAGAAGACCGTCCAGCAGGGTCGCGATGAGGTCGTTGCCGTCGTCACAGACACCGACGAGAAGAAGAGGCTTCTCGTCATGGTTGGCCCATGCTCCATCCACGATCCAGAGGCTGCCCTCGCCTACTGCAAGCTCCTGCTCGAGGCCAAGGAGAAGCACAAGGACGAGCTCGTGATCGTCATGCGCGCCTACCTCGAGAAGCCCCGCACCACCGTCGGCTGGAAGGGTCTCGTCAACGACCCCGACATCGACGGCAGCTTCCAGATCAACAAGGGCCTCCGCCTGTCGAGACAGCTCTTTGTCGACCTCACCAGCAGAGGCATGCCCATCGCCAGCGAAATGCTCGACACCATCTCTCCCCAGTTCCTCGCCGACCTGCTCTCCCTCGGAGCCATTGGCGCCCGCACCACCGAGTCGCAGCTTCACCGTGAGCTCGCCAGCGGCCTGAGTTTCCCCGTCGGCTTCAAGAACGGCACGGACGGCTCCCTGAACGTCGCCATCGACGCCATTGGCGCCGTCGAGCACCCCCACCACTTCCTCTCAGTCACCAAGCCCGGCGTTGTCGCTATCGTCGGCACGGTAGGGAACAAGGACTGCTTCGTCGTCCTCCGTGGCGGTACCAAGGGCACCAACTACGACGCGAAGAGCATCGGCGAGGCCAAGGAGGCCCTTGCCAAGAAGAACGTGCGCCAGAGGCTCATGGTCGACTGCAGCCACGGCAACTCCCTCAAGGACCACAAGAACCAGCCCAAGGTCGCTGCTGTCCTGGCAGAGCAGATTTCCCAGGGCGAGACTGCCATCATGGGTGTTATGATTGAGAGCAATATCAACGAAGGTAAGCGCTCCTTGAGACTTCGATTGACCAATACCCCATGCTTCTTACCTTTGGTCGGTTTTTTCAAGACGCTAATATAGACGACGCTATAGGTAACCAAAAGGTTGGCCCTGAGGGTCGCGCGGGACTCAAGCACGGCGTAAGTATCACCGATGCTTGTATCAACTGGGAAGACACCGTATCAGTTCTCGACAATCTGGCCGAGGCCGTTAAGCAAAGACGCAAGGTCTTGGGTGGAAACTAATATGCTGGCGAACACGAGCCAGGCTGGTTCCAACTTCCATTCAAAGGGAAGAAAAAACGAAGTGCAGAGGACAGACGAATCAAAAGCATTTTATTGTTATTTTAGATAGAGGGAATGTCAAAATAGGGAGATCTGTGAAAAGTTTCTCTTTTCTTCAGTTGCAAGTCGCTGCAAGGGAAAATATAGCACTGTTGCTGGGCATAGCAACAGATAAATTGAGGCTTACCAAAACACAGTGCCAATATTCTTACAGGTCTGCAATAGGCCAACCTACCAAGTGGGTGACATTGAAAATGAGACACTAAAACACGACGAGGATTGAGTGTTGGCTAGGTCTTCTGTATGCACTTATAAGGGCCTTATTATAGATTGAATAACATAAATATAGAACTTCACATCATGTAATCACTGTAAATCATAGGGTTATATCTTGCTGATGAATGTGTTGACTACTATCAAAGTATCGTGACGAGGCTTTGATGCAGCCTGTTTTATGTCATTCTATAAGCTAGTCCATGCAGAGGACATGTCGCACTCCAGAAGCACAGTTGATGTGCACTGTGCTCAATGTGAGCCTCGCGCAACATTTCTTGCTCCCGTAAAGAGATTGACCCCGTCGACCCTATCAGCAAGGCCCGAGATCTGCCATCTTACAAAAACCTCGCCATCTTGATAGACGTGCGAGGTGCTTCCCCCATATTTTTTTTTTTCAGCGACCTCATCTATCACCCATTCCTCTGCCCATCTCAATCCACAGACAGCATCGCCAAACACGACGCGTCGAAATGGCCCGCAACTCGTCGCCCCCAGACTCGCCATTGTCATCAATGGGCTCATCCGAACCCTACGAGGAGGACGGCCACGAGGAGGAGGAGACCGCCCTCCGCCCATCGAAGCGCCAAAAGGTCGAGGTCGGATCGACAGCCTCCTCCGCGGTCGTCCCCGAGGCCGAGCCCGAGGTCGTCCCTGAGCCGGACCCCCTCGAGGGCATGTCGGACGTGTCGTCGGACACGTCCGGCGACATCCCCAGCTCCCCCGTCAACGCGCGCCTCGAGGAGGAGGACTTCCAGGACCAGGTCACCATCTGCGACTGGGACGGCTGCCCGGCCGGCGACCAGGGCAACATGGACAAGCTGGTCGAGCACATCCACAACTCGCACATCGAGAGCAGGCAGAAGAAGTACACGTGCGAGTGGTCGAGCTGCTCGCGCAAGGGCCTGCCCCATGCGAGCGGGTATGCTCTGAAGGCTCACATGCGGAGCCACACGCGCGAGAAGCCCTTCTACTGCTACCTCCCAGGTATGCTCCCGGAAACAGACGACCCCCGAAAGAGCCGTTACCTGTTGAGATGGCAGAGTTTGCTAACAATGTACTATAGAATGCGATAGGTCTTTCACGAGATCCGATGCCCTAGCAAAGCATATGCGCACAGTTCACGAGACGGAAGCGTTGCGACCCTCGGATCCCATCCCAAAGTCGATGCACGGCCCGGGCGGCAAGACGAACAAGCTCAAGATCATCATCAAGACGCCCCAGTCGCATGGCCCCGGGGGTGACGACGGCGACGACGCCAACGGCGAGAATGCCGACCTCTACACCGCGCTCTCCAAGGATCTCTTCAGCGAGGAGGAGCTCTCCTTCTCGGCCGACAAGCTGTATCGCAAGTGCTACTGGGAGGGCAAGTGGGCAGAGGAGATTGGCGAGCAGCTGATGAAGGAGTGCAAGGAGTGGGAGGAGGTGTATCACAAGGAGTGGCTCGAGAAGGAGGCGCTCGTCTCGCAGGTGGTCAAGAGCGAGGTCGACTGGCACGACCGGCGGCAGGCGATAATCTCGGGCGCGGCAGATGTGCAGGTCCCGGGCGCCATTGACCAGCTCATGGACGATGCCAGCAAGAAGGATTCCGACAAGGCGGACACCGACAGAATGGACACGGACGAGAAAGAGGCCAGCTCGAACGGCGTCCCGGCCAGGGAGGTATCCCCAGTTTAGGAGCACCTTCACTAGTACCGCATACGGGTGCTTTTGTATTAGACCGGTTGGAGTTCTGGGATGTCATGCAGGAATTTTTTTTTACTACTTTTGGTGTTACGGAACAAACTATGAATAGCGAATTGAAATAATCGGGATCCAAAGGAGGGAGCTTAGAGGGCCTTCTTCTTGGCACGGTAGGACTCAGAGTTCTTGAATGGAAAACCGCTTGTGCTCTGGTCAAACTTGTGATACTTGCTGATCATGGCCTTGTCCCCGGCGAACATGACACAGTAGAGGGCGAAGATGGCGAAGAAGCCGCTGCCGAGCAGTCCCAGCATGAAGCCCGTTTCCCCGGTGTAGGTGTATCTCCCGTAGCAGTAGAGTGCGCTGGATGTGTGGTGGAAGATGGACACGATGAGCACGGCCGACGCGTACGGGGAGATGCCGTCTTTGGGCGCTGGTGGGAGTAGTGCAAGTCAGCCATTGTGCGCTTTCCTCGGTGGGATTTCCCTTGATTTGAAATTTGTTTACCTTCCAGCGAAGAACCGAGAGGCACGGCCCCGGATAGGAGCACGACGATGAGGCCGAGAGAGAGGAGGGCGAACCCGAGGGACCGGGCAAAGTACTCTTCCAAAGCTGGGCCGTGTGTTAACAACCTGTATTGTGGCGGCTCTTATATTAGGCGCAAGGGACTTACAGCTAGAGCTGGCACCTTCTACCCTCAGTAGAGAGGATATGAATCCGGGCCATATGATGAGGGGAATAGCCTGGGTGCTGAGCCAGGCGAGGTTGCCAAAGCTATACGATGAGACGGCCTGCGAAAGTCTTAGCATGAGCTTGCGTTGGCAGCAAGGGAGAGGTGGCCTTACATCCATTGCGACGGATCTTCAAGATGGGAGGTGCTGGATGGTCCCTGAGGTGCGTGGTTCGTTTCTGACTATTAATGCGTCTACGATATTTGAGGTACGACGTGTGTTCTTTGCTGTAATTGACAGTGGGAGGTGATGATAGCTGATGACGAACGTTGCCTCGTTGCTTTGGGGCGCACATGTAAGTGGAATGGAGACAGTGCGGAATTACCTTAGCCAAGTCGCCTCATTTGGTCGCTGGATGCATTCGTGACGCAAATACAAAAACATGCACGGATGTTTGGATTGATTGATCTACAAATACCGTTCTCCGATCTGAATAGGGTTTTCCATACCAATTTCTCTGGAGAATTGCATCCCATGCTATGTCTGGCCGCCGCAAGTTGTCGAGGGTGGAAGGCCCCCGAGGCTACGTTCTACGACGTCACAGTGCTCCCGGAACGTTTCCGTTGGCCCTGGCCGACTCCCGACCGTCGGCCAGGCCTGGAGGCTAGAGGCTTTAGAGGCTGCAGGTGGCAAGTGGGTGCCTGGAAAACGATAACTTTGCTCGCCAATACAAGCCGCGATATTGTATCTATACTCAATGAGTATTTGATTATTACACTGAGTATTCTTGTTTACTGAAAAGATTCATTGCGTAAAAAGAAGCACTGTGATCTGTACACCACTGTTCTTCGGTTAGCGGTCCCTGTTTTTCAGACACCCACTAGGTAGGCTGGGTCTAGGCCGGCAGCCCCGCGAACTCCGAACTCGCACCAGGCCTTCAGCGGTAGTCTATTTTTTTACAGCAGCATTTCTAATCCTCGACATTTCATTGCGCAGCGATAACGAATCTCCCATCAACCGATCCGCCTGGTCCAGCTTGGCAACGAAGAATATATTGATAAGCAAACATCCTCTGTGTTCTTTCTTTCTTTCCCTAAATTACGCCCTGAATCACTCCAAGACACCGAGCACATCGACACTCTCGCCCTCGTGACCCCGCCGCCTAGCGCATCTCCCACTTTTGCGGAATCCCGAGTATCGAGCGCATCAATCTGGAGGGGATTCGCCACCGACCAACCCGCCACGACTCGAAGTCGCAGCTGGGGCTCCCCAGCCCACAGGCATCATGAGCGCCATCCTCTCCGCCGACGACCTCAACGACTTCATTTCCCCCGGCGTCGCGTGTATCAAGCCCGTCGAGACCCTCCCCACTGCCGATCCCAACGCCGCCAACGAGACCGAGGTCATCCTCGACGGCCAGCAGCCTGCGGCATCCGCGAACAACCCAGCAGAGATTTCTTTGACGGACTGCTTAGCATGCTCGGGCTGCGTGACATCCGCCGAAGCCGTCCTCGTCAGTCTCCAGAGCCATGCCGAGGTTCTGTCAGTGTTGGATTCCGCGCCAGCGCTCAGAGTAGTCGGACCAGATGACAAGGGCAAATACAGCGTCGAGGGCCTGGAGAATGAAGATGCGAAACTATTTGTCGCAAGTGTCAGCTCGCAAACGAGAGCTAATCTCGCCGCAGCATGCGGCGGCAATATCTCGGAAAAGGAGGCAGGCCTGATGCTCGAGAACCTGCTGAGCAGTCCGAGCGGGTTATCGAGTGGTGGAAAGTGGAATAATGGATTCACATGGGTTGTCGACACAAACATTGCGAGAGAGGCGACGCTGGTTCTAAGCGCAGACGAGGTTCTTGGAAATCCCAAGGCTGCTAAGCAACATCCAGCCAAGCCAATTCTGGCGTCATCGTGCCCTGGCTGGGTATGTTATGCCGAAAAGACACATCCACATGTGCTGCCGCATTTATCCAAAGTCAAGTCGCCACAGGCGTTGATGGGCACCCTTCTCAAGACGACGTTGAGTCGCACCCTAAACATCCCACCAAGCCGAATTTGGCACCTGAGCGTCATGCCATGCTTCGATAAGAAGTTGGAAGCCAGTCGAGAAGAGCTCACTGACTCAATCTGGAATGGCGATGGTAACCCTGGAAGAGGAGTTCGGGATGTCGACTGTGTGATCACGAGCAAGGAGGTACTGATGCTCGCAGAATCAAGAGGCGTCAGCCTATTTGACATGCCGAAAAGTAAATCGGCCAGTAATGCACAGTCGTCTCCATTCCCTGATGCCAAGCTAAGGGCATTCCTATTCCCCTCCGGTGGGCTTCGTAACCCATCACCATCAGCTGGATCCTCTGGAGGTCTCTTGTACCACGTCCTTCAAGCCAAGGCCGCGCAGATCCCGGGGTCTGAGATCCAAATTACCCGCGGTCGCAATATCGACGTTGTCGAGTACTCCGTATGCCAGAATGGAGAGACCGTGTTCAAAGCTGCGCGATACTACGGCTTTAGGAATATCCAGAATCTAGTGCGGAGATTGAAGCCAGCCAGACCATCTCGCATGCCTGGAGGTAAACCTTTTGGCAGTGCCCGGAGGCCCACTGGGAAGACGTCGTCGCTTGAACACTCATATGTTGAGGTCATGGCATGCCCTGGCGGCTGCACAAACGGCGGGGGTCAAATCAAGGTAGACGATCCCATCATTATAGAGCGCAAGAATCTCCCTCCCAACCCCGGACCACAGGAGCAAAAGGAGTGGTTGGCGGAGGTTGATGAGGCCTACTTCTCAGGAGGAGAAGAGTCTGAACTTGAGGTCTCTCGGGGTGGTTCAGACGATGATACCGTAGGGGGCATCTCGCACGCGTACATACACGATGCCCTCGCATATTGGTCCAAAATCACGGGTGTGGACTTAAATAGATTAGCATTCACGAGCTATCGTGAAGTCATCAGCGACGTTGGCAAGGACACCATCACTGACACCGAGAAAGTCGTTCAGCTGGCTGGAAAGATTGGCGGTGGATGGTAGTGGTTTCTTTGTTTCTTTTCTTTTGGAGATTGTGTTTAGAAATCAAGTTTCTTTGGCGCCGCGCCTAGCAAAGCCGAAACCTCCTCTTCCGCTGCCGTCCGGTCCCCTTGGTGATCGAATCGCAGCTTGTTGCTCATTCTTGGACGTAGACATCCTCGATGAATACTCGCCACTTCCGCTCCCCCCTTGTGATGGAGGTGAGTCTGGTTTGCTTGCGTAGTTGGGGTCGAAAAGCTCCCTGGATGACATAGACTGCTGTACCTGCCGTCGGCCCTCAAACTGCCGGCTGTTATCATTGTTTCTCTGGTGAATATTAGAGCCGCCTCGAGATCCGCCACGGCCCCGTGCGCGGGGAGTCTGTTGTCCATCCGACCTCGGCGGTGTCACCGTACCCGGTGAGGAGTTTCCCGACGAGGGCGCCGACTCGCCAAAGATCTTTGCACGTGCCTCCTCGTACCGTCGTTGCTTTTCCTCGCGATCCCGCTTCTGCTTCGCGCGGATCTCCTCGGGCGTAGGCTGGGCTTCCTTTGTGTTGTCGTCGCCGTCGTCCTCGAGGGTCATCTGAGAGAGGCCTGTGGCGGGGTCCCTCTTCGCGATCATGGGTTTGCGACTGAGGACTTTGACCTGCGACTTGAAGGATGAGGTAAGGGGGACGTTGTTTGTTGTCTCGAGAAAGTGGAAGGTCTCGCGCGTGTCTCTGTTGGGGAGCGGGCAACTCGCGTTAGCAACAGAGCTTGCACTGAATGAAGGGAGGGGGTATCAATCTTACGCTGACTCCCACAGCTTTCGGTTTGATTCAACATGCTGCGCTAATCGCTCTGCCTTGGTCCGCGGCGGCTCGATCTCAGGCTCGAGATCCTGGTTGAGTGGTGCACCGTTGTCTGCTTGGGTTTCCCAATCATCGTCCCAGGCGTCGGGCACTGCTATTGTCTTCTTCTTCACCATTGTGGGCGCGCGGTGACGTCTGTCAGGTTCAATGCAAGCCCTGCCAGAGAGGGTTTACGGTAGGCAGTAATCAGCCGATGGATCCGGAGTGTAGGATATAATCGAAATAGTGATTTACGTGTTTACTAGTTGATCCAGTGGTATTGGTGAATGTCGGTGATGTCTTCAAGTCGAGCTGGATTCAAGGGCGCGAAAGTCAGAAAGTCCTCCAGTGGGGCTGCTCCGCTGCCCTTAATTAATTCCGGGCTGCTTCGTTGTTGCTCCAATAATGTATTGGACGGGGCGGTGTTAGTGAGCTAGACTGAGGGCGGCAGTGCCTAAAGGTAAAGCCTGCCTGGGCTTGGTTCCCCATCACATAGTCCCATTCACAATATACTCCTTACAGTGCTGCCGCCTGGTGCCTCAAACTTACGGCTAACCTGCTGATCGATTAAACGTGTTAACCAGGGATTCATTTCTAGCTTCCAGAGAATTGAAGAGTGGTTTTCCCTGGGGTTCCAGTGCAATTACAAGCACATTCTTCCAGGTCGTGAGAACAACATCAGCCGGTGTGCCTACCCGCCTGCATCAGGACCACACCTTTTCCAGCGCATTACCCAGGACCAGTAGAAGTACCTGTTCACGACGGCAAGATGGTGGACGACGCATCCAGCGCCAACACGAGACGTGTGAGGGAAGAGGCCGAAGTTATTCAAGGAAGACTGACGGACCTTAAGTTTGACTCCAGTATGGCCCCTCTCTCACCTTGCTGGGCTTCCTGATGTTGGGCACGATGCTGATGGTTTCCAATAGAGAAGTTTCGCGATCCACTGAAGCCTGGGCAGACGTCGCACGCCCAGTTCTATCCGCAGGGTGTCACAGCTGCGATGGAAGAAAGGTGGCTTGCAATGATCAAGGCGTCGGCCAGCAAGTAGCCGCAGTCATCCGCCAACACGGGCGCAGCGCAAGGAGTTTCTGCGGTGTTTTTTCCAGCAACGACGTATCATGCATTCATGGGTTTTTGGGAAGGGGGTTGTATCGGCCGGTCAAGGTCTAGAGAGGAGGGGACAGATCTGGAAGACCGCCACTGTGAAGTCCAGCCACAAAGACAACATACCAGTATCAATGGAGGTCCATATCAATACAAGACCCGATGTGGCTTTGAGAATCTCTATTTCGGGGCGCACCTTTGGCCAATTTCAATTTCGCTTACACATGCAATACGTGAAGAAGACCGCCGCACTCCCACAATGACTCGTCGGTGATAATTGCTGCTTCAATGCACTCACTGGAAAAAGGAAAACGGGCGACGTAGTACGACATCTGACAACTGAGTCATCATCAAGGGCCTTTTTTCTTCTCTTTGAATGAAATATTTTCATTGCAGCAAAAGCAACGTGCGAATACGAAAGGTGGTGCATCAATAAGATGAGCGTGTGTGGCCAAATAATCTTACACCATGCAAGAAGCCGTTTACAGAGTGGAAATGGTACAGTGTCGGTCACACATGGCTCTTCGAGTATTAGATCTTTAGCTAGGCTAGGCTCGACCAGCGGTTACGCAAGGTAAGAGAGTACGGCATCTTGATCTTAGTGAGATAAGCTGCCAATGTATATTTCGCCCATCGGTGATATCACCTATGGTACACGCAATGAGGCTGAGCATCGTGAACGTATGTACATATTACTCAATTACACCTTACATGCATGGGCTAGTGCATTCCTGCTTTCCGGTGCATATTATGTATCATTATCGATCTCATCACTTGCCGGTACATCACGTTTTGGGGGGGAGGATGTCCCAACATTGAGACATGCATGCGGAGACTTGCATTGGGGGGGTGCGGTTCAGTCAGGCCTGACCTATACAATTTCAATAATCCTTGGAGCTAGGTACTTTGGCTCCCATTGGATAGGCCAGAGCCCGGCCGCCACATTGCTATTGACGTTCCTGAGCAAGCCACCATGTATCAATATTCCCCTTTCAGTGGCGAAAGAAACATATAGCTCATGAAGCAAGGCTGAGATCCCACAGCTCAGGTAGCCAGATAGCAGTGCTTTCAGGCAAGGGAGGGGAAATAACGCAGTCTCGACAGCCCGCCTCTTCAGCCAACATGTCAGTAATCAATTACTACTCCTTGCTTCTTTCGCCTTCATTTTAAGGGAGGAGTCCAAAGAATATGACAAGTGAGAGTGGCTTTAGTGGGATGAGGATGTTTTCTTCTCTCAATCAGAAACTGGGCCTTTTGTGCTTCTTGTTTCCACCCCCTGTTTCGTGACCTTCGAATGATCGAGTGTCAGAGGGGAACGTGGATGGAACATCTACCCAGCTTTATCCGTTCATCTGAGATCAGTGTCGGAAACCCCGATCCAGTTCACCGATCCAGTTCAGAGCCCTTGTATGTCTGATTACACAATGCACAGTTCGTGATTGAGCAGGCAGAGATCTTTCTCGAATCTAGCACGGGAAACATACTACACGCGCCAATAAGGGATGGGGATAGTCATCACTAAGGGAGTGGCGATCTCATGGCAGCTGAGCGGGCTACAGGGAGGCTTCCAATCTGTCACCAGAGGTCCAAGGAGGTACCTCACGAGTCCTGGAGGAGGGACCGGTACCCAGAAGGATAGGTAGACTAAGCGGGTTAGAGGAGCCCGGGCGGCACCGAGGGCTTTTGCTTCACCTGCGGGGATCGGCTAGTAGCCCCTCACCTTAACGAGGAGCAGCCGTCGTTTTGACGGCCCTGTGATGAGGGGCTGGAACCGCGCGGAGTGGGAGACTGGCATCGTCGCAAATGCCTTTCTCTTGGCTCTAGCACTACCTTCCAGACACAAATCCCAGTTGCCTACCTAGCTGCTGATAAGCTCGTGAGATCAAAAGGTCATCTCCATGGGCAAGGTAAGGTAGACAGCTGCTCACTCGGCTCACCTCGCCTTGTGAGAGAACCTGAAGCTGAACCCCGCTCCAGAGGGGTCCCCACTTTCCGACTACCTTGGATCCGCCAGGGTTTTGGAACTTGGCAGGCGACTGTCCAGATCAGGTAAAGCATCGTGAAAGTGGCGGGAAGGGAGAATGTCTGGGTTCTGATGGCGGCGTGGCGCGGCATCCAATATGTCCACGCCCGACCTCAAGCACATCGAGCTCAGGTGTTTGTTCCAACCCGAGATGATCCAATTCATCGGCTCCCAAACGCACAGGTGGGATCACAAGGTTTCAGTCAGGGGAACAGCTGAACCATTGTTGTCCACTGTTCGTAGCATGTGAGGCATTCTAGAACCAATTTTCCCTCGACTCATGCACAGTAGCACTTCCTCAAGTCGCTGCAGGCCTGTACCTCACTGGTACCTCCCCTCAGGGTCGTGATTATGTTATGTCAGGCCGATGGTCGCGTTTACGTACCTCCATCCATCGCGGATGTACCGAGACCAATACCCAAGACACACTACTCGATTGAGGTAGCACCGTCCTGCATCTTACCGTGCAGATAGCACCCGGTATTGGAGTGCAGTTGGAGATTGGAATTCCGCCTTTTCGTGCCAGCCATTCCATTTGGCCGCACCAGGCGCCGTCCTCTCCCCCGAGACATGACGTTTAGTTCTCCTCGCTCCCAGCTCCAAGCTCGCATCATGTTGCGATTCCTGCCGCGCCAGTGCCACCTCGGCAGAGGAGCATGGCCACGCCCAATATCAATCAATAGCATCAGCCAGGCTCGTGAGATGGAAACGCACCCACCGATGATCCAACCCAGACCGCATAAAAAGCGGAGCGCTAGATGGATATGGGAATGGGGGTTCACAATAATGTAGTCTCTGACCAGCTGGAAAAGATCTCGCCATCTTCACGACAGGGTACGTTGTTGGCTGTCAGCTTTTGGCGGGCCATAGTCGGCCGCGCCGGCCTCGTTAACGTTCAACGGCGCATCACAAGCCAAGCTGTCCGAGGTCATCGGGGGAGGCAAGTTTAATCGGAGCTTCCAATGAAAGCAGTCCATCTCAGCTTGCCAGGTGGAGGGAGGCCGGTACCCAGGCAGGTAGCCGCCTAAGTATCCGCCCTGTAGCGAGACTTGGTAGGGAGCTCAGGTGGCTGTCCACGCCGTGTAGTGGGTATGATGCGAGCCAGCAGCGCACTCAAGGGAGGACAGTCGTTATTGGATCGGAGCTCCCAGGCCAGCAGGTAGATCTAGCAAGCAGGCAGGTAGCCAAATGTACCTGCCATCACTCAAATAAGCGGAGGACGAGAGCCAAGTAGCCACATCCAGTGCCTGCATGCCTGCCCGCTACATATCTACAGTACGAATAGAGCACGCCCGCACGCAAGCTTCGCCCATGCCACCTGAGCCTTGCCCCAAACCCTCCCCCGAGGTGCTTCCAGCATTTCTCCTACCTCTCTCCAAATCCAACCACCACCACTTCTTCCCTTATCTCTGAGATTCTTCCCTCCAACATCAGGCATTTCTCGACGATTGCTCCAACTGCGTCGTCAAGCGCTTGACCTTCCGAGTCGCCTGCCCCTCCTCAGCTGGCAGGCTCCCTGCCTCCGCTGCCGCCTTTCTTCCTCAATCCCAGCTCGGGTGTCTTAAGAACCTCCCTAACTGAGCAATTAGCACATACTGCCTGGTCTACTACTTACCTTCCAGGTAGCATAGCAATCATCCCAACGCCATTATGTCGGGCACAGAAAGCGCACAGGCAAATGCAGGAGGCTTCGACCTCCTCCGGCGAGCTACACAGGCCATGATGTCAAGGTATGTAAAGTCTCGGGTCGTCTCCTCCATGTTCCAGATGGCTAGATATCATCTTTGTTTCTTCCCCATGCGTTTTCATACAAGCAAATCCCAACATCCATCATCACCCTTCTTTCATCTTGCCTGAGCACGGGCTTGCTGCTGTTCTCGCTACACGCCGGGTATTACTGGGTCATCTCCTGCGCTGGAAGTACCTGCCCTCTCGTCGTTGCCAGTCGCCTCAACCCACCGTCCATGAAGTACTTGGACCAGGATGCACTGGAAGCCAGATCCCTGAGACACACATGAGAGCTCCCAGGAATTTCCAGAATCCACCCCTACCGCACCGCCTGCATTGATGCTGCTCCTCAGCTACATGGACCTTGGTGGCGTTCCCAGGCCACCGCTTGGAAAAGATGGATCAACCACGAGTCAGCATCTTTCTTTCCGTTTTATTTGGGTACCGCTTCTAGTGCCTTCGCCAAATCCCGGCTTGACGAATTGGTCCTTGTGAAAGCACCAGCATGACACAAGATTCAGCTGAACCCAGCTACCTCATTTAAAATGGAATGGAGTATGGCTTTCGTGATGATCAGACCTTAGGCTCGCCGGGAGCTTCCTAAGATGCCGTCCGTCTCACAGTAATTAATAAACGAAGGCATGTCACGGATCCGGATTGGACGACGCATGCTTAGAAGAACGAGCATCCCGTTCACCATACATAAATGCCAACGAATGGAAGACGTTAGGAGAGAATTAAACAACTCAGCAAGGAAGGCACCGAGCTAAACCCAGCAAATCACATTCTTGCACGCCTCCTCGTCAATAAGCAACCTTGTCCTGGAAGCCAAGCAGGATGCGGCAGCAACTGGTCGTTAGCTAGGCTGATTGGCCCCCGATCAAACCACACCTTTGCCAGCAACAGGCTGCACAGACCAGCCGTATGTGTTTGCTTGATTCATTGAGGGTCCCTTGACTCCCTCCCCTTGCTCGTGGTCCGCCCAAAGCTCCGCTCAAGTGGTGTACTTTTTGGCGCCGACTGAGCCTGAGCCTACGCCTAAGCCTAAGCCTAAGCCTGGGCCTCTCTAGGCCAAACCGCCCCGCTACTCGGCTCTCATCTACGGCTCATGCTCTCGTGCGCTTCGGCGGGCTCGACTGGCGTCTTTCGAGTCTTTCCAGCCTCCGATGAAAGTCTCTGACTCTTGCTTGGCCCCACTCATTCCACATGGCCCTCTCTGGATCGAAAATTCATCATCATCCTTTCAACAGCTTCGACTCAAGCAATGGCAACCAGCCCAGGCCGCTTCCGCTGTCGGAACTACCCAATCCCTAGCGATTCCCTATCCCTTGCCTGTCCTGCCCCATCACGCCTTGTTGCGCCCCTTATACCGGAGCTTCCGTGATTTTCTCGCTGCCTCTGGCATCTCCACAGCATCTATCGCGACTTGCATCCCTCAAAACCCCTCTATACCTTCTTGGCAGCCGTCATGAATTAGCGTTTCCACATCACGACCCCTTCCCCGCGCACGCACTTGTTCCTGTTTTCTGTGTTCCTACTTTTCCCCTCCTCCCCTCCACTCTTTGTATTTTTTGAATTGATCATGCCAGTTGACCACCTCACTAGAACTGCCGCAGCTGACGAGGATGGCGCGGATCAAATTGGCTACGAAACCCCTCGATCTGGTGTAGCTACCCCCCAACCTGACCTTCAAGACAAACGGTTACCTGGAATCATGAGTTATTTCGGCCAGGTTCGTTCAGATACTGCTCCTGTTCCCGATATGTCTTCCTCCGCTCCATGTCCACATACGGATTCCCGCCCCTCAAACAATACGCTGGATGAGGAACCCCCTTCCGCTCCGTCCAGTGCTCTACAGCCACAGCTCCCTATCGATAGCTCTATGCCTGATAGCGGGTCTCAAAATGACGATCCGTCGACTTCACAGCTTCACGCTGAAGATAGTGGTCTTCAACGAGATGCTGCGCAAGACTGGCAAAGGACTTCTCCCTCTTACCCAAACTCTCCCAATTCACCCTCATCCTCCTCTGACATTTATTCGAGAACCGAAATCCCCGGGACGAGCTGTTCTGAAGCCTCAGGAGAGCCATCGACAGCTCGTTCCCAGTCGTCCTTAATCTGCGAACCGTCTGGCAGTGCACATACTACTACTGCTACTGCTCCTCCTTCTTCTCTACCTTCATCTTCTTCTTCCTGTCCTCCCTCTCCTTCGTCTTCCACCACAGCTGAGGTATCTGAGACCGAGTCTCGGGACGTGCCGAGGGTTGCTCCAAACTCAGAATCGAGCATAGCCCCACCTCAAACTGCTCTTAACCATCAAACTTCCTCATCCACTAATAATACGCACCATGCCGCAAATCCCAATGCTTCACAAGCTCCATCAAAGTGGTTCTCCCTCGATGGACTTATGGAACTAACTCGTGGTGTCTTCAAGAGCGGTCCACCCACCCCTACAAGAGCGCTCTCCGCCGCTCAATCGCATTCGGACAGGAAAATAAGCTCCAGTCGATCCAGCAACGATGGCGCAGAAACCAGCGGTACTCAGACCCCTCGCGGCCCCAGCGGTCCCAATGGTGCCCAGGCTCCAATACCCAAGGGTAAATTGACAATCAAGATCCCCGAGGGACGAGGCCTACGAAGATGTCGCGACCCATATGTTGTTGTTGTATTTCAGAGAAGCGAGCTTATCTCGGGAGGCCCACGTCCGAACGAAGATGAGGAAAACTTGGTTATCCCGCCACCGAGTATGGGCGGCATTGCGATCCAGAGGCAAGGCAGTGACTCTGGGCGACCACCAATGTCTATCCCAATGCGAAGCCGTCAGAGCAGCAACACGAGTATCGCCGACCACAGTTCAATTCGCAATCGTCTCACCGTTCGCACGGCATTGACAGACCCGAAATGGGACGCCGAGGCCGTTTTGTATGTGAAACCCCACACGCCATCCGCTTAATCTCTCTTAGTACTGTCTAATTGCTCACATTTTATCGTACAGTGATGTGATAGATTCAGACATGTTAGTCGACATTTCCGTCTACGATCACACAGTTTCCGGCGGCGAAGAGTTCCTTGGTCACGTTGACTTAGAAGTTCCCCGAGAAAACGATAGATCACTCGAAGGATGGTTCCAGCTTGAGGGCCACGCCGATACCATGGCAGAGAATGCCCCAACTGGAGAAATTTATGTGGAGGCTTCATATCAAAGATCGGAAAAGAGGCAGTTTGGACCTAGCGATTTTGAGATTCTCAAGCTCATCGGTAAGGGTACGTTCGGACAAGTTTATCAGGTTCGCAAGCGGGACACGAAGCGAATCTATGCCATGAAGGTTCTCCAAAAGAAGGTCATCGTGCAAAAGAAGGAAGTGGCGCACACAGTGGGGGAGCGCAACATTCTTGTCAGAACGGCCATGTCCGATTCACCATTCATCGTCAACCTCAAATTCTCCTTCCAGACCCCCTCGGAGCTCTACCTCGTCACCGACTACATGTCTGGCGGTGAGCTATTCTGGCACCTCCAGAAGGAAGGACGGTTCGACGAGAAGCGGGCCAAGTTCTACATTGCAGAATTAATTTTGGCCATCCAGCATCTGCACAACAATGACATCGTCTACCGGGACCTGAAACCAGAGAACATCCTCCTGGATGCCAATGGGCACATTGCTCTGTGCGACTTTGGTCTCTCGAAGGCGAACCTCACGAATAACGACACCACGAACACATTTTGTGGAACAACCGAGTACCTAGCACCAGAAGTGTTATTGGACGAATCGGGTTACACCAAAATGGTTGACTTTTGGTCCCTTGGAGTGTTGGTATTCGAGATGTGCTGCGGATGGAGCCCATTCTATGCGGAGGACACGCAACAAATGTACAAGAATATCGCCTTTGGCAAGGTCCGATTTCCCCGGGATACCCTTTCGCAAGAAGGTCGAAACTTTGTGAAGGGGTTGCTTAACAGAAATCCCAAGCACAGGCTAGGCGCTACGGGTGACGCTGAAGAGCTCAAACGTCACGCCTTCTTCGGTGATATTGACTGGGATCTCTTGGCCAAGAAGCTTATCACTCCTCCCTTCAAGCCCAAGTTGAAGTCCGAAACTGACGTGTCGTACTTCGACCCGGAATTCACCACCGCACTGGACCAGAACGGGTCTCTGAACGAGCGTGCTGCTGCCCTTGCCAGAGGGTACGCTGCCAGCACCCCGCTTTCACCCTCGGTACAGGCCAATTTCCAGGGCTTTACTTTTGTTGACGAGAGTGCGCTTGATGATCATATGAGGGATCGCATTCGCAACGACGACGAAGATATGGATGACACTCGGGGAACCGACGATGACTGGGACAATATCGATGACCTTGATCCACGGAGGGGAAACCGGATGAGTGGCATCATAAGGACAAACACTCACGATGACCAAATGGTTGGAGGAAATCATTTCGACATGTAAAAATGCGCACGTCTCTCTTCCTGGCCTCATAAGTTATCTAGGCGTTATCATGATAATCGGTCATATTTTCCGCGAAACCAAAAAAAGGACATTGGTCATTGATAGTTATTGTTTTCTTTCGGTGCTTTTCCTTGCGAATTCTGGCATGACATAGGAGAGAAAGAAGGCTTCGTTTTGACATTCATGCATGGAGGTTGGTATGGTCTTAGCATTACATTAGTAGTCAACGCGCGAGTGCGGAATAAGGGGGAACCGGCGTTTCTGGCTTGCGAGTAAGGGGTGCATCAGAGGGAAACCTTGCTCGCTACCGGCTGCCTCGTCTGTTGATATCACTACAAGACTCGGTACACCGACAAACAACCACACATATCCCAACGAGCAATAATACTGTTTTACTCTAACTTGAACTTCTCCTGTTCACCATCGCTTATGCCATGGCGTCGCGTCCCTTAATGAACCAAATTTCATGGTAATAGCGCATTTTGGTGCGCAAACTCGGGGGCTTGATTTGCTCCTCGGCCGCTTGCAGTACATTCCTGCCGAGCTGTTGGTACATAGCAATAATCAAGTTTCATTTCTCCCATCTTTCATGTGATTTCTCCAAGCTTCAAGCATAGATTATTGCCATTCGGGATTGGGTCGAGATATCGAGGTCAAGCCTATCAGTCAGCCCGAGCAACATATTCTGCGTTGTTAACAGCTACCTATAGATGGTCTTATACGGAAAAATAGATATAGTCTACTTAGATAGCCCTGATGGGCCTACAATACATGAACACCTTAAGTGAAGAAACGGAAGTGAGCCGCCAAACTTCATTACTGTCTGATAATTCAAGCTAGGCCAACGTACATAATAGTATCACACTGCGAATTGCCCAAGAGGGCATACGAACCTCAACTACAGATTTGGGTTATAAGGGGTAGAGGAGCTAGTGAAGGAGGCTTTTAGTTTTGCAATAGTGCAATGCGCCAAAAGGCGCTATAGCGCGAGCGCCGACACAGGCAAGGAGATATGTTCTCGGAAGATAACATCAACATCCGAGGAGGGCCAGGATGATATGTAATTGCTTGGCAATCGCGTTCACATTGAAAATGAACCACTACACCATTTGCAGGCTTGATTTTTTTTTTTCCTTGGATGAAAGTATACACGGGATTATCAACAGCGACTAATCCCTCGCGTCACCCTTGCACGCTCGAAGCTGGCACCGCCTGCCAAAAGTGTTGCCGTCGAGCATCCCTTTCCTCCCCCTTACGTACGACCACACTCTTTTGAAATTCCGTAGGGAGCCGATCAAAGGCGTACCAATGCACACAAATAAACCGCATTCCAATACATATACCCCTGCCTCAAAAACCCCAAGCCTATCGCGGTACGAACATGATGTGTTGGGTTCCTTTAGTGGCTGGCCTCGGCCTCCTCCTCCTCGGTCTCGAGCCAGTCGGGGAGAGCGGCGGCCTGGCCGGTGGCGGAGACGTCCTGGCCCTCGATCTCGACGGCCAATTGCTCGTACTCCTGGAGGCTGCCGGCGAGGTCGGTCTCCTCGGGGGACTGAGGGGTGGCGGGGGCGCTGAAGGTCTGGACCTGGCCGACGGCGTCGGAGTCCTTGACGGGGGTGGGCTTGTAGGCCTTGAGCTCCTTGAGGTAGAGCTCCTGGACGAAGTCGGCTGTGGGAGAAGAAGGGTGTTAGTATACGACGTCATTGAGGGAGTTGTATATATTCGGCCAGCCGGTCAATTCTCCGGGTATCTCCAAGGATTGGTGATCGTGAAATTGGCGAGATGGTTGAAATTGGGCGTCCATTGGAATGGCGTTGCGACGCGAATAAACGTGAAAGACATCCCACGATGTCAACATGGGTGGAGGATGAAGGTGTTCGGGCGTCGGTCGAATGGGGTAAGATGCGGGTGAAGTGCCGAGATATATACAAGATCCGATCGGTCCAAACATCCAATCCGTAGAGATACACGTCAAAGGGTGCTCAAGGAGCTGTTCTTACCTCTCCGGGAGACGGTAGGAGCAATGAAGCCCCTCATTTGCTGGACGGGGACATTTCGGCGGGCGACAGCAGCGACGACGGAGCGAGCGCGCTAAATAATGAGATCAAACAAGTGTCAGTTGGGAGAGCTGGATCGCCGAGGCAGGCTACGAGGCGAGAGAGTCGAAGTGGGGGATGTTGATGCTTACCGAAGCTCGAGAGAGTTGGCTGAGCATTTTGGATGGCTGGTTGATGCTCAATGGGAATCCCGGGGCGATGGGGTGAGTGCTGAGGGTTTTGTGAAAATCGTGAGGTGGTAGCCGTTCTCACCCGTCCGAGGTCTCCATTCGCGGAGATGTTGCTGCCTCAGGCTGCAGCAGACCGCTCTTCCGCAGCGCCAGGGGCGGCACGTGACCCGAGCTCACCCTGGAGTTGAGGTTCATAGCAGCTGTGCTGAGAGCAGAGCCAGCTTAGAAAAGCTCCGATACGCCAGATCAAGCAGTGCACTCCATCTTGAATTTTATTCATAGCATCATAGAGTGTTGAGGTTAATCTGGGAATGAGATCTGTCAAGGGTAGGTCTGCCCATACCCACCGCAATCTTGCGTCTACAGCCAGCTCTATGAAAGAATTATGCCTACTGCCATCCCCAACCATGTTCATCACGGCGATTATACCATGGCGGTGACAATCATGCGTGGTTCGACATAGTTATTGTGGCTACAATTATTTCCATCCAAATGGCCGCGATTTCACCATGATCAGGCATAGCCCGTGAAAGGAATTAAAGTATTTGGTATCATAATTTACATTCATCTTGGTTTATCGGCCACCCCCCATCGCAAGCTCTCTAACCAACAACTTCGACTATGTCCTTGCTCTCAAAAATATAAAAGGAAAACAGCGGTCAATGCATCGAGCCTCCTAGTCAGATCCTTCTCTACTTTTCAGACCCCAATCCTTTGATGTGAACCCACTGTTGCCACTCTCATCTATGCGTATTCGCGCGTCTGAGAGACTGGCGGTGAGTCTGACTTCTTGCGGCGGCCTTCCACTCCTCCATCCTGTCTCCTGCGCTTGAGAAAACCAAAGCCTATGGAACCGATGTATGCTGCGAAAACAACAGCTGCGACAACGCAGTAAGCAATCATGTACCTCCCCGAGGTGTTGCCCGTGAGTTGAAGACCCAAACCACCATTGACGATACCGATGATTATCAATGCACGACCATACCAGATGTGGACGTGACTGATAATGCCTCGACTTTGGTGTTTGGTATACTGCGAATGGTGAAACCATCCGAAAAGAGGCTGGAGACCCAACAGCGCGACTACGATGGTGCCCATACGAGTATGGGTTTGGTTGAAGAACTAAGTTCGCGTGAATGTTAGCACAGGCCCTTTTGCTTGATGCGTCGCCAGGAGACTCACATATCCGTTCCGCTCTGCGTATACATAACCCAGGCCAAAGCCAGCCCACATCATGAGGTAAGCGACAAACTGCCACGCTCCGTGGATGTACCACTTGCCCACAAGAGGCATCAGCATGGACCCGATGGGGTACATGGCAACGAACACAATGGCCATGATGATACCGTGCGCGAGAATAATGGTATTCATGTTGGAGCCACTGCTGCTGTCGTTGCCATCACTACTACTATCACCGTTGTTGTTCCCACCTGAACTTGGGTTGTTTACTGTGCCGTTGCTACTCTCGAAGGGGTTGGCATCCGAGGTGATTGATGCTTGAGCAAAGTCGATCGAAAACTGGGAGTGGCCGTCATGCTTTGAGATCTGCGCGGCAGTGTTGGTCGAGTCTAGGGAACTGCCGGTTTTCCAGGCGGCTATCCAGCTATTCTGCCCACCCAGCTGGAGGTTGAGGTCTGAGGCCCTGACGTTGGCCACCATCCTGCCGTCCTGCACACCAGTTCCAGACAGAAGCTCAAGCTGGCCGTCGGTGGTGGTAGTCGGCATGGAATGGCCATCAGCCTGCCTGTTGCTCAGTGTGATGTTCCCATTGCCATCCTGGTACATGAGAAGGATGTGAGAACCCGCCATGCGCGAGCCGATCCCCAGTCCAACCCATTGGTATGTGACAGGAGCACTGAGCTGGACATAGAAGGCTCCCGAGCTCGAGCTGGCAGATGATTCGGGGACACCCCACTGGAACTGGATATCGTTTGAGTCGCCCACCTGGCGGGAGGTTACGTCCGCGGATGTGAGAGTTGCATCTATTACTTGTTCAGCAACCAACCATTGGTCTTTGGAGGGCCAATTGGGCATAGGTATCTAGCGAGGTGTTACTTACAAAGGGCTGTAGCTAACCCGAAGGTAGCTTTAGAAAACGTCGATTTCATCACGTAACACAGTGTTGGCCCTACAGGTCTAACGTGACTGATCTTATTGTGGCGTTCTCACTCCAGGAGATGGTGGAAAGGAAGACGAATGGTGGAAGGAGAAGTTGGAGAGAGCAAGAGGATGTGGTGGCTTATTATTTGAGAGGAAAGAATAAGGTTGAGGACATGGAGATTTTGATCTACATGTCTCATTGGAATCCCAAGGGAACGGGGCACAAGAAGGCTCGTCTTAAATCCTCTGGACGCAGGATTGAGTGCATCGAGGCCGTTGCACTACTCCACGTATGGCAGCGGTCCCGGTAGATTAGCTCGACGAATGACAGCTTTCGCATTTTGCACAGCCCAGCACTACCTAGACACGATCAGCGGCATGACAGTTTCATCTGCCGGGGTGGGGGGAGTGACAACTCGCCAATGGACGGAAGGTTGCATGCCCAGCGTGGGATGATGACGATAATAATTTAAGTCTTGGACGTGGTTCACCGTAGCAGAGAGCCATCACGGATATGGCTTCGTCGTGATGTCAATGTCAAGTTCACAGGCAAAGAAGCTTTCTTGGTACTAGGACACACTACAAGTCTACAGTTTATCCCAATGCCTCTGGATTACAATCATTGCCACTGTGGTTGGCTGACGAGAGTCGGATACACGTAAAGACAGCAAGGATGAGGCCGCCATGGGAGGCGTGGGCAGCGAACCAGGGTTCGATTTGTAAGTCGAAGGTTTGTGGGGATGATCTCTTGATCCTCGTCCCCTGAGCCGTGCCCCATATTATTATCTTTGCTCCCTCTCGGTATGCACATTGAAGCTTGTTGAGTGGGCAAGCGGAAACGTGCTGGTCCATCACGGTGATGCTGCAATAACCTTACCCCAGTCCATCCCAATCCAGGCCAGCACCTCGCAGATGCAGTTCCTGGATAAGCCACAGGGCAACGCGCGTCAGCACCCGGGAAGATTCGATAATCCTATGCAGCAATGCCAAGATAGTCCGCCATCATGTCCATCATGTCTAGGTCCAACGAGAGCACCAGGGGGAGGAAGCTGTGTGACGCACGGGGGGTGGTAAGGCAGTGAGGAAGAGACCAGCCTGCAAAAGGAAGTCACCATCTAGCCGATATTATCATTGATGACATTCGCCCTCGTCAAAAAATCTTCATGGGCGGGTAGAGCTTTGGAGCTAGCGGCCGCCAGAGCTTGGGAACACGAAGCGGCCGCCCCTCGAGCCGACTGGGGGTAATTAAGCTACGGATCGGCGCAGCTCGAAAAGAGAAGGGCAGCTCTAAATTTATTCACTTTGCCCTCCATTGGAGCCGTGGTCCTACACCACATCTCACCACCACCTGCCGTTTTGCCGTCCAGGAGAGCGATCCCCGTCCAGGTGGCTGAGTGCCCTACCGACGCTGACCGATATCCATTGAAGCCAGATGGATGATGCATCATGGACCATGGCGATAGAGACGATGATGACGGGCCATCCCCAAACCAGCTGTCTCAGCCCCGTCCCGTCGATCCCTCCAGCAATCACATTGATGTGTACGCGTACCTACATTTTAAGCTTTTAGTCAGGATCTGGTAATACGGTACGCACAGCAGAGGCTTTGGCCCCCCCTTGCAACACACCATGTGGACAGCGGCCCAATGGCACGGCAGCTATTTGCATTCATCTGGTAGGGCAGCCGAGTTTTGCATTGATGGTGCGCTCAGCTGTGGATGTGATACTACAGGATTTAGGTGCTCCCACTTACGTAGCTCCCAATTGATCCTCTGCGAAGATCCTCCCCCTCCCTCACCTCGCGTGCATTATCAATTGGCACGAGGGAGGGGGCCGCGTAAACCTCCCCCGCTACTTCAATGCATCTCGACTTCGTTCGTTGGGCCCAGTCGAATGAAGCAAAGCTAATCGCTGTAGAGTGAGGCCGCCAGCGCATTTGTCCCACTCGGCTCTGCCCTATCGTGATGGCCTCGGCTAAGGCTCACGAGTCGAAATTTGGTGACGGCATAGTGCCGACGGACCATTTCACATGAAACATTCCCGGCTGACTCGATGGTCTGAGTTCAGTATGGAGTAATGGACGTTCCTTTCGCCGTGTCTGCCCTCGTACAGACCCGTATCCATTCACGCTCGGAATGGGCCAAGAACAATGGTCGCGTTGGCGAATGGAGTCCGTCCCCATCGGACATCCGTCACATCAACTGCCGTTGGAGTATTGTTCATGAGTGTGAACCTGCCTCCGCCAATTCTGCCCAGCTGCGAGAGTCTGATGATGCAAGACTGCTCAGTGTCAATGCAGATATCGCCGCTGCCGAAACTCTTGCGCTCCAGCCCCAGCCCCTCAAGGCGGTCTACTTATCCGAACAAAGGGGCTTATTCGATGGAGATGGAAGTAGAGTCTAAGATCAACCTCGATGCTGAGGCTACAGTTGACCGCTATCTAGGGTTTCTGAGGGCGAATTCATTTAGCGCCCATCATGATGAGAGTTTCTCAGGTTTGGCCATGATTCTTCCACCCTTTTGTAGATAAGCCTATGGCTTCTTTTACTGTTACGAAATTTGCATGGCTGAGTAAACTAGCTGATAATATCTTTCTCGGCTGTGGAAATGGACGCGGCTGCTTGATTACGCCATGTGTCTTGCCAAGAACATGGACCTCGCGCTCCGTGATGCCAAGTTCGAGGGCATTCCCATGGTATGGAGCTACGGGAACATTTCAATATTCATCTGTTGGATATGACTGGTCTTTTGCCCTTTCCACCTTGCTAACAAAGCTCAAAGCCCCGTTGAGCATCGCGTGGACTTGACGGGGAGCTGTATTCCCGAGGGTTTCCTCAGATGGCGGATAATGTGAATGACGAGCTCTATCGCTAATGCTTTGATTGAAAACGAAACCTGTCTAATGACTCCCCTACCACGTCTAGAGTAATTCTCAAAACCTCATCTCCTCGCTCGCCTGCTTCTCTCTCGAATCATCGCTCTTTGTCACCTTTTTTGACAATGCATTTTCATCCACAACTCATCACAGCAGATATCCCCTTTAGCGTCTCCTCACAGATTGCCCTCTATTCCCCAATGACTTGCATCGTCTTCTTCTAACTTCTAGTAAGGATACTAAATCTTGCGTCTAAACTCTATCATCATCTATCCCACCATGCGCGATACATGAGATTTATGCCGCCAGTGGGAAATGGCTTTCAAGAAGGCTGGGTGAGGCCACAAAACTGAACCCACCAAAGGGGTCGTCGTTGGAAGGACTGAGAAGGCTCGGGTACCTGGATGTGACCACAGGGCTCAGGCACAAGTCGGTGAACTCGGGTGAAAAGTTCTCTGCAAGCTCTGGGTCGGTGATCATGGGCTGAATAGGAGGGGTAAGTTCACGGGCCTCCAATTTCTTCCAGTCAATCTTGCGAAAGAACCTGTGCTTCTTCAAAGTCTGCAGATCCTTGAGTCCTCCAGCCCCGAGTCTCTTGTTGGGATCCTTGCGAAGGAGTCGGGTAAGTAGGTCCTTTGCATCGGGGCTAAGGAAATAAGGAAGTGCAAGCTTCTGCTTGACAATGTTTTCCTGAATCTTCGCGTGGTTGCCGCCCCGGAAAGGAGGGTTTCCAGTCATAAGGTCGTATCCAAGAGCCCCAAAGGACCACCAGTCCACTGCCTTGCCGTACTTCTTGCCCTGAATCACTTCGGGGGCCATATACTCCACTGTGCCGAGGATGGAGCTGCAGGATTCGGTTGGTTCAGCCGATACTTTGGACAAACCAAAGTCCGTCAGAAGCAAGTGACCGTCTGCGTCCAACAGGCAGTTCTCAGGCTTCAAATCTCTATACACAACACCGAGGTCATTGTGGAGGTGGGAGATGGCGAGAAGCATCTCAGCCATGTAGAAAGCAGCGTCGTTCTCCGAAAACATCTTCTCCGTATTCAGGTGAGTGAACAGTTCTCCACCCTGGCCATACTCTAGAATCAAATACAGCTTCTCGTGGTCTTGAAATGCGTAGAACAATTTCACAACAAAGGGGTGCCTATTGACAGACTCGAGGATCTGTCGCTCTGTTTTGGTTTGCTCAATAAGTTTCTTGTGGACCATCAGAGATGCCTTCTTGAATTGCTTTTGAGCATAGAGCTTGCCGGTAGCGCGTTGCTTGACCAAGAGCACAGTGCCGTATGTGCCCTTGCCCAGACAACGGAGAGGCTCAAAGTCTTCAGTCGTCATTTTTCTCTTTGGGTTCAGGCCTCCCTCGATGATGTCCATGATACCTCCTCTGTCGCCAACACTGGCGCTAACAAAGTCATTCTCGAGGCAAACCTCGTAGATTGTAGATGCGTTGTCCGAGTCTGTGCTTCCCGCATCACTGCGAGCGCCGTCGCGGCTCACGGAACGGCTTTGAATACCAAATGCGCCCTGAAGGCTTCCGGTGCGGTACATGGAACTAGTCGGGATACCATCCAAACTCAAAGGCTCAAGCTGCATCCGCAGCTTGGCTATTCCCGACACCACAGGAGACGAGGATCCATGGAGGGTCGGGCTGCAGTTGGCACTGACGACATCGGTAATGCGGGAACGGCCTCTGCGGGCCTTGAGGCGTGGAGTGTCGAGGCCGCAGTCGGAATCCTCATCACCGGAGGCTGCTGGGGTCGTTTGGAAACCACGAACAGTGGTACGCGCTGCCGGCACGGGGCTTTTCATTTTGAATAGAGGACGAAGAAAAATACGCTCACTCTTGAAGAAATTCTAACCAACAGAGGGATATGTCCTCAGTCCCCTGCCAGCGACGTCGTCTGTCTTCAAGGTGAGCCCCGCCGTCGCTCAGGGTCAGCGCGCACCCGGGATTCGCAGTGCAACTGGATTTCGATGTGGCTCGCAATACGCATCTGGTAGCGGAAGAATGAAGTACGGGCGCTGGAGGGCTTTTGTATATGCATTGGGCAGCTTTGTCGTATCGGAGTTCTGGAGTGCAGCTTGTGATGGGAGTTGGAATCACCAAATGGTGTAGAGAGAAAGGGAAAAGAGAAAGCCGGGGAAGAAAGCGATCGTGTTACATTTAACGAATACCTGATTATGCCTGCCCACTAACAACCTGCCTAAGCACCAGCCCGCGAGGGAAAAAAAAAAACCTTGCCGCACATGCCTAAATTAGTTGGGTGAGGTCACCCACCACAATGCAACAGGGGGCGAGTAACCTGTCATTAATTACTTACCAGGCAAGTAGGTACTCGAAACAGCACTGGCATGGAGGTAATGCGCCACTAAACTAGGCACTTGGGCTCTCTTGGGCATGTATTATTAGTATGCGGGAGGATGTGGCCGTCTCACCCTCACACAGCCGCCTGGCGGGCACTGACCACTGACTCAATAATGTACGTGCAGCTGAGATTACGTTGGTGCCCAGGAGTAATTTATTTCATTCCAATAGGATGCCGTTGTTCCTGTTCGTATTCCAGGGCGCAGTCACATGCTAATCACACCCGAACTTTGCATGCAGAGAAAGGCACCAAAGAGAAAAAACTCAATAAACGACTGGTCTAAAAGGCGTGTGCCGGAACCAATAAAGTGAACAAGGCCATATCGGTAAAGCAGGCGCTAGCACTTTGAGCTAATGGGAGGGCAAGGAGACTGCATGTTGCTTTCAATATGCACGCCCAAACCCCAGACTGGGCTCTGACCTTAGGTAATCCGAATACCCACCCTGTGCTCGATGTCCAATTAAGTCTTCAAGCAAGTCTACAGAGCCGCTACTTCTCGAAGAATTTCATTTGCTCGTAAAGCTGTGTATCTTTGTGTACCTATCATTTTGGTTTAGTCGCCCCAACCACACGCTGGCGCACGGACATCACATGCGCGCATCGTCGGATTCACTTTTCTCACGAGGATCGCGGTGCTAGCTACCTACTGCCTATCTGGTCTCGTGATACCAACGAAAGGGCACGATATCCGGTAGCTGTGCCAGTCTGGCCTGCTTTGAAACTCTCGGTGCCAGTGCGCAGTATCCTCAATCCAACTATCAAGATGATTCATCCGTCACGACAAGCATACGTCGAGGAAGCCCAGTCGCCAAAGGGCATCGCATTGGAAGACCTTCCCGATGATCATGACTACGATATGCCGACCGCCGGCGCCGGCGCCCCTTCAGAAAAGGCTTCAGCAATCCTGGACCAGTTCAGGCGAAAGCGCGCTGCCGCGGAGCTCAACGTCCCGACCAACGATGACCGCGTTCGTGCAGTTCTGAGGTCCATGGGCGAGCCCATAACCCTTTTTGGTGAAGGGAAAGCAGAGCGACGAGACCGACTCCGAGAATTGATGTTGATACAGACGGAGATGAACGGCCTTGAAAATGGGGACATTGATATGGATGATGCACCAGATGATAAGCAGGAGGAAGAGCAGGAGGAAGAATTCTACTCGAGAGGTGGCCCAGACTTGTTACAGGCTCGCATAAAGCTCGCTGAGTACTCTCTACCCAGGACGAAGAAGAAGATTCAATTCCAGAAAGAAGAGTCATCAATACCACTACGAACACACGTCAAATTCCGGAAACATATCAAGGAGAGGTTACAAGCCTTTGAGCTACAAGGCAGTCAGACTGTTGGCGAGCGACACATCAGCATGGTGAGGATGGCTCCCAACGGTGAGCACGTGGCGGTTGGTAACTGGGGTGGCCAAATCAAGCTGGTGGAAGTGCCCAACTTGACTGAGAAGATGAACTTACGAGGACATACCAACAAAATCAGCGGTCTTTCCTGGTTCCCCGGTGCCACTCTTCCGGAAAGTGGCGTATCCCCTGATTCAGTCAACCTGGCATCAGGTGGTGCCGAAGGTCTTGTTCACCTATGGTCGTTATATAAAGACACCCCCTTGTCAACGCTGCAGGGCCATTCCCAACGTGTTTGTCGAGTCGAGTTTCACCCTTCTGGAAAATATCTAGCCTCCGCATCTGACGACACATCTTGGAGGCTTTGGGATGTCGAGACGACAACGGAAATCCTCCTCCAGGAAGGTCATTCACGAGGCGTGTACGCCATTAGCTTCAATACTGAGGGTTCACTTCTTGCTAGTGCAGGTCTGGACAGCATCGGCAGAATATGGGATTTAAGATCTGGAAGGACGGTCATGATTCTCGATGGGCATATGGATGGTCACATTAAGCCGATCCATGCGCTCGACTGGAGTCCAGACGGACATCGAGTGCTGAGCGGTTCCGCGGATGGTTGGGTCAAGTGCTGGGATGTACGCAAAGTTCAGAGAAGCGGCGGCATCGGTGCACATTCAAGCGCAGTCTCGGATATGCGATGGTTCAAAGGTCTCGATGACCCTCTTGATGGCATTCCCCCGGCGTTAGACGAGAAAGGCTTACGAGTACCTAAGAAATCCGGCACGTTCTTCGTCTCCAGTGGATTCGACAAAAATGTCAAGATCTTCTCTGCAGACGATTGGACTCTGGTGCAAACTCTGAGCGGGCATACTGGGCCTGTGTCCAGTGTAGACTATAGCAGGGACGGGAAATGGATCATCAGTGGCGGCCATGACAGGACTGTCAAGCTTTGGGGCCGAAACGATGGTGAAGGCATCTGATGTAATTGGCATATAGACAAAAGCAAGGATACAGTAAATCCACTTATGATACCCAAACGAAAACAATGTAATTTTTCTTCAATCAATGAGCGCGTATTAGACTTGTAGCATAGCCTGCGCTTTGTCGCGAGCCTTGGCAGCCCGACATGACGGAACGGACCCAGTGCGCGGTCAGGTGACTCGCCATGCTGCATCTCCCAACCCAAAGACAATAGCAGTCTCAGATCTCTTTCACCACTATCTTCTATTGTCCCAAACCTTCCTCCAGTCACTTTTTTTCTCGCTTTCATTCGTTTACAAAACCACAGTAACCGACCGATCAGGCGGTTTATTCCTCATGATCCGTCTCCAGTCCTTATCTCTTACAGGCGTCTATCCGACACGAATCTGACCTTATGGCGAGCATCGATCGATACCGCCCGCAGCGGGAGGGCTACCAACCTCCAACCCTCGCCCAGAACCCGCGTCAGGATAAATCTTCGCGGTCTCCAACGAGGCGGCGCGATGTTCCTCCAGCGGTCCCAACACCTCCCCAGCACAGCACTCGCACGTCGCCACCACGCCTCCAGGCTCGACCAAGCCAACAGCAATCGCCCAGCCGACCGGGCGCGCGCACGCCGCTGGCAGTCGCAAACCAGTGGGCGTTCACGGAGGAGGAGACTTCGAGCACACCCAGCATCATCGAGGGATTAGCGCCTTCTGAGGAGAGATTGCGCCGGGCCAAGGGCGTCAACTTCATCTACCAGGCTGGGGTGATGCTCGATCTCCCTCAGATCACTCTTTGGGTAGCTGGAGTGTTTTTCCACCGATTCTACATGCGCTGCAGTATGGTACAGGAGAAGGGCGGGATTCATCACTATGTAAGTTGAGCGTCCGGATGCATGACTCGATCGTAGGAGGCGCGTTAGAGGAGGCCAAATGCCCCCATCCGCGAGGAAGAGTTGTTGCTAATGCTTTGCTTTCCAGAACATCGCCGCTACCGCCCTCTTTCTAGCCAACAAGGTCGAAGAGAATTGCAAGAAGACGAAGGACATCATCATTGCCGTTGCCAAGGTTGCTCAGAAGAACGCCAAGCTCATCATCGATGAGCAGAGCAAGGAGTACTGGCGATGGAGAGACAGCATTCTCACGTACGAAGAGGCCATGCTTGAGCAACTCACGTTCGATCTCATGATTGATAACCCCTACCGAAATCTTCTTGATCTTCTTGGCCAGCTCGACTGTGTTCATAACAAGCATCTGCGACAGGCCGCCTGGGCTTTCTGTAACGATGCATGCCTAACGGCCCTCCCCCTTCTATTTGAGGCAAGGGACATTGCTATCACGGCGATCTTCTTCGCCAGTGTTCACACCAACCAACAGCTAGACGACGTCAAGGGCGAGCCATGGTGGAAGTACGTGAGGGGTGACGAGACACGATGCATCAGGGCCATCGAGATTATGCGACAGTTCTACACTGAGAATCCGCTTAGGAAGCAGAATCCGTCATTACCGTCGCCAGCATTTGAGCTGGATATCTCTCGACGCCGAGGAGATGCTTCAATCACCGACTCGTACCCTTCGAATGCCGCTACGCCTATGGAGCTGGACAGAGCTAGTCGCAGTCCCGTTCCAAGGACAAACGGCGGAGGTGAAGGCCACAACGGAGCATCTCAGGCAAGGTCGGAAGATAATCGATACATTCCTCGCTCTCCATACAAACGGAAGGAGGCTGAGATTGATACCAACGACGATAGAGCTGAGAAGAGAGCAAGACTATCCGAGGATGAAGAGGGCGAGCTGGTGGAAGACTAAATGTGATTTTTTTAACAAGGTTCGGTATTGAGAGAATCTTTGGCGTTTTAGGCTTCTCGCAAGGCAAATGTTTCAGGAAGAGATGTACGGACAGCGAGAGGATAAAGGACTGGCTCATGGAAAGAGAGCGGCGCACCGGTTGTATTTTAGGGAGTGATATCCTCTGGACGCAAGATTGAACCGTGATTTACTTGCCCATTGCTGGCATTTTCTAGAAGGATAGAGCTCTCGAACTCCCTCAACTTTCTCAGAGCCGAATAGACAAAGTCATCATGCACGCATCTCGAATGTCACATCTAATTGAGATTATTTCTTAACCAAGCCCTCTATTGAGGTGCCTAGCCGATTACCTTCTCTACATACACACCTAAACTGTCCATTATTAAATCATCACAAGCTGCCTGGTTCTGCCTCCCACCCTTACTCAAGCACCCAAGTGGGTGACAGGAGAAATGAGACACCTAATAGAACAGACTGATTCCTACAAATGAATAGAGAAGTCCAGTAGTATAAATGGAAATAAAGTGGCAATATATACTGTATTGTCTGCACAGAATATATTATTAGCACTTAATAATCTAACAAATCGGTCGAAGACCCGACGATAACCAGCCTAATATTTTGAGTCTCAATTTCAATGTCACCCACTTGTCACCTATTCTCACCATGGTGTGGATATCCAGGCACCAGCTTGCCTCGTGCAACGCTGAATTTTGATTGGCTAAAATTCTGCCGCTGATCTTGTGCCTCACCGCCCCTGGGCACACTATTTAAGCGCGTCGAGCCCGCCAACTTTTTTGAACTTTTTCTTCCTTTCTTCTTTAGCTCTCTTTGCCTTTTGGCTTAGATCAAGTGTAGTATCTGTTCTTTTCAGTTTAATCTCTGAAAGGTCTCTAAGGAGACCAATCGTGATTATTCCTATTTTTGGCTTCAGGGCTGTTTCCTCTGTGCTTGCACATGATTCAACCCACAGTGTCCCTGGTATTACACTGCCTCCAGGCGACGCGAACACTTCCTTTTTTTTCGTTGCTTTGTCGGCTTGCCGGCAGTGTGAGGAAGAAAATACAATGGGATGGGCTTGTCCAGCACGGCAGTCTGATGCAAGATGCGACTAGTGAGCTTGGAGGAGAAGCTGTGGGTGTGAAGCTTTGGTGAGAATCGTGAACCCAGAAGATTTGCGTCGGAACGCGCCGCCACCAGAATGTCCTCTTTCTGTTCAGATAGTCCCTACGTAGGATACCTAATAAACTTGATTTCTGTAACTCGAAGAAACATTTTCCATAGTATTGCTCATCGTGTTCTCATTTGCCCTTGGAGGTCATATTTCGTGATCCTTCCTAACCTACCCTAAGTCGGCTTCTGGTGATTGCTCGAAATTTACATCGAAGAGGAAAAAGCCTCGATAGCGAATCAATGCTGTGGTGAAATGGGCTCTGCCTCTCGATTCTTGATGTACCATTAGCTATCTCGATATGTATGTACAATTGTTCAAGCTCTTTTGGTGGCATTTCACGTTGTTACTGCCATTTTCTGCATGGCTTTTGGTAGGTAGTTTTCCAGACTGCCAGCTACCCCACCATCTGCTCCATTCTGGAGAGCTAGGTAGACCGACCCCCAATAACTTTCTTCCTTTTCGCCCAACTCCCAACCAAATCACGAATAAAACCCCATCGCCACCTGTCCAGATCAAGACGGTGCCGTCGATGCTGACCGCTTCAACGTGACAGGTCACTATGGCGACACTAGGCGGCTATCTCGAGAGTAAACAAGGCTTCACCCCCCCCAAAGCAAGCAAGTTCCATGATGACAGAAACACTAACCCCCATCCTTCACCTCTAGAAAAGGTCCTCGTCGTAACGGCCGACTCTCGAATCCTCGTTGGAACGCTCTCGGCGGCTGACCAATCCACAAACCTTGTACGCTTGGACCTTCACGCCGTCCCTCCTCGATCCCGAAGCTGACCAAACTACCTACGTATAGGTCCTGAGCAATGCGACGGAGCGCATTATCCGCGAGCCCGACGATGACGAGCCGTCGACCGAGATCCCGCTAGGGCTTTACCTCGTACGAGGAGACAACGTTTGCTCCGTTGGACTGGTGGACGAGAAGCTGGACGACAGCATCAACTGGACGCAGGTCAAGGGTTCGGTGATTGGCGGCATCAAGCACGCGTAGAGGCGAGATGTCACAAGAAGATAAGAGATGGGCGGTCCATGTTTTCCTTTCACCCAAAGAATATTGAGGCTTGATCGAGAAGAACGGCGTTTGGAGTAATCGGAGCAATTATCTACTCAATTGCAGCTTGTGGCATAATCTATTCACACTGGGAGAGAGAGAAAAAAATCTCGAATGCATAACTATTCTATATAGACCAACCAGTGAGCCTCCATCGCCCCCCAGAACCGTGACGAAACGTAGATTATGAGCCCCCCCTGCGTGTGCACAGAGCCTAAGAAAATATCCTCCTCATCAGCTCCTCCTTTAGCACGGCCTCACCTGGGGTGCCAGTGATCCGGCGGATTCTGTTACCCTTATCCGCGTTGAACCAGGCGAGAGTGTCGCCGGGGCGATCCGCCACCATTTCCAAGGACTTGGCGTTTTCTACCTTTTCGTAAAACTCGACGGCCTTCTCGCGAGGTGTGGCCCAGGGTCGGCGGTCAATAACGTGCATACCGCGGGTCCACTGGCCCGAGGTTTCTATTCTAATGTCCTCAAGCTGATCCGCAAACTTCCAGCTAGGATCGTTGTGCGCAATGGCGTACCAGACGGTGAAAGGATCGTGCAGAGATAGCTCCGCATCGATATCGGCACCTACCATGGACTCGATCTTTCGGAATGCCCCTCGGACAAAGTGTGCTGTCCACGTAGCGAGAGGACTGCCAGCATCAATGTGTGGCTGGATGGCATCCTCAAAATACTTCTTATTGAGGAAATGAGGAGTCGTGATATCAAGAGGGCAGAGGGTCAGTTTCAGGCGCTTGCTGAGGTTTGGTGGATAGGCAGAGAGAACAGAGATGCTCTCTGGAATGAGTGGCATGGTGGACTGGGGGTTTGGCGAGGTGAGGGCGTAAACCCGAGCAGCTGCAATGGCATCAGCGTAGCAGTTGAATTCTGCATTTGGAGTCACGTTGCCCTCAACATGGACGGCTCCTCCCATGACAACCAGCTCTCTCACTCTGAGGAACGTCTCGGGGTCGTCGGCGGCGGCCAGAGCAACGTTAGTGAGTGGCCCGGTGGCGAGGATGGAAATGGTGTTTTCTGGGTTTTCCTTAAGAAGGCGGAGGATCTCCTTATGAGCGGGAGACTTGGAAGGTGTGAAGTAAGGGGAATAAGTGTCAGTGCTGTTACTTTCAAACATGGACTTCCAAGTTTGGGCGGGGGCTAGATGAGGATGTGCTGTGTGCACGTTGTGAAGCCCGTCAAGTCCATCTTGTAATAGTTTCGTTAGCTCTGATGACCTTTCTAGGCCACACGGCAAGAAGTCACTTATGAGAGGTACTCACGGAAGTAATCAGCCATTAATTCCTCTTCCTCCAGGGGATGCTCGGGGCCAACTGCAACAATAGGCTTCTGGGCTCTCAGAACACCGAAACCCTCGGGCCTGCCAGAGGCTTTCCTCCATTCAAGTTCCTTCTCCAGAACATTGAAGAGAGCAACGACATTGTGCAGGCAACTAGACAGACGTTAGATCGATTTTACATTGGATGAATCGATGGGAGTGGCAGCCGAACCTTTGAAGCGGGACATTCCCATATGTAACGGATAGCATTAGAACTTCCAGTTCCTCGGGGGATGCGCTCAGCGCGAGAAGCATAGCCAGGACATCGTCAACACCTTCAAGTAGTCAGTTGGATGTCAAGCATGTGACACATAGAGCATCACGGGTTGGCTATATCGTACCTGGGTCGGTATCGATGATGATCTTGTGTTTGGGAGCGGCCATGATGGATATTGAGAGTCAATATCTGGTATAAGTAGAGGAAGGGGAGAGTTCGTTTCCTGAATGATTCTGGACAAAAGCTGCACAGCTTAAATTTGATTTCCAACTATCTCTTTGGCACTCTTGGCTGAAGCGCATGTGCTCTGTGCCCCGCCTCAGCAGGTGGGGTGGCTGTATTTTGCCAGATAAGCCCTTGCGCGTGATAGGTATTTGCTCCATGAGTAAGTAGACGAAGGATCAACCAACCCCGCTGGCAGTTAGGCTTTTTCACTCCTAGGCAATGAACTCTACCTATTTAGATTTGTCCTGCCTCATCAAGAGTTGTTGGATCAACAGCAGAGGGCTACTCCTACCTTTTACTGTCGTAGCGCACATGTAAGCTCGATGGGTGAGGCGGCTGTTTTGAGCTGGAGTTTATCAGGTGTTTTGTCTAGCGAATGTCGAATTTGAAGCTCCCAATATTCTCGAACGAGTGTTAAATACCTTGGTTGATCACCTGGTCTCTCTCACATGTCAATTATGAGACATAGTGCAAAGCATTGATTGTCTGGAGTAGCTGTGCTCTCCGAGTTTGAGAGCAGTAGTTACATGCTATCAATTTGAGTTGACACGGGCGGATTGATCCTGAGTTGCTTGGTCGGTTGGCATGGAAGGTGATAGCAGTTGGCGTCAATAATGCACCTAGTACCTACCTACCTACCTGCACAGGCACTCAGATACTTGTCCAAGATAATGTAGGTAGACTTCCGTCCATGGCTGGGTGCCTGACAGTAAGTAGGATGTATTGCGTATTGCGGATCCTTCCCAGGTATAAGCCGAGCTCTGGGGAAGGAGCAATAACGCTCCGGCAATCAGATAAAGGCGACGTTCGATTGGTAACCAATAACAGCCAGGGTCTTGGGAGCTTGTAATGTCCGAGAGCAGGCCCGGTATAGAGCACTGTGAACGAGCCAATCGTTGACAGCCGCGTGTGGTTTTTTTTTTGAAGAATGCAATGTCTTACTCTGCAACGGATGTTTGACTCTTGTCCCTTCAGCTGGCTCCCGTTACCCCGTTTCCATGTTTTCTCCCTACCTGCCTGCAAGTGCTCGTATTTTTGAACCTAGTAAGCCCTTGAAAGCGTATTACGAGTAAATCAAGACAACACGAGGTATCTGCGCTCTTCTGGATAGCAGACACGTCGAAATAACGAGGCCTGCAGTGACCCCCTTTGGGCCGCGTCACTTTGATGTGTCCCGGTCCCTGGAACTGGCCGTGATGCTGTTTTGCCAGAGCAGGAAGCACCTTCCTCCGGTTACTTTCGAGGGACATGGGATGGGCGGTTCCCAGGCACCAAATACAGTGCCGACAGTGGGTCGGAGCACTGTAGTATTGGTCCACGCGAAGACTCGAGCTAGGCCAAATACTGCAGCGCGACGTGCTCGCCCCGTTCGGCTTCTCTCTCCTCCATCCGATCATCTGCAGCTAAACTGGATGGCACCATTAACCTTCCCATCAGACCTGCACTATATACTAATGCTACCTTAGCATTTGGTTCACTTTGAGCCACCTGGTCAAAACCAAACTTCTCGAGCCCTCGTCGCACGCACTTTTCCTCCATCCGCCAGCCTCAACCGGTTCCTTATCCCTTTCATCTATCCTGCCCTTGGAAAACCTGCACCGTTGCCCATCTCCCCTGTCTCTCCTGCGCCAAGGAGCATCGGACGGACCCCTTCTTTTCCGAACTCGCCCTTTAGTGGAACTTCCTCGCGCTCCCCATATTCTCCACACGGTATTTCGAGGCTCCAGCTGCAGAAGCCAACCTGGCCTCATGAGACGCGCCCCAACCTACTAGTTGATGAGGTTGTGATTTCTAAACAATCTTTCTGCTTCGAAAATTTACCCTATCTCCTTCGTCTACCCCAATCCATAATCACTCAGCTTTTCTCTCTCCCACGTTATACCCTCACCTTCGCTCATAGGCAGCTTCTCAACTCCTACCCCTATCCATCCAGGTAGCTAAGCTCCTGCTACGTCCGTTGCGGCCGAATACTTTATAGAACGGGAAGCAGAAGAGGGAGCGGTTTCTCTATCATCGAAGCGTGGTTCACGTGGAATTAACCATCAGTTCAGGATGGCAGACTACCTCTACACTGTTGGCGGCTATCTCGCCCTGGCTGGTGTTGGCTATGTTATCTATCAGGTTTCTACCCAGAAGTCTCGAAGACGGGCAAGCACAGTTCAATCGAAAGCCTCGAGAGGCCCACAATCTGAGCCCAGAAAGGAAGATAGGAAGAAGAAGCAACGAATGGAAAGCTTCACGACCGAGTCCCAGGAGGCAAACAAGGCAGCTGCCTCCAAGCCCAAGTCCGCCGAAACCTCAACATTTCTGAGCAATGATCCAAGCAAGGATACCTCGAACGATGACGCCGCCAACCGCGAGTTTGCCAAGCAGCTTTCCAAGGCCAAGGAGGGCACAAAGTTCAATACCAAGACTGACTCTGGAAAGCAGAAGGAGAAGTCGGTCAAGCAGTCACGTGCCAACAAGATTTCACCTCCTGCTCAGGAGGTCAAGCCTCTCGCGTCTGTCCCGTCATCGACCACCGTCGATACCGCTGGGGCCGTGGTTGATGATGAATCATCCTCCAACGACCTAGGTGAGACTGCCGCCGCCGACTCCACCGGTGTTGCGGATATGTTGGAGCCCGCTGCTGCTGCTCCCTCTGTCCTCCGATTGACCGACACCACCGAAAAGGAGAAGAAGAAGAAGCCTGCGAAGGCACCCGAGCCCACCGAGACGAAGAAACAGCGACAAAACCGCAAGAAGGCCGAGGCTGCCAAGGCTCTCCGTGAGGAGGCTGAGAAGGAGCGCAAGGTTCTCGAGGAAAAGCAGCGACGTACCGCTCGTCTCGCTGAGGGACGTGCTGCTAAGGATGGCTCCAAGTTCCTTGCCTCTGCCAACGCCAACTCAGCTTGGGACAAGGGAGCTCCCAATGGCCAGTCCAATGGTCAGTCCAACAAAGCTGCCTCCACCAACGGATCTATTCAGCTCCTCGATACCATGGATGCGCCAGCAGCCTCAAAGCCTGCCAACGTCAAGTCTGAATCTTCTTGGATGTCATCCCTCCCCTCCGAGGAAGAACAGCTTGAGATGCTCAAGGATGAGTCTGACGAGTGGAGCACTGTGAAGACCAAGGCTTCTAAGCGTTCGGGTAAGAAGGAATCTTCGAACGATTCTGGTGACGAGCCCGCTCAAAGCCGTCCGGCTGCCCAGCCTAAGCAACCCAGTGCCTCTGCTGCCAGCGCTTCGAAGACAACCTCTTCCTTTGGATCCTTCTCCGCACTCACCAGCAATGATGACCCTGCTGATGAAGTTGAGGAAGAATGGGATGTTTGAAGTCCTGCTAGGTAGGATAGAAGAGACATTTTCCCAATCATTTTCTGATTTTTTTTTTTTCACATGTACGTTAGTAGAGCTGCTCATTAGCATCTCCTCAAGGTTGTAAAGTAAATACCCGCAGAAGCTCAAGCATATTCCCTCCCGTTGAACGCGAATAGCAAGGTCACAGCCTTTTTTGTTCTTGCTTTTAGTTGATATTTTCCTTTCCTTTGTTTGCCTCAATTCGATTTTCGTCATATGGGTTTGGGCTGCACGCCCAGGAATTGGGGCCGGTAAGCTGCAAGTCTTCTGATTTGCATGGGGCGCCTCTACTTAGAATTCCTGGCAGGCTGTATGAAAAAGAAATTTGAAGAACGAGATGAAAAGTTATTTGTGGTCGGATGGGTAACCAATATTGGTGTCTAGGCGGGAGAAAGCATCGTGATCATTTCCCAGGCGAGGATTGAGGTTGCCTTAATTCTGAAGACAATCACTCAGATTCTATAGTCTTTCCTAGTAGCTATCGTCAATTGACAGCACAGATAGTTGATAATAGTTGCGAGTGGGTGATCATGAAGATGCAGTGGTGCAATAGGACGCCTCACGTTGCAGTGGCCAAGGTAGCTCCTAAACGGGATGGTGACACAAAGAGTGATGGCTGGCGGGTGTGGTGGGCATTGCCGGAGACAATGTACTACAAAGATCAAAGACATGTTTGTCTCTTGCAAGCGATTGCTGGGGCATTTTACCCCCGCCCAGGCCCTGGATGATGTAGCCATCACAAAGTGTTTGCACATTCCGTTACTCGGCTAAGTACATTGATCAATTGGGACTTCTTAGATCCTTAAGCTGATCTTGTGACTACGAGGATTTGCAGCCAGATCATGGCTTCATGGAACTTTGGGCAGGCATGCGCGTCTCATGCATGCATGCATGCAGATGCCTTCATGTGGTACATAATGGGGGAGTGGTACATATAGCTCATCTATACCCAGAGGTAGATTGTAAAGGCACTACACTGTTGGTGCTACGCGAGACTGCCTAGCCGGGCAGCAATGCTATTTCTGCTCTGTTCTCTGGAAATCTACAGCTTGCCAAGTCTGTGAATGTTATCGGTGGTATGAGGACAAATCCGCTTGCGGGCTCAGAACTGTGTTGGAGGGTTCAGAGTCTAAATTATGCTTGGAAAGTCTCGGGAGAGGGGTTCCTCACCAAACACGGCATCGTGGAACCCAGAGAGACATGTTTGTCGAACTGCAAGTCAGCAGTGGTCACACAGCATCAATAACACATACATAGCGGGAAGGGCTGGAATGCGCGGCAGGGATACTGGTTGATTGTGGTGAATGATCGGTTCAAGGGTCGACGAGGTTTCACTAAGTGAGGCATTAGCAGCAGTTTCAGGAGGACGATTTCTCGCTATTGGGTGTAGTCGCGTGGGACCTGAAGAGCCTGGGCCCCCTGGCGCTGCCCCTGATGAGGGTTCAAGGGCCGCGCAAATTGCTGCCTCTCAACACATGGCTGAGGTCCGTGGGAGGGTAGGCGAAGGAGTTGTATTGGCCAGGGGATGCATGCTCTGAACCCATTGGGACTGTTGCTGAGGGAGGGCTGATGCAGGGCGGCTAGAAGAGGCGTAGTAGGGTCAGCGGCGGGAGAGAAGAGGGCATTGGGGAGTGTAAGTTTCCAGTCTGCAATACGGGAACTTTATCTCTTGGCTTTCGGACACGAGTATGTGATTGCGGAAAGCAATACTAATCAAACACGACGTGCTAACGGCCACTACAAGGGCTCAGATACGGTATTTGTGGTATGGAAATGATGTACATTTGCTAGCTTGGGGGAGAGGGCGCCACCCAGAGCATGAGCCAAGTCCAGGCCGTAGCACAAGCGCCTGCTGTTTGCAACAAGTCGCAGGTTCCAAACCTGGGTCGACAATGGACGTGAGGAAAGAGACACAAAGACGTGCACCGAATACTATACGAAATGCCCGACTGCCGGGGCCTTTAGCGAGCCTGCCCTACCCTTTTGCGCAGGGCAATGCTCCGAATACCTACCATACTACTTTGCGCTTCGAACGGAGGCGAAGGGGGCGAGTACATCATCCATATTTCATACTGGCTGGTGCCGCGCGGACCAGGGTGGACCCGCCAAGCCCCCCGCCATGACTGCCCTAGCCAACCAGAGGGCGGGCGCAGCCTTGGCCCTTGCTTGGATGAGCAGCTCTTTCTGCATGGAACCCTCCGGGCAGGGACCTGGCCTCGCTGTCGAAGGAGCCTCCCCCGCTGGGCTCGATTTCCCTGTGCGCTAGGCCAAGGACTGTATGTAGCAGGTGGTGCACTCGCAGGCAGGGGTTGGCACCACTCCTCTCCAGGCTCCACTGCATCTATCCACTGGGCCCCTGCCTGCCTGGAGCGACGTCGTCGTCTTTCGTTGCTCGCTTGAAGGCTGGACGTTCATCCATCCATTCCAGCTGCATCCCACGCACGCCTGGCTATGCCTCGCCACTACTCGTTCTCTTCGCTTTTCCTTTGAGTCCATCCCCGCTTTCCCAACGTTGGTATTCGTGCAGCTGTGCTATTAGCTTCCCTAGTGATTATTAACTTTTGTTTCCTTTCCCTCTTTTTTATCCTTTTTCCCGCGCTTGCCATAAAGACAACGCCCCATCCACAGCAGACCGACCCTCTCCCGCCCATCCCGCCTTGTCTCCCATCCATTCGACTGGACCACAGCACCACGTGCATCGATACATCGATATCCTTCCGATACTCTTCCCCCGCGTATCTTTGCCGCCGCATATGACGATCGATGGGTTTGGATCAATTGTTTGATTGACTTGGTTGCTGTCCCATTCGGCTGTCAGCATCCTTGTCCATTTTCGGTTTCTCCTTCTCGTCATACCACCCGACTACCACCTCGGCCACTCCCAGTGTACATTTCGGCCTCTGTCTGAACTCAATGCGGCGTCACCTTCTACCCTGAGATATCTCACCATCGATTGCACTCGTGTTGATGCTGTCGGCCACGGCAGAGCCTGCGGCCAGCTATGTCGTTCCCAATCGCCTTCCAGTCTGCTGTCTTTTATGTCATAGCTTGCACGCCATGCGCCAAGGTACGGCATAGGCACAAAGTCAAGGAAAGGGCTAAGAAGGAGAGAGAGGAGAAGGAGAAAATCCATATGGAGCAGCCGGACCTGTACCGCCACCCGTCGCCGTTCAATACCAACCCATACTGGCATGAGGAGATGAGCATGGGTCCCAGTCTACCCAAGAAGTCTAGCAGCAAGAACTCAAGTCAACGAGGCCTTACAAGCTCGGGGAGGGATAGCGAAGTTCTAAGTGTATCCGACCGTACCAATGGCGCTGACAGTCGGATAAACTTTGGTGAACCAGTACATGTTGTTACCAGCGCTGACGATGACGACCACTGGAATAGGCGCCACGGGTACCAAAGAGAAGACGAAGAGTTGTGGGGGCAATGGCCAGGGCACAGGCTCAAAGATGCCTTTTCCAAAGCCAGAAACTCGGCGGGAAAGCTCATCGAGTCCACCATGGGAGTGGAAAAGGAGGTCACGGACCAGGAGCGTCGCGATTTCTACTTTGCACCCAAGAACCCTCCTGTGAATGACTATCACCCCCCAGTCGTGAGCAGTAAAATACCGAACCGAAATGCCCACCAATGGATGCTTCAGCCTCCTCCTTCAGCAAAGGTCATGGAAGGCAAGATTCCCGTGAGCCGGGCGGCCAGTAACGGCAGCCGATCGAGTGGTTTTACTGGCGGTGGAGACGATGTGAGGCTGAGTCGTGTTGTGCAGGAGAGGCTTGTTAAGGAGAAGCTCATGAAGCAGACGAGCCCAACCGAAGCAGAGTTGATTGAATCACTATTTGTGACACGCAGTGGCCGGTCTCAGAGTCTACGCAGGAGCCGGAGCTTGTCCCTGGATGATGTCGATGAGTCGGTTGAGCGCCCATTTGAGAGGCGCCAGAGTCATAAGATACGCCCAATGACGAATCCCTCGTCCGAACTGGATTCTGACGACGACACAATCCCCGCAACGAAGCCAAGGCCATTATCTCATCTTGGCTACCATGGTCATGCCATCCAACGCCCGAAACTTGACACAATCATAAGCACTGAGTCTGATAGTAGTGCCCGCCTGCCACGAAAAACTTCGAGACGTCAAAAGCCTTCAAAGCTGAAAATTCGCACCAGAAGTGATTCACCCGTCAGTGACGACAGCGACTAAGTTTCAGCTGCCTTTTGAGATGTGAAGAACCGGCTTGTGGCTCTTGGTGGTGTGTTTCTCTTCCCCTTTCCCATCACTCTATCTTCCCGCCCATCGCTTCATTCCCCTTCTGTCTCTCACTCTCTTTGCTTTTCTTCCTTTTTTATGGCGACATTGCAACGGCGCATATCGGAATGGGGGTTTCGGATTGTAGCATTTTCTGTTGTTTGGATAACCGTTGGCGCTTTGGGTTTCTGGAAAACAAAACTGGCAGGGAATACGGAGCATAGCCTGCACCTTTTTTTTATTGTGCCTCGATTTTCAATTTCATTTTACTGTTCCCTCTTTAAAAATCAGGACCGTATCTTTTAGTCTCGCTACCTTGAATTCCATTTTCCTTTGACCTAAACCCCATCCTATGCATCGGATCCCTTAACGTTAGTTTTAAATCATGTGCTTCTACCGTAAAAAAACCAGCCCTGCGACCAAGAGACATGCCGAGTTTCGCATAATCCCGCCCTTCCCCCAGCGTAGTACCGTGGATAACCGAAGGGAACACGCTCAATAATGAAGAACAACTATGGTCGTCGTATCACAAATGCAATCCACCAGACTCGTCCTCATCCTCGTTTGCAATGTCGCCCAATCTTTCCTCTAGAGCTGCCCTTAGCTGCTCATCTGTCAAGCTCCCGCCTTGCGCTGGCCGACCGTTTGGCTGACCGTCAAACGTTACCTGTCCGTTGCTGATCGTCCCCGTCTGGAAGGTGCCGTCCGTCCAGGGCGAGGACTGCGGCTCGCCATTCTGTGTGCTCGACTCCCCCGCGCTGACGCCGTTAGCGACGGCCTGCGAAGTCTTTTGCTGTGCAGGGCCGTCGGTTCTGTCCGTGGTCTCGCGCGCCTCGTCCATGCTCTGGAAGTCGACCCAGGCGACGCCCCGCTCCTCGACCTCGGCGCGGATGAGGGCTATCCGCTCGGCCATGCGGTCGATGACGGCCTCGTTCTCGCGGATGGCGTCGATGCAGTCCTGGTCCGGCTGGGCGGGGGCGTCGTCTGTGGCCGCGGGGGTCGACGATGAGAGGGCCGTGGCGGAGCCCTCGGCGAAGGGCCTGAGCTGGTCGTTTGAGTACTGGAGGTGGGCGATGGAGTTGCGGATCTCGAGGCTCTTGAGGTGAAGCATGCTGATCGAGAGGTCCTTGAGCGCGGCCGCGAAGCGGGACGGGGATATGGGGGTGGTGTCGGCGGACATTTTTTGTGTTTGTTCTTCTTGTTCTCCCAGCTGGGGATGTTTGAGGGTTAGGTTGGAATCTTCAGAAGACGTTGGGGTGAGGAGAAGCGGTTTTCTGGTAGCTTGAAGAGGTTTGCTATTGCATGTGTAATCACTTGGAGCCTTGAGCTCGGGTTGATAAAGTTGATGGAGGGGTGGTTTTGGGTGGGGTTGGATCAATGGTGGGGTTTTGCTTGCAGATCCCTGTAAAGGTGGAGTTTCCAGGGCTGTGCGGTAGCCTGAGGCCCTTAAACTGCAGCGAGAATTCCGAGAATCAAACGATATGGTAGATTTCTTCAAAAATACCGTCTCTTGCCCACCATCACCAACGGCCGAGCCCGCCATTTCTCGAGCAATTGCGCTCCCACCGCGCCGCGGCGTATAACCCGCTGCCAATATGAACTTGCTCTGCCCTCATGCGCCACGGTCGGTAGCGCGCAATGTTTTGAAGGGGTCCTTGCGGTGTAGCGCCTCGAGGATAGGCTCCTCAGCGACGGCATCACAACGGACCCAATGCGTTGCGGCCCAGGTCCGGTCCATATTCTTCGTCGAAGGCCCCGGACGCAGCCAATTGAGGCCCAGAGGCTCGTATCTCGTCCTCGGCCAGGTCTCCTACGGCGGTCGGCGCACGTTCTTCACCGAGAAGATCGTCCGAAGATACGAGGAGCTCCCCCGGAATTACCGAGACAAGAGCGGTCTCCCGTTCCGCGGGCATGATCTGACGGAGGCGGAGGTGGAGAAGATATTCGGCCCTGACATTGGCGCGTCGACTGCCAACCACCTCCTTCGAATTCTACACGGACGACGGGTGGCGGGGACGCTGGACGATCCGGCCTTCTCGATCCACACGGCTCAGTTCTCGGAGGCGGATATAGAGAATGGGTTGGCTTACCTGCGCAAGTCGGTGCCTGTTGATGAGGTGGTGAATGCCGGCCTGCGGGCCGAGGACGAGCTGAACGAGTTGGCCCTAGAGGAGGAACAGAAGGAAAAGAAAGAAAAGAAGAAGGCAGACAAGGCAGCCGAAACTACGGACGAGGGGAAGAGGGAAGAGGAAGAGGCCGTTTATAAACCGGACCCTCTCTACGGGAGGAGCGTACTTGAGGAGATACGGGCGAGGAACATTGCCAAGGAGAAGGCTCGACAAAAGGCTCTCGAGGAAGAGCAGAGGCAGAAGGAGCTGGCTGGAGAGATACCGGGGGAGGAACCGCAGCAGCGGTCGCTGGTCGAGGTCGCGGAGGGTGAGCGGCCCATCACCAATCCCGGGATCGCCGAGTACTACAAGGCCGCCCAGTCAGAGATGAAGGAGCCGCCCAAGATGAGCCTCTGGGAGCGAGTTGCGCCCTCGCTTGTCACCGTGACCTTGGTGGTTGGGTTCTGCGCATCCCTGTGCATGGTGTACGAGGAGCCAGAGGACCGCTACAGACTCATCCGCGAGATTCCAATTGCGAGCGCCACGCTGGGCACGATGGTTGGGCTGAATCTCCTCGTGTACCTTGCGTGGAGGGTCCCGCCGGCCTGGAAGTTTCTGAACAAGTACATGGTTCTGGTGATTGGGCTCCCGAAGCCGATCACGCTCTTCACGGCGTCTTACTCGCACCAGAGGATAAGCCACCTGCTGATGAACATTGTGCCGCTCTGGCTGGTGGGCACATACATGCACGAGGAGCTTGGCCGGGCCACGTTCCTGACTCTCTACCTCGCCTGCGGCTCTTTTGGCTTCCTGGGCAGTCTGATCGCGTACGGAGCTAGGGGGATGCTGGGGACCACGACGCTGGGAGCGTCAGGGGCGACGTTCGGGTTGATTGTCGCCTGGTTCTGGGAGCATCGGATGGAGCGCTTCAAGATCATGGGGATGCCGGAGAGCGGCGTGCACGGCATTGTGTACTGGGCCCTCATCGTCGCCCTCCACCTCACACGGCCGAGCAGGATCTTCTCAGGCAGGGATGGAATCGACCTGGTGTCGCATCTGGTCGGAATGGCTGTGGGCATGATTGGCATTGAGTTGATCAACCGGGCCGGTATGGGGAGACGCAACGCTGTGAGTGGGGACCAAGAAGAGGAACAGGCGAAGGACGGCGAGAGTAGAGATCTCGTGAAGGATATCGTTCCTGTTGGCACGGCGTAGAGGCTCTCGAGGGCGAGACAGGAAGCCAAGGCTGTACGGGGCCAGGATGTGGAGGCCGATGGGGATGTATTCCAGGCATCCCCGTGTTCCATTATTTGCAATTTCTCCTCTTCTTGCTGTCGTTGCAATGTACATCTAAATATCAAGCATCTATATCTAATAGAGAGACGACATGAATATACAATACAGTTATAGGGCTGGAAGAGTACGCTGTACTTCATTTTAAGAGCTCGAGACACGAGCCAGGCACCTAGCTTACGACCCGTCTTTCTTATTTCGTGGAAATTCTCCTTGATTGTGTGAAGAGATTCGTTGAACGAAGACGAAGCGGTGCGCGTCACACCCAAGGCTATGGAATTCGTTGAGTTTGCATATATAGATGTGTGGGGCAGCTCTGGGTGATCAGTCACATTGCGGGACAGCGAATGATCTCTCAGTGTAATTAAACAATCTAGGGAATGGGGCTAGCAGTAGGGGAATAGACGTGAATTTGCTTTAGTGACAGCCGATGTCGTGGTACGTGGTACGTGATATATCTCCTCTACATGTGGTCAAGCACGGCTGAGCCTGAGGTGGAGGAATGCACGAAGGTGGTACGTCTCTCGCGCGAGTTTGGCGCGGGGGCAGGGGTAGTCGCGCGGATCGCGCGTCAGTGGGGACTAGACGACCCGGGGAGAGACCCACTGATGCCCTTTTTCTTCTAGCCACACAGATGGCACAGCGCCCCGGAACCCACTTCAGTGGTGGGATGTCCGGGCAACGGGCCTGCAGTAGACCTGCAACAGTGGCCAGGGTGGGGGCGCTTAATTTGGTCGAGTCTCTGCTAGGCCAAGCGCTCAGGACAGCGAGTATTGGCACCACTGACGGTCATTGCGATCTTCTCGTTTTGCTTGCTCGTAGGATTAATCTGGACCAGCCTGTGTCACCTGTCTCACTGTGGCTGGATACCGGCTTGGTGCGGTCTGTCATGCGGGAGGCGAGGCCTGCACGGACGTGTACGTGCTACTGGGTGTGTTGCATGTATGATGTATCATACATCATCCCCCCCAACTCCCGGGTGATTCTGCACTCTGCATGCAGGAACGTCATCGGGTTGAAGATTGCCACTCTTCTGTGACCCCCCTGGATTTGCTGTCATTTGTGGCCTGAAAATTTCCTGCGCCCAACTTGCCCTGACCGCGGACACGTAGGGCAGCTGCTGCTATCTGGCTTAGCCATTGAGACGGCATAGAATGATGACAGAAGCTTTGGCCGGTTTATTTGAAGGGGGGGTGGAGGAACAGATAGTCTTGCGGTCACAGAGTTCGGATCAGGTGAGATATTTTCTCGGACCTGGGCTAGGCTTTTCCCTCGGTTCTGGTGTGCCATTTTTATTAGGGGGCAAAGGGCATTAATTATGGGGAGTTGGAAGAGGGGCATGCGCTGGCGTTTTACCAATCTCTCAAGGTTAAAGTGTAAACAATAGTTGAAGTGAATAGGTAGATGGGAGGGAGGGAGATAGGCGTTGGGTGCGGTGACATAGTTCCGCAGGCGGTACCTGCAAGCTTGTACCTAGGTACTTGCTGGGCCTGGGCACTGCCATGGTTACGGCGACGAAGCGGGTTAGCGGCAGGCGGCCTTGCCTCGAAAGAG